CCTCCCCTAGGTCGGCTCAGGCCCAACTGAGTACCTGGTACTGTGTGTAAACATTGCCATTTAGAAAACAAAGGCGGCCGGGCGTGGTACTGGCCACCCCCCTTCGTGTGCCGTGCCGACCTTCATAGGTGCTCGCTAACAGCTCTTGCCCCAAATGTACGTTAAGGATATACAGGTGATTTCTGTCTTTGTGCAGTTTCTCCCCTGGGATAGACAAACGTAACGTTGCCTGGGCATGGATGCAATTGGCTGTTTTGTTTTTTAAACGTGGAAATGCAAAACCCGCAGGTAACGCGACTCGCGTCGCACTCGGAGGCACACGCGGAGGTTCCCACCAGAGCGGTGCTGAAACCTAACCTCACCAGTGGCAACCACCACAGCTGAGACGATGCTCATTCTCTGATGGCCATCTTACCATTTCCCTCTCCCTACCCCTGTCCAGTCACCTCCAAATAATTCCCACTCGTCTACCCAAATCCAGACGTTTTTCCTCTGCCTAGTCGTCCGAATGAGTTGACATTTTTCTTCTAAGTGACTAGGGACCTCGATTTTAATTTTGTTCCCCGATGTCGTCGACTCTCCGGCTGTGTTGTGGGAGCTGTGCAAAACGCGTTATCGGGAAGGAATCTCACGCCTCGTGTCCCCAACGATCGGCGCACGCTTCTGGACCCTGAGCCAGGGCCTTGCTCAGAGTCCTCCGCGCGGGACTCTCTCCCCTGCAGCTCCCCAGAAAATTCATGAAGTGGCACCGGGTGGGGCAGTGCACGGCGAGCCGCTGCACTGCGGCTGTGTTCACGAGTTGCCTCTCCCGAGCACAAACAAGTTACGTCACGGGAAGGGGGCGAGGGGGGTAAGGGAATGGGGGGTGGTTCTTTGCCCCCGGGCGATTCCGCCGCTGTGTAAACTCCGTTGAGTCATGTTTGGTGTAAAAAATGTTTTTTAATGTTTAGCCAAAGTTGGACCGTGACGCCGTCACACAGTGGTCTACTCTAGCTACGTACGGTGTGAAAGAAGTTCAACATACATACTCTTCCCAAGCAGACGGAGCAGTTATATATATTTAACCGTTAATACACCCGCAGTGGTAACCAGGGCGCCCTACTGGTTTGACCCGCGAAGCCCTGCAACAACGCGCTGCCGCTGGGCCTCGTCCCCCGCCTTTGTGGTAATTCGTGCTCTGATACTCAGAAACACCACAACCACCACCAACCACTACCACCACGTCCCGTGCGCTGGCCTCGTGTCTTCCCCCCGGGATGCGCTCTCACCGTGGCAGCGCGTGTCCGTGCGTACACGCGCTGCCAACAGCATTCCATAATGTAACTTAAAAAATAAATGAGTTTATCGAGCAGTAACACTTCCAAATTTTTCAAGGGTTTGTCTGTTACGCGATAGCCCCGACGTATCATGCAACTATCCTTACGTCAACTTAAAAAAAAACTTATTCAGGAAACATTTATAAAATGTCATTCTCATCGGGCCCCATGATGTAAACAAGTGCAGTGTCCAACCCTTATCATCCACTGTGCCTCTCCATGGGCCTCTCCATGGGCCTCTCTGTGCTATGAAGAAGGCCCATTGCCCGAAACATCGCCGCTTACATACATTTCCTTTTAAGGCCACACACACAGCGCTAGTGACGGGTGTGTTGACCGTGTGTGCGACGCTTGGAGCAGCAGCGCTTCGTTCCCCGGCAGTCCGAGTCCCAATTTCTGGCCACAGCTGCCGTCAGCGATCACTTTCTACCCGAAAATGGCTCTCCCCTTGGTTGCACTCGGCCTTAGTTTGAGTCGTACAGGATGTGACTTTTGAGTCGCGTGGACGCCACGTTGCCGGTGAGTGCGCTCCGCGTGCGGTTACTTCCCCCTTGCGTCGGAGTGCCCGGACGAAGCGCAGCTGTTTCCTCCTCTCCTTGTGGCTTGCGCGCCCCGCTTCGAAGGGTGGGGGCGGTGTGGGAGAGAGGGGGGGCGGGGGGACTTGGCAGTGGGTGGATGATGATGATGGTGGTGGTGGTGATGATGCTGCGCTCCGTTTAGGGGAGGCAGGACTACCCATGTCTCGCAAGTGCCACCATAGAACTTGAGTCAACGTTTATAAACAGCTGTTGACTTACAAGCCCGAGTAGCCGCAGGCTACTAAGGCTCAGCAGATGTTGTGCTGTTACTCGCCACCACCACCACCGCCGCCGCCAACCTTCCCGTGGCTGGGTTAATTTTAGCGGCACACGCTAACCCACGCAGTGTGCGACGGCGCATGGCGATATCGCGTGGGAAGTTCGCGTCTGCGTGCATCCAGACGAAGGCTCTACTCCGGGTAGATTGGGGCAGAGGAATCCGCCGGGCGCTCGGGGGTGAGCGAGCCAGGGGGTGAGCGAGCCAGGGGGTGAGCGAGCCAGGGGGTGAGCGAGCCAGGGGGTGAGCGAGCCAGGGGGCGAGCGAGCCAGGGGGCGAGCGAGCCAGGGGGCGCGCTCAGAGTTCCGTCACCGTGGCTGCTCGCATGGCTGCCTACTACTGCAGCCAGCTGTGGAGCGCCCTGCAAGGCTGGGTGGTGAGTGGCACCAGGGCAATCGTGCTCGTCTGAGCTCAGAGTGAGCGTGGGGACTACTGCGTACGTGTGAACACTGTGTGTGTACACTCGTCTGTTTGTCCACTAGTGTTTATGTGTATGTGTACACTAGTCTGTGTATGTGTACACTAGTCTTTATGTGTATACTAGTTTGTGCATGTGTGTACACTAGTCTGTATGTGTGCACGCGTAGTGAGTGTAGCGGTTCGCGCGCTGCGCTACGAACCCGGCGACACACAAGTTCGATTCCCGCTCGCGGCCAACAGCAGTGAATATTATATGAACAATATTATAGTAACATTATTATATGAACACTCGGGGTTGTTCGGGGGCGCCTATGTCGCCCCCTCACAACCATTTACGGCCATCGGCCAGGAAAGTCACAAAAAAATTGCACACGAACGACGCATTCACGCAAGCACCCGATGCTCCGTTTTGAAGTATTATGATTTGAATTAGATAATTTTATTTCTTCATTAAAAGCTTATAAATTTTACATCTGGAAGACGACATTTCGTGTGAATTTTCTCTTGTCAAGTAGATGGCCTTGTTGGAGGTTCGGTTCGATGCGGACTTTCACCTGTTTGGGATTGCGGGATCGAGATAAGGTGACAGAGCTGGCCGTGCGAGAAGACCACTGTCTGCAGATCGATTCCAACCTAATCGAACGTCTGTCCCTGCGCCTCTGTCGTTCATGCAGGGGGTGCGTAGGTTTGCAGCGCCCCCTGCATGGAAACGACGGAAAGTGCAGCGTTCATCACAGATAAAGTTGTGTGCTTATATAAGAGTATGTTCTGGGCCTCCCCTAGGTCGACTCAACCTGGTGTGCTGTGTAAACTTCACCACCAGGGAGACAGAGGCGGCCGGGCGTGGTGCTGGCCTCCCCCCCCTCCCCCCTCGTGTGCCATACAGGCCTTCATAGGTGCTCGCTAGCAGCACTTGACCAACAGTTTGTTAAAGGCTATATGGGGGATCTGTCGTTTTTGCGTGTATACTGAGTGTATTCTAGTGTGTGTGTGTGTGAACACTATTGAGTGTGTATGTGATGTGTGTACAAAGGTCCGGGTCTTCTCTGCCACAGTTATGCCCTTTCCATTGTCTACGCTTGCCAGACGCAGTGCGCGGAGCCCTCTAAAGGAACATCTCCGCCGGTTTGAAACATTCAGGCTGGCCTGCCTACGATCCATCTTAGGTTTAACCAGACTGGATTGTATTAGGGACTCACAGATTCTTGAAAGATCTGGACAAAGTCCCATCAGTGAGCTCCTCCGGCAAGCGAGGCTGCGCTGCCTGGGTCATGTTGCCCCCATGCCCAGCCACCGCATGCCCAAGCAGTTTCTGTTTGGCCGGATAGATGGGGCTAGAGAAGAGATGGACTGATGTGGTACAGAAGGATGTGGAGCTGATTGGATTTGCTGATGACTGGTACCAGCAGTTCCAAGATCGGCCTCTTTGGAGGAAGTTCGTGAAGGACGCGACTGGGGAATTGGAGGCACTAACCTTCCGTCAAACAACGGAGGGCAGTGGAGTGACGCTCACAACGATCAGAGCGCCGAGCAGCTAAAACGCAGAAAATTTGCAAAGTGGGAAGTACAGTTGGTGCATCATCCAGTCATCTCAGTCAGTCAACCCATGGCACCTTGGTTTTCGCACATCCGATTTGCACGGTTGGCTACGTACTGTACGAAAGAAGTGCAGCATACATACATACCTGGGTGTGTTCTATGACCTGCTGCCAATGGGCCTTTGACACTTCACGTGGCCTAAGTACACCTAGCATGTCACAAGCGCCGTGGTGACGTCACCGCCACTTCGTGGTGAACAAAAGTTGTGTGTACACTGAGTGTACTCTGTGTGAACACCAGCGTGTGTGTGAACACGAGTGAATGTGTGTGTGAGAGCACTAGTGTGTAAGTGGGGAGCGGTGGCGCAGCGGGTAGCATGCTGGGCTACGAACCGGCTCACGGCCAACACCAGTGACGGTCATGGGCCTCCCTCTAGATCGACTCAGCCTCAAATGAGTACCTGGTGCGGTGTGTAAACATCATTGGGGAGACAAAGTCGGTCAGGTGTGGTGCTACTCAACCCCGTCGTATGCTGTGCCAGCCTTCATAGGTGTTTGCGAAAAATACTTGCCGCAACAGTCTGTTAAGGCTACACGGGGGATTTGTGTTGTCTTTGTGTGAGTGAGCACGAGTGCGTGTTGTGTGTAAAAGTCGGTGGCAGAAATTCCACATTCCCATGGTGGAACCAGTCTGTACGGAGTGGCGATGTCTCATGAAGTCAGAGCCGAAGAGGGCTTCTAACTCGCAGCTTCACAGCACCCCCACCCTCACACTACCACGATCACTACGGGTCTTGACGGAGTGTCCTCATGTGCTGCTGCTTCTAACCCGTGTGGTGTTGCCATCACGCGGGTATTGTCGCTGCTGTAGAGATACCTCGTGAGGCCAGCAGCGGACGATTTGGAGCCTCTCGCGGACTCATCTGAAGACGTGAACAAGTATGGGAGTCACAACAGGTACAGCCTGGGCCACATGGGCACCTTCGTGTTCACACATTGTCTCCCCGTGGCGAGGGAACATCCATAAGGCCTCTACACTGTAAATTATATTCATCATCATCAGCCATGGTCAGTCTACTGCTGGATGGAGGCCTCGACCATGGCTGTATTGACCGTACAAATTTGTTCTGTCCACTTCACAGTGGACATTAAAGATCCCGTGATGTCTTTCGTAAGAATAGGTCATAGTGTGTGGTGTCAGGGTCCAAATTTACCAGATTTGAAAAAATTACCTAACAATTACTCATTTAGAAATAGCACCACCGCTCACGGCTGTAAAAAAAAACACTGCAAATGATGTAAAAGATAGTGGCTTGATGATAACCTCACACTAATCCTGTACTGCACCACATGACTACACCGAGAGTGGCAGCACCGTCTGATGAGCAGATCGCATTCCCCATGTTCACCGCAGGGCCACCCTTCCGCTTGACGCCATTCGTGTCGGAGACGGCCGCACCTGTCGTGCATTGTCGGAACGCAATCGCGTGCGAGCTGACGCAGGGTAAAATGAAATGTCATTCCGTGCGATGTGTATTTCACCATGTCCACGGCCATCGTTGTCATCCAGAACCGAAGCGGCTTTGGAACGCGAGCCGCAGATGCCCGCTCTCGAGGGCAAGGGCGGCAGGAACTCTGAGGTCGAGACGGTGGTGGGCGGAGGCAGCCATTGTGACCTCGACCGCAAATCCCCGGCGAGGACTCTCGAGGGGACGCCGCCGTTTGCTCCGGTGGACGACGCCGCCAAAGCGGCTACGTCCAGGAGATCCGTTGGAGGCGAGAGAGACGATGCCGCGGAGCTCCGGCGACGTTCCCCCATGTTCACGGCAAACGCGGGGGACGCAAATGTGTTCCAGCGTCATGCACCAAACGAGGAGGCCCAACAGCGTCTGATGGAAAAGGACAGCTGCTTGGGCGATGCCATTGGTCACACCGCCACCACTGTGGACCGTGCCTTGCATTCAGTGCCTGTAGAAAGGATGAGGGCGGAAGCATCAGTCACCGACGGTCACAACACATCAGCGCTGACGTTACACCCGCCACCTGCATCCCAATCGCCATGCGCCACATCGCCTCTGCTTCCACCATTCTTAGCGCCTCCAGAGGCGCGGAGCTTTCAGCCGAGCTTCGCTCCGTCGTCGTTAAACTCGGCACCGCCGTCTCCTTCAACTACCTCACCGCGCCGGGCCAATGAGTGTATAGCAGGCGGACGGGAGCACGAAGGCGATCAGGAATTCGCCGGCGTTGTTGACAAAGATGATTTTGAAATTCATCATTTTGATGACGTTGAGGTAATTGTTACATTGTTCAAGCAGGGTTAATTTTGGGAAGGAGGGCATGACATCTGCTTGGTTGTGTCTGATAATTTACATTGTCACATTCTGCAAGAAGACGCTTAATATTATGCATCTTAAAAATATGTATTTGCATGTTGGCAAAAGTAAATGTTACTGTGTTTTGGTAATGTGAGCATTGAAAAAACTGGTGCTGCCTATGTAGTACGTACCGTAAACTTATTAACGTCTCTGTTTACGAGTCAAGAGTGATGGACTTTAAGAAAGCAACGAGGAAATAAGCTTCTGGTCTTTGAGCAATATAGCGTCAGAATGTTTAAAGTTCACAATGGAGGGTTGTAGTGAAGCGTGGTAATTTAACCAGGAAGTTGCGGCGTGCGGGAGGCCGTGGGCAGGATGGAGGGGGTGGCATCGCGACGTGAGGTGATGTGGCCCTGGAGGTCAACGACTACGGAGAACATCTGAAGGCGGACGGTGGCGATAATCCAATCCACTCATTGGTGCATTGGGCATTCACGCCATTCTCATAGCACAAGGCAGTCACGAAGGCGCTGTGCGTCACAAAGAGTCCGCAGTAGTATCACAGGAGCGGGTGATGTTGATATCTGTTAGGGCGCCGCGGTGGCGAGATGTTAACTACCTAACCTGGTATACAGGAGGTTGTGGGTTTGATCCCGATCCTGACGCCTGTATATTTGGAGTTTGCATGTCTCACTCCCGGTGGTCGTGTGGATTTTTTTCTCCGGATCCTCCGGTTTTTCGATCTATATTTAGAATCAACGTGCGTTTAGAGTATTTGGCTGCTATAAATTTCCATGTAATAAGCAACTTCGTTGAGCTATGATTTGTGGCCAGGTCGCTTCTGAAAAAGAGCTACATAGCTCAATGGGCATTTCCTGGTAGAATAAAAACAGTTTAGTTATCCCAATGGATACATTTTAAAATTTGGAACGTAACGCCAGCACACAAGGGCCGACTCTTTTCGAATGGAATCATTGGGATTTTTAACAGCGTATATGTCATGGTTAATACACCAGGAATATAAATACGACCACAGTATTAAACCAGGGCGGCCTGCTGGATTCGTATCACAAACCTCTGCAACAAGCGGAGAACGCACTACCGCTGTGCCACGTCACCGCCCCGATGAGACTAAGATCGGGACTTTGAGGTCAGGTGTCAACTGTATGTAAGATAGTTTATCATGTCCACTGCTCCTGTATCTGGTTGTGTACATTGTGGTATACGCGCTTGAGTGATGGCTGGGCATCGGAATCAATGTCTTGTCTCTTGATCTCTCCCAAGTGTTCGTCACCCCCATTGGATTTCACGATCCAAAAGCAGCGAGCCTCACTCAGCAAGTCAGGAGCACTGGGCAATCGCAAACTGGGGAAACCACGGCCAGCAGACACGGATTCAGAGTGTATGTACAGAGACAGCACCGGTGCGCTCATACACACATATGGGCCACGCCGGACTGGCGCCCCTTTCCGATTGGCCCGGTTTGTGTGGAAAACCAAAGGCGCATTGCAAGCGCAGTAGAGGGTATTGGCGATATAATGTTGACGTACGTTGTATGCTGTGATATCAATACCGGGAATTCCACAAAATCCTCTTCACTCGTAACATGGGCAGCTACGAACACTTGAATAAGTTTGTAGCAATCTTACTACCAGAGGGAAAGAAAGTGCGAGGCACCAAATCGTAACACGTTTTGTCTTAATGTATACTGCAAACTCGGCATGGAGGGTAGAAAAGAGGATCGTGTGGACAATTCTGTATAATGTACAACCTTGCTTTTCATTATTGCTGTGGAGAGAATGTACTCATTCATGCCAGATTATTGAGTTATGCCACAATAATATGACCTTCAACACTCGACATAACCAAACAAATTAAATTATAACGAGTACAAGTATTATTGCTTCAACTCAAGAACAATATTCACAACCGAATTTAGCAATTGTTTACGATGTTTCATTTGAAACATACGCTAAGCATTTTCAGAACAAGATCCAGGAAGTGGGAATACATTTCACAAAGTCAGAATGGCCTAACCCAAAAATCTATATAATTCATATTGGCTGCAACAATCTACGTCTTCTTGGTTCTTTCGGTAAAGTTACGTAGAAGGGAAATAATAAAATAATAAACATAAAACATAATAAAATACAATTCTCACGACGTTTCGGCCACAACGCAAGCAGCCGTCCTCAGGTGAAGAACAGGGCTGTCGGAAAGACAGCGTCCGAATGAACACCACCACGCTTGGCAGCGTATATTTAAGCAGGGGTTAGAGGAGGAGAGCGCCTTGACCAAAGGAATGTACATATCACCAGAGGAATTTAGCATATTTATGGAAAATGCAGATATGGGATTAGTCACTACTTGTGGAATGTGTAGGTGGTAGGGGGGTCTCAAAGTCATTATGCTTATGTATTATGTAGGATTAGCAGTAATAAAGCGAGGAAGTAGGATTAGCAGTAATAAAGGGAAGGACATTTTAATAGTAAGGAGCTGCAACAGCCAAACCACCACGTAAAAAACTAAAATATAAACTTTAAATCGAAATTTTACAATCTACGTGTTAAGTCAATATACAGTGTTACCATTAAGTATCAACGGACTTTCCACTGGTATTTATGAGGATACATTGGGCCCAATGATCAATGGACAGTTGTGTTCTTGTGAATGTAAATGCAGAGGCTTCCCTCATTATTTTGCAGATTCTCCAAGTGCCGAGTTGTCAGAAGAGGAGCCACCCACTCAGAAGAGAGGTCCACCAGGTGGTTTCAGGCTGCCTGCTCTGGGACCCTCCTTGCCTGGCGTGCAGGTAATCTACCTGTGCCATGAGTAGGTACAACTCGTTAAAGATTGTACACAACAGGGAACCCATGGCAACAGGGGGCCATGCACTGTACCACAATCACAGCCACCTAGATTCGATTATTGGTCATGCACATCACATTACACTGTCCTGGGCCTCCACTAGGCAGAGATGGGCAGTATACAAGTGTCCGAAAATGAAAGTTTAATAGTTTTAATGTTATTCGAGATACTGACATAAATCTGATATGAATATATGCATTAGACTCGTTGGTTCTTTCGATAAAGTCACGAAGAAAGAAAATACATTAAATAATAGAATACGACGTTTCGATTGCAACACAAGCAGTCATCAGGTAGAATTAAATTTGAGAGACAAAAACACAGACACGGAGACACACAGATAGACACACAAGCAGAGAGAGACAACACAGAGACACTCGGAGAGACACAAAACATTGACACACAGAGACCCAACGCATCTGTGTCGTGGCCTTAATAGAGAGAGAGGGGGGGGGGGGCAGATAGAGAGGTGGCTCTGCTGGCGCAGAGAAATTAGCATGTCAATGAGAGAGCTGTGTGGAAATCCACCCCGCGGCGGCCGGGGTAGAGAACGCAAGACTGGTACATTTTTAGAGAGAGTTGTGTGGAAATTATGTGCATTAGGCTTAGAAGTTTTAGTTTCTTGTGAATATTGATTGCACTTTCTTTTAGTTTCAGGAGAAACACAATTTTTTTTCTACAATGACAAGTCCGCCCATTCTGGGGTTTTTTTAAATTTTAATTGATTATAGTGAATGATAATTCTCGAATTTCTAATCAATACCATAAATAAGATAAAACATCTAAGTATATTACATGTACTTATTAAATTTATGTGATTATTTCAAATAAGAGTAAAACTATTAAACGTTCTTTTTAGGTTCATACATTTTCAGACACGCTGTATTTAAAATACACCAAAGTATTTTGTATTTCAAGCACATTTATGAGAATGTTCTTTTGTTAAGTACAACATTTCAATGTATTTTTGAACAGCAAACAGCGACACCCTCTATATGCAGTGTAAACACACATCGAGAGTCTACACATGTCTATGCGTGTACGGTCAATGTGAATATAGTTGTCCGGTTCTCTATGTAATAGTCTGTGTACACAACCACTCATCCACTCCATACACAACACCACTCACCTCTATACGCCACCACCTATCTCCACATCTCTACCACTCACCAGATCCCATACCACACACCCCCAAACACCACCACCCACCTCAACACCACTCACCCCACCCCATGCCACCACATGCACATTTTTTGGGTTCAGTTTTGTTCTTGCTCTTGTTGTTCAGATGTTCAGGAAGAAATCTCAAGACGGTGAACATGGCGAAGTCTCTCCCAAACCACAAACCAAAGAATTATTCAAGTCCAAGAGCAGCCTGGGCCTTCCCCTGCCCGGAGCCAGAAGACAGCTGCCAGTTCCGGCCAGTGATGACGCCGACAAACAAGGGTACGCTTCGATCGCTCCAGTTCGGTGCGTCCACTCCGATCCGGCATGATCGCTCCGATCCGGCACAACTGGGCCGGACTTGCACACCGGTCCGGCGCGACCCGCTCCACTTCAGAACTACCATCGCTGCGTTACACTGTATTTGTTTCAAATGTTCTGCTGCATTATAAAGACGACTTAAATGCCAGCCGGAATAGCCGATGATGACTAACAAGGTGATTTTCACGTTTCATTTCTTCTCAGGTCGGAGCCTCCCCAATGGTTAAAGGAACTCAAATCAAAACAGAAAAAGCCTGCCATGGAATAGACACCAATGTGAGCCTGGAAAAGGTTTTCATCTATGAGCAGCACTGTGAATCGTGACATGATGTAGGGTTAATTCCATATATCCTTAAATGGGTATTCTGAATGTTTCTACTTAAGGATTGTATCATTCGCAGACAAATACTTTTAAATATATAATCTCTGCAGGAAAAGTATTTGCATGTACACAGACATACTGGCGTACAATATGTTCAGGCATTTGCATAAGTCACTTTTTTATTTGCTTCAGAAGTTTAAGAAATACGCGGCTATGCTTGTGTTAAAATCTCTTTATTTTTCCAGGTAATGTCTTTTCATAAGCGACCTGGCCACGAATAATTGCTCAACGAAGTAGCTTATGTGGACATTTATATCAGTCAAATCCTCTAAATGCGTGTTTTCTAAATGTGGAGGGAAAAACAAAGGGACCTGGAGAAAAATCCATGTGACCACGGGGAGAACACGCAAACTCCAAATATACAGGCGTTATTAGGGTTGGGATCGAACCCACGACCTCCTGTATGCCAGGCGAGGTAGTTAACATCTCGCCACCGTGGCGCCCCGTTTACTTTGGCACAGGTTTGTTTGGCCTTAGCTCTCCTCTCCTCCACACGTGAGATGCATCATGGTCCTGACGGAAGCCGATCGCTCCCCGCACACGGACCCACACAACTGGGGCACTGAGGGCCGTGCTGGTCATACGCGATGCAGAGGTCACGGTGGATCGAATAACTCAACACAGAGGTCGTCGCAGTCACGGAGATTCCTTGCAGTCACGAAAGCTCCAAATTAAGTTGATTCCTTACAGAGTCTGTCCACTACCAGGCACGGCTAAACACATTGACACGTATAGTAGCTGTCAAGCGCCTTGAGTGAAGGCGCTCTGTAAATTATATTAACGTGCCAAATTATTTCAGCTCGCGCGGGTAAGTTAAAGCATCGTAATCCTCACGGCCAAATATAGCAATCAGATATATCTACCGCTTGTACCCGTGACCATTCGCTTAGCTATGTTGGGTGGACTTTGACACAAATGTTACCATATTAGGACGTGGCCGAACCCAAACATTGCTAATGCATCAGTGGCTGAAATGCATTTGCCGCGAGCTGGTGGCTCTGCAGCACGCGGCCTATGACCCAGCGGCAGCGGCGCTGTGGACGAGCCGGCGCGAGGGTTTGTGGATCACGCGCGCGCTCGGGAAACTCCCTGTCCGTGCAGGGTATTGCAGTAGCGCAAATGGGTTAATCTCCTTAGTTACGGGGATTGTTAGACCCGCCTCACACACGTGGGTTTTGTGAGGGTGCTCTGGTTTTATCCCACTTGTGTAAGACAACTCGCTCGCTCATGGAGTTGGCCAAACATCCCCCAATTGTAGGACCGTTGAGCTTGGGGAATGGTTGCCACCGGATCTGGCTGCTTCCCCGCGTCGTGTCTGTGGGTTCGCGCGCCTCTGAATCATTCTCCGTCGGACTTTCTGTGCGCTGTGCTCAACCTGTAAAGAATAAATTGCTTCACTGTTGATTACACTGCGTCGCCTCTCACGAGATTCATTGGTGACGCGCCATTGCTTCTTTTTAAGAGCGGGAAACCCCGCGGGCGATACGTGACGTCACCGGCTTCTGCAAGGCAATGACGTCACGCGGCACGCGCGAAGGGTGACGTCACCAACTTGCTACAAGGGGGTGACATCAAGCGGTCCCGCGAGGCATTACCAGCTCTGAAGTGGGCAAACTTTCGCACTTGAGCAGTTGCTTCTTGCTGTGGCTTTCCCACCTGATGACGGACGCATGTGTTGCGCCCGAAACGTCGTGATTTAATTTATTTTTTATTTTCTACCTACGTTCAAGTTCATTTATTAGGTATAGCCCTGTGAGCCATTCGGCTCTTGAATCGGGTGCAACCGCAACAAACAAAAACATGAACAAAAAACATCTTAAAGTGAATATGTGACTAAGTGCAAACAGAAACTCCAAGAAAAGACAGCAAAATATTGCAGAAAAAAATCACCGTACACCAACGCTGTGTGCAAAAATCCCAGTGGGATGCAAGTCAAACAACCAACAACAACCACAAGACAACTTAGATTAAGGCCGTCAGTCGAACTCTGTACTACAACAAACATGGCTAAATTTCGATTTAAAGCTTTCGTGACTGCAGGGATTCATCTTCTTGGTTCTTTCGGTAAAGTCACCTGAGGACGGCTGCTTGCGTTGTGGCCGAAACGTCGTGAGAATTATTTTATTGTTTTATTTTATTATTTCCATTCTACGTGACTTTAGAGAAAGAACCAAGAAGATGAAACATGGCTAAACCAATACACTTTTCGAAATCACCAAAATAAAGCCATGAAACAGTGATCATAGGAACTGTGACGGAATTTTCACAATAAATGGCATAAACAACATGTACCACCAAAACCCTGCAGCCATAGCTGGCTGCATGAGTCACTCCACAACAGCAGGAGCATCAATCGGAGTATTATAATTTTTCAATGCACCTTTAAGATCAGGACACTACATCAAAACACAGGTCATACTTTGTAGCGATCATCCGGAGCGAGACTTTGCCGAAAGAACCGAAGAGTATGGATACCTGCAGTCACGAAAACGTATAATCTAGATTCATTACCGGCTATTGAAAAGCAGCGTCACTGCACCACGAAGCGTGCATCACCGGCCTCCGCAAAGGAATTACGTCAGGCGGCACTCGCGAAGCATGACGTCACGCTCGCAAACCCTGCCAGAGGAATGACGTCACGCTGCGCTGTGCCGGTGACGTCACGCCATGGCGGCCTCGTTCCACCCGCGCGCGGGGCGCCTCGTCTCGCTGAGCAACGGGGGCCGCACGGCGCGGCGCCTCCGAGCCGCGCACGAGTTCAACCACGGCCTCGTGATGAGCCGCGAGCCGCTGCGGGACGGGCAGCTCTTCCAGATCCGCATCGACCGCAAGGTGAGGAACCTGTCCTGCCCCCCCCCCACCCCGGGGGGTGAGGAGGGGGGGACGCCGAGCCCCCGATCGCCCGGCGCGGGGCTCTCAGATTCCCCAGCTCGGACCGGCGCTTACCCCGCGCCCATTGGCCGAGGCGGCGGCCACGCGGCGCGCTCATTGGGCCGCCGCGTCACGTGGCGCTCGTGTGCACTGCGAATTCTGACGAGGGCCGCGCGCAGCATCCCGCAGCCCCTCTCCTCATCACCCCCACCCCGCCCCTCACTCCCGTCACCTCCTCACCCCCCTCCCCCTCTTCACACCCCCACCCCTCATCCCCCCTCCCCCTCTTCACACCCCCACCCCTCCCCACCCGTCACCTCCTCACCCCCCCTCCCCCTCTTCACACCCCCACCCCTCATCCCCCCTCCCCCTCTTCACACCCCCACCCCTCCCCACCCGTCACCTCCTCACCCCCCCTCCCCCTCTTCACACCCCCACCCCTCATCCCCCCTCCCCCTCTTCACACCCCCACCCCTCCCCACCCGTCACCTCCTCACCCCCCCTCCCCCTCTTCACACCCCCACCCCTCATCCCCCCTCCCCCTCTTCACACCCCCACCCCTCCCCACCCGTCACCTCCTCACCCCCCCTCTTAACCCCCACCCCTCATCCCCCCTCCCCCTCTTCACACCCCCACCCCTCCCCACCCGTCACCTCCTCACCCCCCCTCCCCCTCTTCACACCCCCACCCCTCATCCCCCCTCCCCCTCTTCACACCCCCACCCCTCCCCACCCGTCACCTCCTCACCCCCCCTCCCCCTCTTCACACCCCCACCCCTCATCCCCCCTCCCCCTCTTCACACCCCCACCCCTCCCCACCCTTCACCTCCTCACCCCCCCTCCCCCTCTTAACCCCCAGCCCCCACCCCTCATCCCCCCTCCCCCTCTTCACACACCCACCCCTCCCCACCCTTCACCTCCTCACCCCCCCCCTCTTAACCCCCAGCCCTCACCCCCCCTCCCCCTCTTCACACCCCCACCCACCCGTCACCTCCTCACCCCCCCCCCCTCTTAACCCCCAGCCCCCACCCCTCATCCCCCCTCCCCTTATCCCAACCTCAACCCGAGCCCCCAACCCTCAGCGCCAGCTCTCCCCCCACACGATTTCACCCAACCCCTTCCCTTACCCCCTCACCCCACGCTTCCCCTCAGTTGCCCCCTGCAGGTTGCTGTTGACGTGTTGCATGTTGCTGTTGACGTGTTGCAGGTTGTTGACAAGTTGCAGGTTGCTGTTGACATGTTGCTGTTGCCAAGTTGCAGGTTGTTGTTGACATGTTGCAGGTTGCTGTTGACGTGTTGCAGGTTGCTGTTGCCAAGTTGCAGGTTGTTGTTGACATGTTGCAGGTTGTTGTTGACATGTTGCAGGCTGCTGTTGACGTGTTGCAGGCTGCTGTTGACGTGTTGCAGGTTGCTGTTGACGTGTTGCAGGCTGCTGTTGACGTGTTGCAGGTTGTTGTTGACATGTTGCAGGTTGCTGTTGACGTGTTGCAGGTTGCTGTTGACGTGTTGCCAAGTTGCAGGTTGCTGTTGATGTGTTGCAGGTTGCTGTTGACGTGTTGCAGGCTGCTGTTGACGTGTTACAGGTTGCTGTTGACGTGTTGCAGGTTGCTGTTGACGTGTTGCAGGTTGCTGTTGACGTGTTGCCAAGTTGCAGGTTGCTGTTGCCAAGTTGGAGGTTGCTGTTGATGTGTTGCAGGTTGCTGTTGACGTGTTGCAGGTTGCTGTTGACGTGTTGCAGGTTGCTGTTGACGTGTTGCAGGTTGCTGTTGACGTGTTGCAGGTTGCTGTTAGTGCCTCATAGTTCCGTGCCTCATAAACATGTGTGAAGCAACATATGATACGCATGTAGTACCCACGCATTACGAATGTCCTGAATGCTGAGAGCTATTTAATCTGAGGCGTGACTGCCCTTATTCGGCGAGACCGATGTTATCTGTGCCCCACGAGGCAACACCATGCACCTTGACATATATTTGACATATATCCTTAACGTATGTCCTCGTCTTTTTGCTCAACAGTGAAATCCATTTTGACGTTTCTGTGACTTGATTTTTACTGCGTGGTTTTTCGAAGTAATTTGTCCCAAGGCAACGTTTTGTTACAGCAAATGTATTTTAATTAATGTTAATATGTTTTGTGTACTGTTTCAGTTTCGCCTTTAAACATTTTTTGTTTGCTCTGATTTCTAATTGGCAGTTTTTTTTGTTATTTGCCTTTTCCGAGTCGCTGGGCTCTTTGCGTGGTAACGAGCGTGTCGTCTTCGTCTTCGCAGCTCAACTCGTGGAGCGGCTCCCTCGAGGTGGGGCTCACATCCCGGGACCCTGGCCAGGAAGCGAGCGAGCTGCCGAGCAGCGCCACGACGCTGCGGGGCGGCGCCTGGCTGCTGTCGGGCTCCTGCGTGTTGCACGACGCCAAGACGCTGCTCGATGCATACGGGCGCACGCACGCCGGTGAGGGTACATGTTTGCGCTCGTGCGCGTGTGCGTGTGGCGCACACGTGCTTATCGGTGAGGTTTAATCGGCACGCCGGTGAAAGAGTGTGTGTGTTTGTGCGGACACATGCGGTTGTGAAGTTGTTATCGCACTGCCCTACTAACTAGGTTTCCGCTTATGGGTGACGAATATCTGAACCGGTCCTGGGCCTCCTCCCATGTCGACTCGGCCTTAAATGAGTACCTGGTATTGTGCGTAAACATATGTGAAATGGTTCGAGAGAGGCGCACACACTGCTATGGGTAGGCAACACTATTTATTAAGACAACGTGAAATAACACTACACATAGGGTGGTGACCACCGACCTATCCTCGCTAACACTCGTTAACACTCGCTAACACTGACACTGATAGCAACTGGCGTGGCCAAGCCAGGAGCGCTACTGCCTGGCCACGCTGGCTTGAGGCTTGGCTTCACTCTTCATGAGGTGTCTTCAGGAGGCATCTTCATCCCGGATCCGAGCAGCCCCGCACCAGGTGTGGAGCCCCCTTATATGCGCCACGGCGTGGCCAGGCCACACCCCGGCCACGCCCACCTTCGAGAACCCTCGAGAAGGCTTTGCTTCTGGCCACGTGGCCTCCGAAGTCCTCCCAGGGCCCCTGGCCCCCACCTTGATCCAGTCACATGTACGGTTGGGTTCATCCAGAGTGCCATGGCCTCACACAACCCCCGTGGCACTGACCGATGGCCTCCAAGCCCCCGACCCGGCCGTGACGTCATTCCCGCATCTACACGTAGTGACATCATGTGTGTGTGGGTGTGTAGACCCACACGGTAGTGACGTTCCCCACACGTGACATCATGCGTGTGTGTGTGTGTCGACCCACATGGTAGTGACGTTACAAGTCACAACATATGTACTAGGGAACCAGAGGTGACTGGGTGTAGTGCTGGCCACCCACTCCCACGTGTGCCGTGCTGGCTTTCACAGGTGCACACTAATAGCACTTGCCTCAAGAGTCTGTTCAGGATACACGGCGGGATCTTTATCATTAATTGCGCACATGCGTGTGTGCACAAGATGAGTGTGTGGACCTGGACTCGCTGGAGGAGGGAGCGCTGGTTGGGGTGCAGAGGACAGCTGCAGGCGAGTTCCACGTGTGGCTCAACGGCCACGACTGTGGGGTGGCGGCCACAGGCCTCCCCTCCCCCGTGTGGGCCCTCATAGACCTCTACGGCAAGTGCACACAGGTGAGGATCATGCACGCGGGTGAGGCTCGTATACACCATAACCTGTTGTATGCATTTCCATGTGACTTACACACACGTGTGTGTGTGTGTCTTTGCAGGTCACTGTTGTGGATGATGAACGACCACAACAGGCAGCCGATCACCCACCAGAAGGTATTTTACGAAGAGTCCACAGCAACCGCATTCAGGGCCGGATTAAGGCATGGGCTTTAGAGGCTGCAGCCCAGGGGCCTCCGCCAGAGATTAAGTGAAAAGTTATTTCATTTGTGAGTGCTGAATTTTATATGTTGTTAGCCTTGTAAAAATAAAGTTTATTTTTCTTTAACTTTTCCAGACCCAAAGAGTATGAATTCCTGCAGTCACGAAAGCTTTAAGTCAAGATTTGTTTTCCTTTTCAAAATATTACTGGGGGCCTCACAGTACCTGTAGCCCAGGGGCCTACAAAATCTTAATCGGGCCCTGACCGCATGCACAAAATCCTCCCAGCTGCATGCACCATTAGTTAGTTATTTTCAAACAGTGGTAATCTGCCAACCGAGTCATCCTTGAAGAAGCACTTCTTAGCTCAACGGGTTTTACTTGGGAATTAACTTATAATTCTGTTAAACATATCTCGGCTCATTACAGTGTCCTCATACGACCACCATGTGGAAATGTTTTCTCACCACCTAGACAGCACACAGTCTCTGCATGATGTGCAAGTGCTCCTTGGATTTCACTCTGACGTCAACCCATAAATGACAGCCTGCAGGCAGCGAATCAACATCACCGGCCATCAAAATGAGGTTGACACTGATTATCCATTCTGGTTTGTGTGCATTTGACTCGATGGCCCGGGAAGGCGCTTCGTAGGCAGGAGGGGTAAGACACGGTGGACCCGTCGTCATCGCTCCTCTAAGCGCATCCTTGTTGTCTGCGCACGTTCCCACCTCCCCAGCCTCCCCCTGTCTGCCGTCTGCCGCTCCTCCGCCGGACAACGTCTCCGCATCGCGCACGGAGAGTCGCCGCAGTGGCGCGGCGCGGCACAGCACTCGGGCGGCCTCCACCTCCTCCTTGGCGGCAGTGGCAGTGGACGCAGGGTTGACAGTGGCGGTGGACGTGCACGGCTCGGCACCACTCGGCTTCGCGCTCGCCTCGTCGTCGTCCGCCTCCCTCCTCTCGGCTCCTGCCCACTCCTGGTCCAGCCCCCCGACGCCCCATGCGCCTGTGTCGGCCTGCAACGACGCACTGCTCTTCCACGCAAAGTGCGGTGCCCTCATCCGCCTGAGCAACAATCAGAAGACGGCCGAGCGGCGGCGGCCATTGGATGAGTTCAACAATGGCGTCGTGCTCACGAACCGGCCGCTTCCGCCATGGAGAGACGTTTGAGGTGTGTGTGTGGATCGTGGGTTTATCGTGTGGTGTGGGTCGTGTGTGGATCATAGGTGGATCGTGTGTGGATTGTGGGTGGATCGTGGTTGGATTGTATGGTGTGGATTGTGGGTGGATCGTGGGTGGATTGTATGTAGAACATGGGTGGATCGTGTGGATTGTGGGTGGATATTGGGTAGATCGTATGGTGTGGATGGAGTGTGAATCATGTACGGAGCGTGTGTGGATCGTGTGGTGTGGATCATGTGGTGTGGATCATGTGTGGATTGAGTATGAATGGTGGGTGGATTGTAGATAGATCATGTGTGGATCGTGGGTGGATCGTGGGTGGTTCGTGGGTGGTTTGTGTGTGGGTGAGCGGGCACAAGGAAGGTTTAAACATGTTATATTTTTTATTTACTCTCATCAGCAATCAAGTTTGTTTGCACCAATGCTGGGTGAACTGCCAAATGTTGACTTAAAGCTTTCGTGATTGCAGGAATCCATACTCTTTGGTTCTTTCGGTAAAGGCACGTATGTAGAAAAATACAATAAAAAATAATATATCACGACGTTTCGATCACAACACAAGCGGTCGTCCTCAGGCGGAAAAAATAATCCAGCAGTGGAACTGCTGAACCAGCGAGAGAGCTGCAAGGAATTCCATCCCCGGACGCAAGCAGGTCAATTGTGTTAATGGGGGAGATTAGGGAGAGCGAGATTAGGGAGAGAGATTAGCATGAAATGAGCTTCCATCGCCCCATAAGTGTATCGTCCCCGCATATGCACACAACAGCAGTGTTAATGGGAGATTAGCACTATGTTGATGGGAGAGATTAGGCAGAGAGATTTGGAGGATTAGCAAGTTAATGTCATGTCTATGTGTAACACAAGCTGCGGTGCTGCCAACTGCGCTGTGAGAGGCAAGCGCGTCCACGCAAGAGAACCACCGCAAACGGTGGTCGCGCCAATGAGACACACATCCCATCACACAGCCAGAACCATTGATATATTGAGGCTAAGGGAGCAGACGTGGCCATGTTAGTGAGACCCCAGCCCGTTAATGCAGAGGCACCTAACAGGGCAATGCAACTCAGAGAGTTGGAGATAACAGCCAAATGCCAGGGAAGAATGGAAGCACCACAGCAAGTTACGACTTTGCTTGGTTAATAACGTCCTTCCAATGATTGCTCAGCTTATACCCATCTTCTCAGTTGAAATTGTCTCTGTGTTTATATATCTGCATGGCTTCATGGACACATCTTTGATGGTAGCCCGAAGGTTTGCAGAAAAAAACAATATCGTGCGAGCGGAAGCTCATTTCATGCTAACCTCTCTCCCTAATCTCTCTCCCTAATCTTTCCCATTAACACAACTGACGTGCTTGTGTCCGGCTCAGACCCCGCTTGCTTGCCCATCGCCATATATATAACCTCTTGTTGTAACAGCTCTCTCGCTGGTTCAGCAATTCCACTGCTGGATTATTTTTTCTGCCTGAGGACGACCGCTTGTGTTGCGATCGAAACGTCATGATATATTATTTTTTATTTTATTTTTCTACCTACGTGACTTTACCGAAAGAACCAAAGAGTATATGTCATATTCTTTGTATTCAAGTGAATTATTAGAAGTTATCCTTAATTCCATGCACCAACTCTTTGGTTCCTTCAGTAAAGTCACGTAGAAAGAAAATAAATAAAAAAATATTCCTACGGAGGGAGCTGGTAGGAACGTTGGGTTGCTCGGTCAATGGCCAGGGTCAACGGCAGCGTGGTGTATTCCGCAAATATGGCCGACTGTGAGGTCAGGCACAAGCCGGCGTGAGTAGGTTAAATGTTGAGTATTATAAGGGCACCACGGGGTGACCAGCCCCCCCCATCCAGCCCCACTCCTCCCACTCCCCACCCAGCCCCACCCTCCCCACCCAGCCCCTCCCTACCAGCCCCTCCCCACCCTGCCCCTCCCCACCCTCCCCACCCTCCCCTCCCCACCCTCCCCACCCTCCCCACCCCCCCTCCCCACCCCCCCCTCCCCACCCTCCCCTCCCCACCCTCCCCACCCAGCCCCTCCCCACCCTCCCCACCCAGCCCCTCCCCACCTTCCCCACCCAGCCCCTCCCCACCCTTCCCACCCAGCCCCTCCCCACCCTCCCCACCCAGCCCTCCCCACCCTCCCCACCCAGCCCCTCCCCACCCAGCCCCTCCCCACCCAGCCCCTCCCCACCCAGCCCCACCCAGCCCCTTCCCACCAAGCCCCTCCGCACCCTCCCCACCCAGCCCCTCCGCACCCTCCCCACCCAGCCCCTCCGCACCCTCCCCACCCAGCCCCTCCGCACCCTCCCCACCCAGCCCCTCCCCACCCAGCCCCACCCTCCCCTCCCCACCCAGCCCCTCCCCACCCAGCCCCTCCCCACCCTCCCCGCCCCTCTCCACCCTCCCCACCCAGCCCCTCCCCACCCAGCCCCTCCGCACCCTCCCCACCCAGCCCCTCCGCACCATCCCCACCCAGCCCCTCCGCACCCTCCCCACCCAGCCCCTCCGCACCCTCCCCACCCAGCCCCCCGCCCCTCCCCACCACACCTCCTCCGCACCCTAACCACCCAAGCACTCTGCACCTCCCCACACCTCTCCCCACCCTCCCCTCCCACCCAGCCCTCCCCCTCCTCCCCTCACCCACCCCCCCCTCCCCACCACCCCTCCCCCCCTCCCCTCCCCCCCAACCCAGCCCCTTCCCCCCCCCCTCACACCCAGCCCCCTCCCCACCCCCCTCCCCACCCCCCCTCACCCCCCCCCCCCTCCCCTCCCCCCCCCCCCCCTCCCCCACCGCCCCTCTCCTTCCCCCTCCCCGACCCCCCCTGCCCCTCCCACCCGCCCCTCCCAACCCGCCACCCTCCCCCACCCCCCTGCCCCTCCCCACCCGGCCCCTGCGCCCACCAGCCCCTCCCCCCCGCGCCCTACCCAACCAGCCCTCCCCCCCCCCCTCGCCACCCGCCCCTACCCCCACCCCCCTCCCCTCCCCACCCCGGCCCTCCCCCCACCCCGCCCTCCCCTCCCACCCCGCGCCCTCCCCACCCTCGCCCTCCCCTCCTCACCCCCGCCACCTCCCCACCCGCCCCTCCCCACCCGCCCCACCCAGCCCCTCCCCACCCAGCCCCTCCCCACCCAGCCCTTCCCCACCCTCCCCACCCAGCCCCTCCCCACCCAGCCCCTCCCCACCCAGCCCCTCCCCGCCCCTCCCCACCCAGCCCCTCCCCACCCTCCCCACCCGCCCCTCCCCACCCGCCCCTCCCCACCCGCCCCTCCCCACCCAGCCCCTCCCCACCCAGCCCCTCCCCACCCTCCCCACCCAGCCCCTCCCCACCCTCCCCACCCAGCCCCTCCCCACCCAGCCCCTCCCCACCCAGCCCCTCCCCACCCAGACCCACCCCACCCAGCCCCTCCCCACCCAGCCCCCCCCACCCTCCCCACCCAGCCCCTCCCTCCCCACCCAGCCCCTCCCTCCCACCCAGCCCCTCCCCACCCTCCCCACCCACCCAGCCCCTCCCCACCCTCCCCTCCCCACCCAGCCCCTCCCCACCCAGCCCCTCCCCACCCCTCCCCACCCGCCCCTCCTCACCCAACCCCTCCCCACCCTCCCCTCCCCACCCTCCCCTCCCCACCCTCCCCTCCCCACCCAGCCCCTCTCCACCCTCCCATCCCCACCCCACCCTCCCATCCCCACCCTCCCTTCCCCGCCCTTCCCCACCCAGCCCCTCCCCACCCAGCCCCTCCCCACCCTCCCCTCTCCACCCAGCCCCTCCCCACCCTCCCCACCCTCCCCACCCAGCCCCTCCCCACTCTCCCCACCCGTCCCTCCCCACCCAGCCCCTCCCCACCCAGCCCCTCCCCACCCGTCCCTCCCCACCCGCCCCTCCCCACCCTCTCCTCCCCACCCAGCCCCTCTCCACCCTCCCATCCCCACCCTCCCCTCCCCCGCCCTTCCCCAGCCAGCGCCTCCCCACCCAGCCCCTCCCCACCCTCCCCTCACCACCCAGCCCCTCCCCACCCTCCCCACCCTCCCCACCCAGCCCCTCCCCACCCAGCTCCTCCCCACCAGCCCCTCCCCACCCAGCCCCTCCCCACCCAGCCTCTCCCCACCCTCCCCACCCAGACCCTCCCCACCCAGACCCTCCCCACCCAGCCCCTCCCCACCCTCCCCACCCAGCCCCTCCCCACCCAGCCCCTCCCCACCCAGCCCCTCCGCACCCTCCGCACCCAGCCCCTCCGCACCCTCCGCACCCAGCCCCTCCCCACCCTCCCCTCTCCACCCAGCCCCACCCCTCCCTCCCATTTTTGGATGCACGACGGACGGACGGACGGACACAATAATCCCCTGTGGGCTGGTGTAACCAGGAGGTTCCTACCAGTATAATAGAATACGACGTTTCGATTGCAACACAAGCAACCGTCATGAGGTAGAACTAACTTTGAGAGAGAGACAAAACACGGAGACACACAGACAGACACACAAGCAGAGAGAGACACACAGAGACACACAGAGAGACACAACATAGACACACAGAGACCCAATGCCTCTGTGTCGAGGCCTTAAATAGAGAGGGGGGGGGCAGAGAGAGAGGTGGGTCCTGCTGAAGCAGCTGCTGGAGCAGAGAAATTAGCATGTCAATGACTCCACCCCGAAGCGACCGAGGGAGAGAAAGATCGAATGGCCCTTTGAGAGCCTGGTCAATCTAAAGAGAGAGAAATAGGCAGTTCGAGAAAACTAAATGTAGCAATTTTTTTTGGCAATGTAATGCAATGCAACACAGAGTCCATGCATCCACATTGTGTTTTTTTATTCTTAGATCCGGATAGACCGACTGGTGGACAAGTGGAGTGGCTCTCTAGAAATTGGTGTCACGACACATGACCCCAACAGCATGGACTATCCAGCCACAATGACCAACATGATGTCAGGTATTGTACAAGCACATTATGAAACGTAATCGTCGATAAACATAAAGCATTATGTGAATTAATGAGTGGCGCAGTGGTTAGCGGCACTGCGCTCTGAATTCGGAGACCTGAGTTGAAATCTGTGATGTCTGAGCTGGTCCCGTGACCCCCATTTCACCAGTTCACACTCTCAGTGTGGTGAAATATGGCCAAATATCCCCCCACGACCAATACAGCCTGGGAAGGCCTTCATCCAGCAGTAGATTTACAAAGAGCTGTAAGTTATTATAAAATGTACATCAAAACACTTTACAGTATTTGTCACCGACATATGCCATATAGAGTGTCTATCATCTTACAAACAAGGCAGAAGTAATTGCGGAGGCAAACTAATTAAACAGTACGCATTTATACAAAGTCAAAAGCATAAAGAAACACAAATTATATTTAAACGGTGCACACTGCCGGTTCATGTAGAATGTAACCCAGGTTTGTCGTAGCATCTGCAGGAGTGTTTGTGTGTCTGCAGATAACTTTCCTCATCCCTCGCCTTAATGTGTGTATGTATGTTGAACTTGTTTTGCAATGTACATAGCCAACCGTGATAATCAGAGGTGCGGGAGGATGATGATGATGGTCTGTTTAAATATGCAGGTACAATCATGATGAGCGGCTGTGGGATCCTGACAAACGGGAAGGGGACGCGGCGAGAGTACTGTGATTTCAGCCTCGATGAGCTGCAGGTGACGTAATCATTACGGGCATGATTTCCACACGCTTTGTCATCGATGCTGCCTTGACAGTACAGCAGACTCTCGATTATCCACGTGCGGTTTATCTGATTCGCGGATTAACCGCGCACCTGAGATTTTGACATAAATTAATAACTCGCGGATTTTCCCTTAAGCCCAAATGAATCATCTAAAACAGTTTTACATTGTTATTCGTGGAAATGTTTATTACACGTCACGTGCTTAAACCGAACAAATATGTTGCTCCAGTTAATCTGAAATCCACATGTTCGCCTCTACAGTACAATACATTAATTGCATATCTTTACAACAGTGGGTCGAGTTTGTTTGATGTTGATTGGTATGGCTCTGCTGCTGTCCACTTAGTGGGTTGAGTCTTCTGCACGGGAGCATGAAAGTGTGATCACTGCGCACGCGCATTGATCGGTTAAATTTTTGGAGGATCCGCGATTTTTATTATCCGCGGACGTCCTCCCTATCATTAGCGTGGATAATCGAGCATCTACTGTATTTGTTTCGCTTAATATTGCTTTATCTGCCATTGACCCCACCGAGTCTGGTGGTTCCCCCCATGTTTGTGAATGCGGCAGTGGTTTCCCAATATGACTGTCTTATTCCTGTATATATTTCTAGTGTCATCACCATATTATAATTATCCATTGTTTTATTTTTCTGGCTGTAGGAAGGGGATCACATTGGCTTAATTAGGAAAACGAATGGCGAGCTTCACTTTTATGTTAACGGCTTGGATCAAGGTATGTATTGCCCTCGTACGTGTCCATTAATCTGTCCCGATCATATTTTGTGAACAATTTGCATATATGTGATCGGAGGCTAATGGGTATTTAATTCCTAAATAAGTTTTTTTTCCTATTTTAAATTGACGAAAGGTTGAGGCATCATTCCACAACGAAGGTGTTTACTTTCTGTGTAAACATATGGTAAGTAGGCCCGTTAATTTTGTCCAAAAGCTGGTCCCACCATTGCGGTGATGTTTACAGTAATTCCAGCTGGTCTGGAGATTTTCCTTTTTCACACTGAATGGCCATGGTTACTTCTTCAAGTGTGACCTCTTGAACATTCTCTTCATCTGGAAATTGCCTGTGATATGTTAATCTTTAGCAATGGAGATTTGTTTAAAAAATAATTCTTGTCATGCACTAAGAATTGCCAATCTTCAACCTTTCCTGCTGCTGTCATGCTGCCATCGCTTATGCCATCTTCAACGATATTTTTTTTTGTGTTTTTTTATTTATATTCTCGTTCTATTCCTGATGGTTTACAGACTTCAGTGTATGTTATATTAAAATCAGCATACCTCGGGAAAAACAACATTCTGATCATACATATTACCTGGCATGATTTTAATCAGAAACGGAGGCGCTGACCTTGTGGAGATGTGTTTCTGGTATTGTGTAGGTGTAATGTGCTGCCTTGTTTCCTTCCACCACCTGTGTACACAGGTGTAGCGGCATCCCAGACCGCGACCACGATCTACGGGGTGGTGGATCTTTATGGAATGGCTGCCAAAGTCACCATTGTCCACGAACAAAATCATGCCGACCGTCTGAGGAGAAACACGGCCATCATGCGTGCGATTTCTCCCGAGTCCACCAATCGCAGGGCTAGGGCGACCGCTGGCGGTGCAGGCCACAGCAGCGGCCTCGCCACCGGCAGATTGAACTCGCGTTCGGAGGCCGACACGTGCGGCACGGCACGGGCCACAGCCGCCCCCATGCCTCTACTCGCAGGAGAGAACTTTGATGAGAGTGTTGATTTTTGTGGAGATCTCGAGACACGGAGAGGGGCGGAGAGGACCACTCGAGCTGTCAGGGAACGAGAGAGAGTGATGGACGAAGTGGGATGGAGAGATGAAGAGCAGGAGACAGAGAGAGAAACGCCAGAGGTGGCGGAAGGAGAGAAGAGCGCAGAAGACGACATGAATTCCTCGAGAGAGAGGAGGCGGGAGCAGATATCAGGAGGAGATGCGTCGGGTCTGTTCGAGAGATACGAAGATATTCAGAGCAGAAGATGCAGGAATGGAGAAGTAGGAGGAGGTAGACAGAGCCTGGCGGATAGGGAAACCAATAGAGACAATTACCTGAGGTCCGATTTGGACTATTTTTCCAGTCTGTCCAGCTATACGGATTTTGGAATCGCCTATTGCCGAGCTCATGCCACAAGAGAAAACTTGCTCCGCTCTGCACGTAGCAGAGAATTGCAGGTGGAGAGAGAGCTAAATCGGGAAGAGGAGATGGACACGGGCAGACAGGTGGAGATAGAAAGTGACAGAGGGAGACTTTTGCCAGAACTGAATTTGCCTACAAATCTTTCCGACGCAAGGCATCTCATTGCTCACACGAACGTGCGGTTAGCCGCGTCGTGGAGAGAGAGGGGGGGAAATGGAGATGAAGATTTAGAGAATGGAAGGGAGAGAGATGACATCGGATTGGGGTTGAGCCATTCAAGTTTCTTTACAAATGCCAGATTGTCAACATGGAGAGAAAGAGAGACAGAGAGGGAGAGAGACAGAGGGACAGCAGTGAATAGAAGCATATGCACTCCAGAACCAAATCAGCTCTCACTTCCTACTGCTGAAGCGATTTTTGCCAATAGTGAATTCTCTGGTTTGGACAATGGATCTGACGTTGAACTTAATGGACAGAGTTGTAATGCCACAGCATTGGCCGGTGGTCCAAGTGTGGGTGGCTGCGGCTCCGGAGAGATGGAGGCATCCGTGACGACGGTGATAGAGGGAGGTGAAGGCACTCCTGGGGATTGTGGGCCACTGCTCTTCCACCCAAACTGTGGGCAGCGTGCAGCCGTGGTCAATGGAGGACGCACCGCGTTGCGGCCAAAGTGAGTCTCGTCTTGTGTCTCTCGATTGTCTTGCAATCGGAAGCAAGTTCGTGGCCTCGTCAAACACGACTGAGAAACCATAATTCGTTGTTTTTAATGATTTACACTTGGTTATAGCAAGAAATCTTCACTGAGCCTCAGGAGTCTTGTACAGGAGGGTCCTGCCAAGTTTCCGCATTATGGGGCGATGTTGCTGTGTGTAATCCCAATGTAGTCATTTGTCGCTAATTTTTCACCATAGGGATGTTTTGTGAATATCCGTTACATTGGACGTTATTTCAGCTATGAGAAAAAACTGGAAAATCCAGAGGAAACTCATGCAGGTCAGGAGTAGAACATACAAACTCCATGCAGAAAGGTGCCCCAGTTGGGAGTTGAACCGAGGTACTTCTTGCTGTGAGACAGGAGTGTTACCACTGGACCGCCCCTGGCTTAGTCCTCCTGCTTGCTTCTTGTCTCATCCAGCTGCAGAAACTCAACATAATTTGATTTTAGGCTCAATTAAATAAGAATCCCACATTCCTATAGTGGGGCCAGCCTGTCTGTGGGATGACCATGGCTGCATCCACACAGCCATGTGAAGATACAAAGCCTTGTTCCCACAAAGTAGTGCTTATTGTATTAACCCAGAAGGAAAATGGGCTCACCCGACCTCTAACTATGATTTAAATTCCTTGCCTATAAACATTTGGCAGTTCATACTCTTTAGGTCTTTCGGTATATGATATAACATCCTGTATCAGCAGCTCTCTCACTAATTTTTTCACCTGAAGATGATTGCTTGTGTTGCGATCGAAACGTCAATTTTTTTTATAATTTTTCTATCTACGTGACTTTACCGAAAGACTCAAAGAGTATGAATTCCTGCAGTCACGAAAGCTTTAAGTCAACATTTGGCAGTTCACCCAGCATTGGTGCAAACAAACTTTATTGCTGATAAGACTAAATACCAATACCAGTCCAGAGTTTGCTTGTGTTGAACTAATGCTTCTGGAAATGATGCACTCTCAGAAGGCTGTGTGGCCGATGGGATGTGTAAAATATAAAATTTTCATGTGGATGGGCAGATATGGGAAGGGGGTGAATTTCCTGCTAATTTATTTTGTTAATGTAACGCCTGCTTTTCCTCTCTGTGCACTTCAATTAATGACAATATGTTTGTAATTGCTATGTAGTGCAGTGTTTGCAGTTATGATTGTGTATTTGATTTACGTAATTTGTTCCATGTTTATCATGCCTGCTGTACCCACAGTGCCTTGGAAGATTTTAACCACGGGGTGGTTCTCTCGAACCGACCGCTCAGGCCGGGAGAGCGATTTGAAGTGCGCATCGACCGCATGGTGGACAAGTGGGCGGGCTCCATCGAGGTCGGCGTGACCACTCACTCGCCCGTGCGCATTGCGCTGCCCTCAACCATGACCAACATGCGCTCTGGTACGCGTGTGTGCGCGCGCATCCATTCACTCGCGTGGGCCACCGTGGTCGGCCGGCAGGGTGGCGGCAGCGCATTGGCAACACTTCTGCCTCGCGGCAAGGAGGGCCTGAGTTTGATTGCTGAATTGGGCTGGGCGCCTTTCTGGGTATGTTCAGCATGTTCGTTCACCTCCTGTTCTGCATGGGTTCCTCCAGGTTTTCCCCTATTTTCTCCAAAAGCTAAACCAAATATACATTGTAACTGGTATTGGCCAAATGTCACAATGTTGAAAAATGACATGTAAATTACTCATTTGGGATGATCAAAATCAGCGTTGCCCCCTCTTAAAAAAACTTTGCAAGAACTTCCTGAAAAAAAATCTTGAGACCCAGTGAGTCTTTCCAGTCCAAACGAGCGTAATACATTTTTTTTTAAAGCGTGTATTTTGTTTAACCAGGTGAGAACTGGAGAGACACAGGCAGAGACTCATTTGTCAGTGTCGTCTGGGTCATGAAACTGACAAAGCAATTGCAACAGAACGAAGTACAACAATAAAGCTAATAGAATTCGGAGCAAAAACAACCAAAATATAACTAAGAGCAAAAATAAACAAATAGAAATTGGAGCAAAAGCAACTGACTCAGAATCAGATTCTTTATTTGGACTGGAGGAATCTGATGAGCTATGAAGCTCTTTTTTCATAGTTGTCCAATAACTGCATTACAGAGGAAATAAAAAACAGTGCACCATCACAATTCACTATCAAATAAATACATATCCAGTTATATGAATCTATATATATAAAATGGAAATTTGTGAATGTGTGTCTGTTCAAAATGTTTAGCGAACTTCCCGACATGCAACAAACTTGAAATTTGCCATGTGGGTACTTTCCAGGCTGGGGGGGGGGGCGCAATAATGCATATATTTTGCACGGAAAGTGGGCTGTGACGTCACATCTGTCATGTGACCCGTATGCAGAAGCGTAACGCAGTGTGTGCTCATGTCACGCATCCCCAACCCTCCGCGGGTAAAGTGAAATACAAATTTGTTGCAGGTCTAAGGCGTTCTTCGTGCAGCATTGGTTTATTATTTTAGTCGTTTACTGCCGTACGCACCCTGAAAGTTGTGTGTGTCTGCAGCAAGCGCGTGTATGTGTACTTATGGACGCACGCGTGTGTGTGGGGGGGGGAGCGGTAGTGTAGTGGTTTGCGTGCTGCTCTACGAACCCGGCGACCCGAGTTTGATTCCTGCTCATGGCCTACACTGGTGACGATTATTTGAACCGGTCCTGGGCCTCCCCTAGGTCGACTGAGCCTCAAACAAGTAACTGGTGTGGTGTGTGAACATCGCCACTGGGGAGACAAAGGCGGCCGAGCGTGGTGGTGGCTGTGCCGGCCTTCATAGGTGCTCGCTAACAGCACTTGCCCCCTACAGTCTCACAGGCTACACGGGGGATCTTTGTCTTTATCCTGTGTGTGTGGGGGGCAGCGACTGCGTAGCGATTCGCGCGCTGCGCTACGAACCCAGTGACCCGAGTTCAATTCCCGCTCACAGCCACCGGTGACGATTATTTGAACCGGTCCTGGGCCTCCCCTAGGTCGACTCAGCCTCAAGCGACAAACTCGTGTGGTGTGTGAACATTGCCACTGGGAGGACAAAGGCGGCCGGGCGTGGTGAATCCGAGTCCCGGGTGAAGCCGGGTAGTAAAGCTAGTACATCTATCTATATATATAAAAGGGAAATTTGTGGATATGTATGTCTGTTCGAAATGTTTAGCATACTTCCTGACATGTGACAAACTTGAAATTTGGCATGTGGATAGCTCCCATATTGTACACAATGTAAAAAGTATAAAAATAGACTTTTGTATCTTGGGTGGGGGGGGGGAAATGACCATGAAGTGTGTGGCGTCAACCCGCATACAGGACTGGCGAGAATCGATATCTGGTGAGCGTTTGTGGTATCGATTAATCGGGAATAGGCCGATTCTAAATAAATCTACAACCTTCGATTCCTTTGCTCGATTTAAAGAATTGAATCTTGGCGCGTGAGCGCAAGTTTTTTTTTTCCACCGCGCGTTGGGTTTTATTTTGATTTTAATTAATCAGGTTATGATAAAAGTTTTCTTTTCATTTATCATTAAATTGCTGAAAAAATATATAATTATATTGTTTATAAAGATTATGGTTATTGTGTGCAAACTTTACATGTAGCACGTTAAACGTTTTCCCCCGAAGTAACATGGCTAAACGGTACAATGCCAATGGGTCTTTTATGTAAAATTGTATTTAGGTAAATTATTATTGTACTTATTAAAGTACTTAAATTCTTACCTATAAAAGTTATTTTTTATCTGTCTGCGTCTCCGTCTGTCTGTTTGTGTACGCAACTTGCGACGCTTTTAACTCACAAACTGGGGTTTACCTTTCTAACTTTAAAGTAGTTAAATTGACAATTTAGTACTATTAATTATTATTTTACTACACTGAGCGCACAACTTTGCGTGCACGAAACGTCGTGGCTCCCATAGCAACGCACAAGCGCGATTGGTGAGGGCGGGGAAAAAATATAATTCGCTTTAATGCAAATATAAAAAGACGCACAACGCTGAGGTAATTCTGCAAAGTGTGATGTCCTCTTCTCCCCCTCCCACGCTAATGTGTGCAGTTACTACTATAGTAAGTATATACTGCTGCAGAGTCGGTAGATACAACTATAGAGTCCGTAGATACTGCTATAGAGTCTGCAGATACTACTGTAGAGTCAGTAGATACTACTATAGAGTCAGCAGATACTTCTATGGAGTTAGTAGTTACTACTATAGTCAGTAGATACTACTATTGAATTAATAGATACCACTATAGATTCAGTAGGTACTACTATCGTCATTAAATACGACTGTAGTGACTGGGAATGTCACTGTGTGGTGCTGGGCTGGTGAGGCCACGGCGGGATATATACTGTTGTGTGTACACCCCGGACATGGGGTGTAGTACCAGCCCTAATGGGGGCTTGGGTGAGCGCTGGTTAAGCATGATGGCCACGCACACACAGCGTGCAGTGTGGGCTCCCGTTGAGAGAGCGAGAGAGTGTCAGCCAGCTGGGGTTACGTTGGGGGCATGTGACCGGATGATACTGGAGGGGGGCCACCGGTGGAAGGGGCTAATGGGTGGTCCGGGAAGAACTCTCGAGAGCCTTCGGGCGAGGGCGAAAAAGATCGAGAAGGTGGGCGGGGCGAGAGGCGGAGCCAGCCCCAGACCGGCCCGATATCAGGGGGGCCCTGTGAGGGGCTCGGGGTTCTTACTGTTGGAGAGGCAGGAGATCCACGTCAAGCTTGAAGAAGCCTCCAGCCACGCGGTCCGGGACCCAGCTTGTGGTCCAGACCGAGATAGTGGAACCGTGTCTAGTTCCGCCGTAGCGTGGTTAGCTGGGTGGTCACCACCCGAGAGTAAGTTGTGTTAATAGCCTGGAGTATGTTGTGTTAAGAGTTGAATAAAACGTGTTGCTCCCAAGACAACGTCTCACTACGTTACTGCAGAGTCAGTAGTTATTACTGTAGAGCCAGATACTACTGTAGAGTCAGATACTGCTATAGAGTCACTAGATACTACTCACTCTATTGTATGTCGGGTGTTTAGGTATATATGCCTACGCGGGGGTAAAAATTTCTTGAGGGTGGCGGAGGGGTCGACAATTTTTGGAAACCTTTTAGATCAACTATTTACCCCCCACTTTCTCTAACTTTTTTGACTGATAATTTTGTTGATGGATAAATGGACAAACCGCACGCCGGGCTTTCACAATAGCTTAGTATTTGTGTATGTATATGTAAGGTTTTTAAGATAAGTTTTCAAGTATATTTTTCGCACAGGCAACGCTGGGTACTTCCCAGCTAGTCCAGTTATAAAGGTTGGCCCGGACAAATTCCTTTTAAAAACCAAAGTCAAGTTCAGTTGCAGGAAATGTAAATATATTTATGGTGATTATTACACGAATATGGAAACACAAGGATATTTAACAAATACAACTGCAAGGGAAATTATATACAGAATTGACTGCTTAGCATAAAATTGTGAATTAGATGGGAGACTGTATGTGGGTTTGTTGGAACATTTTCTCTACTCGTTTTTGAGACTCAACGTGTATGCCTTCCTATACACTGTAATGGGCTGTACATAAGTGAGATATGTTAATTTACTTCTGGTTTAATCAGCCCCTTGCGTTCAATGGAAAATGGGTTTATGTATTGCTTGGTGTACAGGCACGTGGATGATGACTGGGAATGGAGTGATGCACAACGGAACCACCATTCTGGACGACTATGGGCATAACCTGGATCGCCTGCGGGTTTGAATGCACATTCACAAGTCATGTATCCATTAATGACTGCATATGCATGAGCACTGGCACACACACAGAAATTACAATAACAGCCACCATTCGCCACAAAGTGGCAATGATGCCACCACAGCGCTTGTGTCAGGTTAAGTGCACTTTTAGGCCACTTAAAGTGTTGAAGGCTCACTGACAGATGGTGACAGGACAGACCCAGATATTATGGGTTAACTGCCGGAGATGACTGACATATGCACCACCTGTGCTCCCCATTGTGCCAAGTTGCTACGTTTTAGCCACCTGGCGCTCCGCTCGTGAGCGTCGCTCCTCTGCCTTCCACTGTTGTTGCGCCTCCTCTGCCCTCCAACTGTCCTCCACGAGACTGCTTCACAGAGGCTGATATTGACACCACTGATACCAGTCATCAGCAGTCCTCAGGTGGACATCCTGTGTACCCCATTAGCACGTCTCTTCTCTAGCCCATGCCATGTTTGTTTATATTCCTCTATCCAACCAAATAGAAGCTGCGTGGGTATGCAGTGGCTGGACATGGGGGTGACATGACCCAGCCAACGCAGCCTCACCTTCCGGAGGAGCTCACTGATGGCTTTGTGTCCAATCTTTGAGAGATTTGTGAGCTCATAAGAACCTGTACGGTTAAACCCGGGATTAAATGTAGGCAGGCCAGCTTGAATGTTTAGAACCAGTGCAGATGTTCCTTTTAAAGGGGTTCACGTTTTGCAAAAAGACCCAAAACCTTGTATGGGGCGACAAGCCATCTAGCTTCCACACAGTGTTACGCAGGCGATGAAAATATAATGCCGCTCGACTGATTTGGAGTGAGACCTCTCCTTCTTCTTTGTATGGCAGTTTGATGTCGCGGTTAGCAATCTATTCAACGGCTTCAGCTGAGACAGGGTGAGTAGTTGCGATGCCACCGGGAATGGATTTCTCAGGGCAGGAGTTCAGTACATGGGGCGATTGTCTGGCTTGGGTAGTGGCCACAGTCACAATTTGGGATGCTCCTCATGTTCTACTTCTGGAGCAAGTGGCCACATCTTCCCTGGCCCTTGTCCTCAAGCGATTGGGAGTTGTCCAAGTTTTCCATGGAAGGTTGAACTCTGGGACTTCACTGTGCGTGCTGATGTGTGTGGTTTGTGAGTGCGTGCTGATGTGTGTGGTTTGTCGGTGTGCATGCTGATGTGTGTGTGGTTTGTGAGTATGCGTGCTCATGTGTGTTTTTTGTGAGTGTGTGTGCTGACGTGTGTGGTTTGTGAGTGTGTGGTGACATGTGTGGTTTGCGAGTGCGTGCGGAGGTGTGTGGTTTATGAGTGTGCGTGATGATGTGTCTGCGGTTTGTCGGTGTGCCTGCTGTTTTGTGCATGTGTGCTTTGTGAGTGTGCTGACGTGTGTGTATGGTTTGTGGGTGTGTATGCTGATGTGAGTGTGCGTGCTGATGTGTGTGTGCTGATGTGTGCGTGTGTGGTTTGTGAGTGTGCGTGCTGACGTGTCTGGTTTGTAAGTGTGCTTGCTAATGTGTGCGTGTGTGGTTTGTAAGTGTGCGTGCAGATGTGTGCCTGTGTGGTTTGTGGGTGTGCGTGCTGATGTATGTGTGTGTGTGCCTCTGTGCAGGCGGGGGACAGTGTGGGAGTGATCCGCCATGTGGACGGTGCACTCCACTTGCTGGTGAACGGGGAGGACCAGGGCCGCGCAGTCATTGGGGTTCCACCGTGCGTGTACGCCGTGCTCGACCTCTATGGGCAGGCGGCCCAAGCCACCATCCTTGACTCCACACACGGTATTCTGCCCGTGCTTTGTGTTCCACTTTTAGGGCGTCAAGACCGGCGGCGCAGTGGTAACAATTGTGCCTCACAGTAATAAAGGCCTGGTTTTGATTCCCAACTGTGGTTGTGTGAAGTTTATATGTTGTACCCCTGTTCTGCATGACTTTCTTCCAGATTTTCTGGTTTCCTCCCAAAGCTAACAACACGTAAAATATAACTTGTATTGGCCAAACATCCTATCATAGAAAACTACCTGATAATTACTCATTTGGGATTCCATGTAGCAAGCGCCCCCAATTGAAAAAACTTGGCGTGATCCTCCTAATAAAAGGGTCTTGAGACTCAATGAAGCTTTCCTGGGTAAACGAACCCAAGCCCTTCTTGCTGTGAGGCACAAGTGTTCCCACGCTGCCACCCAGTCGCTCAAATCGCGATGTGAATTGATTGGTGCTATTACAAATATAACTTTTGATTAGTGTTGTAGTGTGTTTACGTGTCGTGTGATTACTAATCAGCATACACATGTAGCCAACCGTGCTAATTAAAGGTGCAGGGGTTGGACAACAAACTAAACACAAAAAGTAGTTCTAAAGAAATGAGTTTCATATTTATATTTAACAGTGTGTACCTCCTGTGGCTTCCTAACAGGTACTGCGAGATCTGACCATATCCATACAGTGCTCGCTGAGCTGCATTGGCTTCCGGTTGCTGAACTACTACATTATAAGGTCGCACTCATTCCACACAAAGTCCTTGCCACAAATGAACCACAATACCTTGCTGATCTCGTCAAAGAGCATAAACCGCCACACAAACTATGGTAATCTTCACAGCGGCTTTTCACGAACCATCGAACATAGACAGTCACTTGCATCGCACGCTTTAAGATGCACTTCTGCGGCTTTGTGGAATGCTTTCCCTTCCGACATTAGGAAGCCACTAGAGCTATGCACTTTGAACTCGAGATTGAAGCACATTTTGGTAGAACCTCCGATTTGCAGGGTTGGCTACGTATGGTGCGAAATAAGTTCATACATACTAATATTGGAAGGAAGAGCAATCCACACGGCCGCAGAAGCACATCTGAAAGTGTGCGATGCACTGACCATCTTTGTTCGATGGTTAGCCAAAAGCCGCTGCAAGGATGACCAGAGTTTGTGTGATGGTTTGTGCTCCTTGACGAGATCAGCAAGGTATTGTGGTTCATTTGTGTACGTAATGAGTGCGACGTAATGTACTCGTTCAGCAACCGGAAGCCAATGCAGTTCAGCGGGCACTGGACGGATATGGTTGGATCTTGCAGTGCCCGTGAGGTAGCCACTGGAGCTTTGCACTTTTAAATCTAAATTGAAAACATTTCTTTAGAACTGATTTTTGCTATTGCTGCTACTACTAATGCTGTAGGTTTCACGTGACATCCATGTGCTGTTTGTTCCCTAGACATGCCACCACTGCCGGACGATCTGTCCGACACGCACACCCACCCCACCCCGTGCACCCCTCCGCTCTCCTTGTGCGACTGCGGCAATGGTCCGGCGCGGTGCGACCTGGTCTTCGCTCACTTTCACGGCACCAACGCCGTCATCACCAACGGCGGTCGCACTGCCCTGCGCCAGAACCCACGTGCCGAGTTCAATGACGCCATCGTCATCACGAACCGGTGCGACACCGCGGAGCTGAGCATCATGCGGCGTAGATGTTGTGCGTTGTTACGTGACCCACCGGGTGTTTGCCAAGTGACCTGCGGACTGGCAACATGAAAACCATTTGAGCTATTTGGGGCATTCGGTTCTGATGTTGGCCATGCTGTGGATTTTATGTTCAATTGTAATCCTGTGCTCATGTGCTGTTGGTTGTGTGCTCAGACCGCTGCGGGATGGAGAGTTGTTTGAGATTGTCATTGAGAAGATGGTGGACAGATGGTCTGGCTCCATAGAAGTCGGTATGAGCAAAGGAAATACTTTATTTACTAATTATCTCACGTTGTGCAGAAACCTCGTTTTACATTACTTGATTTGTCATGATATGTTGCCCATTGTTCTGTTCTTTCTTTTTAAAACGTGATTGGTGTTAAAGAGCAACTGTGCGTCGTCCGCATTTCTTGTGCCTGGTTAGCTTGTGCATGTCTGTTGTGGTATTGTGTGATGCAGGTGTCACTGCAATTCTTCCCGAGGAGCTCCACTTTCCAAACACAATGACAGATATCGACCATGACACCTGGATGCTGAGGTAAAGGTGTCAGTTTGCAAATACCCACATTAGAGCATAAGTGCACGCTCATAATAATTATCGCTATTGCTTCAACTTATAACTCCATGCAATGTTCGCTCTTTCTCATGGAGATGGAGAATGACTCAGAAGGCACGCAGAACCACGGACTAGCAGGAAGGCAGCCACACGATGAGCTGGCGCCAACATTTGCCCAAGCTCCATGTTCGTCTATATACGAAGGTGTTATCAGCCAATTAATGAGTTTACATGTGGGAGAAAACCACCCAAGCAAGGGGAAACACTCTGTCCCTTACGGATGTAATAGATGGAGTCCGATTTGTACTGCCCTCTCTTGGCGTGCCAGGGCATGGTTCCTCCTGGACACCCAAGGAAAGGGAGTTTTACAAATTGTGTGCGATCCACCAACCCTCGCCTCCACAGTGCTGGATAAGAGGTGTGCACCACTGCCAGCACCCAGCTAATGCTATGACTCGTGCCCCGCTGCTTAACTGCCTTCAAAAAATATTCCCACCAATATTTGACCGGCAGGGTGGTGGCGCAGTGAGAACAGTTGTGCCTCGCAGCAAGAAGGGCCTGAGTTCAGTTCCTGACTTGGGTGCCTTCCTATGTGGGGTTTGTTCTCTGTTCTCTGTGGCTTTCCTCCGGGTTCTCCGGTTTCCTCCCATAGCAAGAAAAACATTGTAACTTGTTTGAAGCTTTCGTGACTGCAGGAATCCATACTCGAAACGTGATTTGTTTTTACACTATGGGGACCTCATTTGCCAGTAAAAATATGATAATTGGTTCTTTACCCTTCTATCTGGCAACAAAACTGACACCTTTTTGCAAGGAGTCATGTTTGCATAGACCGCAACACCTGCAGTCATAATACAAACAAAAGAACATAACTCTGATAATGTGCACATTATCAGAGTTATGTTCTTTTGTTTGTATTATGACTGCAGGTATTGCGGTCTATGCAAACATGACTCCTTGCAAAAAGGTGTCAGTTTTGTTGCCAGATAGAAGGGTAAAGAACCAATTATCGTGATTTGTTTTATTTTATTTTTAACTACGTGACTTCATCGAAAGAACCAAAGAGTAGCAATGTAACTGGTATTGGCCAAAGATCCCAATCATGAAAAATTACCTGCAAATTACTCAATTGAGACTACACACAGTAACATACCCCCCCCTACTGCAAAAACTTGGTATGACCCTCCTGTATTTAGACGAGTAAAAGTAAAAATATTGCCCTGCAGCCCAACTTCACTGCGATTTCACCTCTTTGGAAGCATCATAGTACAGTATTCCCTCGTTATTCGAGAACTTGCGACTTTGGCTATCCACGAATCACATCTGAAACTCGACATGACTGCATCGAGAGAGAGAGAAAAGAGAGCGAGATAAAGTGATGAGATACTTTAATATTTATTCATAATATTTATAAATTTTGTTGTGTTATGATAATTTTCATGTATTTAATAGGTTATTTATGTAATTCTTTACAAAATCTAGGTTTCCTTAGGCCAATATCATTTTCCGCAAAATGTTCTATTCACGAGCATCTCCGGAACGTATCCTTTGAGAAGAACAAGCGACTACTGTAAATTGCTGGTATACAGGATTGGTATTCTGAAATGCTAGCATGGCATACTGTTGTACACTGGCCCCTTTTAAACACATTCCTGCGGAGGGAGCTGGTAGGAACGTTGGGTTGCTCGGTCAATGGCCAGGGTCAACGGCGGCATGGTGTATTCCGCAAATATGCCCGACTGTGAGGGCGAGCACAAGCCGGCGTGAGTAGGTTACACGTTGAGTTTTATAAGGGCACCACGGGGTGACCAGCTCCTCCCCACCCAGCCCCTCCCCACCCTCCCCTCTCCACCCAGCCCCACCCCTCCCATTTTTGGATGCACGACGGATGGACGGACACAATAATCCCCTGTGGACTGGTTTAACCAGGAGGTTCCAAACAGTACCAAGGATGTAGAAAAACATTTGATATAATAAAGAGATGTTTTTTTGATAGAGCCAGATAATATCAGAGCACTTAACACGCAATAAGCTATTTGCATTTCTTCTCAACACATTTGAGAGGGCACCCCCAGTGGCAGTTGTCCCTTTGGGCACGTTGCATCTGGCCTGCAAGCACGCACTAGTTTGCCAGTAGGGGGTGATGATTTTTGCTATCTGTAATCCCAATTGAGTAATTTGCAGGTAATTGTTCGAATTTGGCAAATTGGACCATAACTCTGGCACACAGCGGCTTCATCTTTTTCCGAATGGCATCAGGAGATCTTAATTGTCTACTGCGAAGCAGACGGCACGTAGTACAGTATGGTTAATACACCCGCGGTATTAGCCAGGGTGGCTGCCGGGTCGAACCTCTGCAACAAGCAGCAAAAGCGCTACCGCTGGGCCACGTTGAAACATTTGTTGGTGAGACATGAACAGCACCAGTAGTGGAGGCAGCGGCGTCAGCAGGTGAAGGATGTGAAAGGCGAGTTTGCGTGTGTGTGTGCGCGTGTAGTGGCACAGCCATCATGCGTGATGGTAACACGGTGTGCAACAGCTACGGGAGCGACCTGGACCGCCTGGGGTTTGGCTCACGGATCGGCATGCTGCGCTCCCGCCACGGCGCGCTGCACTACTTTATCAACGGCGTGGACCAGGGCCCCGCCGCCACGGGCCTCCCTGCCGGTGCGACTCGCCAGCCCCGCCACACATTTTTGTGTCTCACACTTGCACTGCTGTCGGCCCCACCACCAGCTGTGTGGCAGGGTTGGCCCCCTCGTGGGAATGTGGAATTTCCACAGCCATCTCTGTGTCTCAATCTGTCTTAGTTTGGCTGCCTCTCTTCATGCTTACCTCTCTGCCTTTGTCTCTCTATTGTTATGCATGTGTTAATAGTTATTACAGCGCAGACGTTTTCTAAACCTGTCTGTGTGTGAAGAGATGCTTGCTTACAGCATTTGCCCCCAACAGTCTGTTAAGACTATATGGAGGAACTTGATCGTTTTATGTTTCTGTGTGTGTAGAGGTGTATGCGGTGGTCGACCTCTATGGCCAGTGTGCCCAAGTGAGCGTCACGGCCTCCAGTGGAGTGGTGGACAACAGCTTGTCGAGCAGCGTGGTCACTCACCTCTCGCTGCCCGAGGACTCGCCGCGCTGTGAGTGACCAACGCGGTGCTCCCCGGGCCACGACAATGAGAATGACCTCGTTTTGTTTGGTTCATAACTTATGTTTGGGTTAGGCCGTGTAATTATCTGACCAAATAGTGAATGGTGAGTGCTGTGTTTGCTGTGTGCAGTGCTTGGGGGTGGTATATTCTTAGGTTTTTTCTCGGTAAAATCACGTAGGTAAAAAATTCAAATTCAAATTAATAAAATAAAAATAAAAAATAAAAATCACGACGTTTCAGAGGCAACACAAGCTTCCGTCTTCAGGTGGGACCGTCACTGCACGATTGCTGTATCAAGTAAGAGAAATTCCAAGAGACCCGTCCTTGTATATATACTGGTTGAGGGTGGGAGGAGCCAAGGCAGGCACCTGGATCGGAGTTTTGTATTATTATTATTGTGAGGTTGGTGCGGCTGAGGCCGCTGCTAGGAATGAGCCTTTGTTGTGTAGACTGGTTGAACTGGGAGGTACCAGAGTTGTTAAGGTGCGGCTGCTGTAAATGGGACTGAGCCTTTGTTATGTAGATGAAACAGCCAGGAGGTTTGCAGAGTACCTTGGTCTCGGAAAAGACAATTTCATGAGAGCCCACAGCGTTGTAGCAATGATCGGCAACGGCGGAAGAATCAAAAAGATCTCCAAAATTCTAAACAAACATAAGATCCAAGTCCGATTCAGTACAGTACATAAAATCCGTGATCTAATTCCATCTGTGAAAGATGTCATTACTGACTTACAATACCCTGGAGTCTACAAACTGAGTTGCAGTTGTGGTGATTGTTACATTGGAGAAACGAAACGTCATATCTCTGATCGTGTCCGCGAGCACAAGTTAGATCTGAAACGCGGCAAAACTGATTCTTCCGCCGTTGCCGATCATTGCTACAACGCTGTGGGCTCTGCAAACCTCCTGGCTACCATCAAAGGTTTGTACACGAAGCCATCCAAATATACAAACACAGACATAATTTCAACCGTGATGATGGGTACAAACTGAGTAATCATTGGAAAGATGTGATTAACCATGCAAAAAAGATTTAACTACACATATTTGGACCATTTTATTTGACAGGCACTATTCTTCAGTTACCGTACAGTTTCTTCTTTTTTCACACACTGGTTTCCTGCTTTAAGTTTTACCACACATATTTGGCAAATCTATAATTAATCCCAGCAACATAGCAAATGGCTGTTTCATCTACATAACAAAGGCTCAGTCCCATTTACAGCAGCCGCACCTTTACAGCAGCCGCACCTTAACAACTCTTTTTTTTCACACACTGGTTTCCTGCTTTAAGTTTTACCCACCCAGCAACATAGCAAAGGGCTGTTTCATCTACATAACAAAGGTTCAGTCCCATTTACAGCAGCCGCACCTTAACAACTCTTTTTTTCACACACTGGTTTTCCTGCTTTAAGTTTTATCCACCCAGCAACATAGCAAAGGGCTGTTTCATCTACATAACAAAGGCTCAGTCCCATTTACAGCAGCCGCACCTTTACAGCAGCCGCACCTTAACAGCAGCCGCACCTTAACAACTCTGGTACCTCCCAGTTCAACCAGTCTACACAACAAAGGCTCATTCCTAGCAGCGGCCTCAGCTGCACCAACCTCACAATAATAATAATACAAAACTCTGATCCAGGTGCCTGCCTTGGCTCCTCCCACCCTCAACCAGTATATATACAAGGACGGGTCTCTTGGAATTTCTCTTACTTGATACAGCAATCGTGCTGTGATGGTTCCACCTGAAGACGGAAGCTTGTGTTGCCTCCGAAACATCGTGATTTTTATTTTTTATTTCATTTTTATTTTGCTTTTATTAAATGTATTTTTTTACCTACGTGACTTTACCGAAAAAACCTAAGAATATGAATCCTTGCAGTCACGAAAGCTTCAAATCTAGACTTGGGGGTGGTGTTAGTGAATGGGAAGCGCTGTGTGCAGTGCTGGGGGTGGTGTTAGTGAATGGTGAGTCTGTGTGTGCTATGCGCAGTGCTGGGCGTGGCACACAGGCTACACGCGTGCTGTGGGAAAGGCATCGTGCTGCGGAGAGAGGGACGCTCGGCTCTACGCCTGCATGGTTATGCACACGGCCTGCTCTTCAGCGCCGCGGAACTACGCACCGGGGAGCTGTTTGAGGTGCGTCGTGTTGCGTATTCACACGAGTGCACTAAGGCCTGTAACATGAAATGCTCAATCCACGCTGTTGCCACCCTGGGCAGCAGGGTGACCCATTGGCAACACTGGTGCCTTACAGCAAGAATGCGCTGGGTTCAATTGCCGACTTGGGCGTCTATCAATACGACGTTTGTAAGTTCTTCCCCTGTTCTCCATGGGTTTCCTCTGAAATCTCTGGGATTCCTCCTATAGTTGAAAAACACACAATGTAACAGGTCAAATTACCTGAAATTACTCAATTGGCATTACACACTGTAACACTGCCCCCGACTGCAAACACTTGGCAGGACCCACCTTACAAATAGTCTTTTGACTCGATGAGGCTTTCTGGTATAAACAATAATATGTGTTATTGACATTAAAATTTGATAATTACAACAATTTCGATTTAAAGCTTTAGTGACTGCAGGGATTCATCTTCAGTATGCAGCGGTTTTGAACCCCATTGCCCTGAATGAGATTTTTGACCACAGCAAATTCAGCGTTGAGTGATATCTGAACTCGTCTTGGGCCTCTTCTTTTACCAACCTGCATAGACCAGTGTGGTGCAGTTTGGTATGGCCAAGGAAGTCGGATCATTTCTATGTGTAATCCTTATTGAGTACAGGAATCCTTCGCCAACCACAGACTTGACAACCGCGGTTTCACGTACACACGGTTAATTATTTGTATACCAAATTACCAACTGTGGCCTGGAAATATGAGTATCCATGGGTAAGCACGGTGTTAAGGAAGTCACATAACGCGTGTATTATTATATCATTGCATCACAGCATGACATTGAATATTGCGTGACGTCATTGTCTTCTGTTAGCATTCTATGAATCTAGAACACACGGGTCCACAGTGGGCCTTATCTGGTCAAATATAAATAGTTTATACAGTGAGGGAAAAAAATATTTGATCCCCTGCTGATTTTGTACGTTTGCCCACTGACAAATAAATGATCAGTCTATAATTTTAATGGTAGGTTTATTTGAACAGTGAGAGACAGAATAACAACAAAAAAATCCAGAAAAACGCATGTTAAAAATGTTATAAATTGATTTGCATTTTAACGAGGGAAATAAGTATTTGACCCCTCTGCAAAACCCTTGTTGGCAATCACAGAGGTCAGACGTTTCTTGTAGTTGGCCACCAGGTTTGCACACATCTCAGGAGGAATTTTGTCCCACTCCTCTTTGCAGATCTTCTCCAAGTCATTCAGGTTTCGAAGCTGACGTTTGGAAACTCAAACCTTCAGCTCCCTCCACAGATTTTCTATGGGATTAAGGTCTGGAGACTGGCTAGGCCACTCCAGGACCTTAATGTGCTTCTTCTTGAGCCACTCCTTTGTTGCCTTGGCCGTGTGTTTTGGATCATTGTCATGCTGGAATACCCATCCACGACCCATTTTCGATGCCCTGGCTGAGGGAAGGAGGTTCTCACCCAAGAGTTGACGGTGCATGGCCCCGTCCATCGTCCCTTTGATGTGGTGAAGTTTTCCTGTCCCCTTAGCAGAAAAACACCCCCAAAGCATAATGTTTCCACCTCCATGTTTGACGGTGAGATCATTGACAAGATCCTGCCGTGTAGTTCTGGGCTGATTCCTCACCGTTCTCATGATTATTGCAACTCCACGAAGTGAGATCTTGCATGGAGCCCCAGGCCGAGGGAGATTGACAGTTATTTTGTGTTTCTTCCATTTGCGAATAGTCCCACTAACTGTTGTCACCTTATCGCCAAGCTGCTTGGCGATGGTCTTGTAGCCCATTCCATCCTTGTGTAGGTTTACAATCTTGTCCCTGACATCCTTGGAGAGCTCTTTGGTCTTGGCCATGGTGGAGAGTTTGGAATCTGATTGATTGATTGCTTCTGTGAACAGGTGTCTTTTATACAGGTAACAAGCTGAGATTAGGAGCACTCCCTTTAAGAGTGTGCTCCTAATCTCAGCTCGTTACCTGTATAAAAGACACCTGGGAGCCAGAAATCTTTCTGATTGAGAGGGGGTCAAATACTTATTTCCCTCATTAAAATGCAAATCAATTTATAACTTTTTTGACATGCGTTTTTCTGGATTTTGTTGTTGTTATTCTGTCTCTCACTGTTCAAATAAATCTACCATTAAAATTATAGACTGATCATTTCTTTGTCAGTGGGCAAACGTACTGTAGCTGATATTTTTTGGGTCTTTTGGTAAAGTCACGTAGGTAGGTTGAAAGAAAATAACCAAAAAAATTATTTCAACCTATCTACGTGAATTTACCGAAAGACCCAAAGAATATGAATCCCTGCAGTCACGAAAACTTTCAGTCAAGATTTATAGCTGATGTTACAACGCTCCACTGATCGCCCTGGGAGTGCTTGCGTGGATTTGCCGTGCCTGAAGCTTGTGGCTGATCGTCGCGGGGGTGTGGGTGTACACCGAGTACAGGTGCAGGTGGACGATGTGAACGATCTGTGGGCGGGCACGCTGCACGCCGGCCTCACCTCTCTCTCCACCTCCGACCCAGCTCGACTCGCGCCCTCAGCTCTGCAGCTTCGGTGAGAGGCTGCTGCTGCTGCTGCACCCAGGAGGAATTGTATGCATTATATTGTTCACCTAATTTTTGTGCAACAAACTGAATAAGCAGACAACATGCCTTCTTCCCATATCTGTCACTCCGCATTAAATATATATATACGAGTATTTTTTTTACACATCCCATAAGCAGTATTGGTTCAACACAAGCATACTCTGTACTGGTTTTAACATTTGGTGTCTCATCATCAGAGTCAGGCTGGCTTGATCCAATGCAAGGACCCTCACCAACATTGTTGCAAGCAGCGTGACTGCTGATGAGACACTGAATGTCAAAACCAGTCCAGAGTTTGCTTGTGTTGAACCAATGTTGCTGAAATTCTGCACTCCCAGAAAGTCAGGCACGTGGTCGGTGGGGTATGTCGAAAATACTTTTCATTTTTATGCAAAGGGATAGATATGTGATCAAGGCATAATTGTATGCTTATTTACATTCTTTAGCATAACACAAATGGTGAGTTTTCATAAATGTTTGTGTGTCTGGTTTCCAGATCAAAGTTCACATGGCTGGTGGTGGGTTCGGAGGTGAGATGCAATGGAGTCACACAGAGGCAGAACTATGGCGCTACACTGGACAGACTACGCGTAAGTGTGGCTTGTTTGTAGCCTAGTATAGACTGTCACTCGTAAAACTGTTGTATTGCCTTTCAGAATGACATTTCGTTTGTGGGAATATTACTATAGACTTTTTTTAGTGGTGTTCCTTTTGGAAGAACACGTTTGCACAATTCTGATGAGACCCTATCTGTGTCAGGTGGGTAACAGGGTGTGTGTGTGTCAGGTGGGTAAAAGGCTGTGTGTGCCTGGTGGGTAACAGGGTGTGTGTGTGGTAGGTGTTTAACAGTGTGTGTGTGTCAGGTGAGTAACAGGGTGTGTGTGTGTCACGTGCGTAACAGGGTGTGTGTGTGTGGTAGGTGGGTAACAGGGTGTGTGTGTCAGGTGGGTAGCAGGGTGTGTGTGTGTGTCAGGTGAGTAACAGGGTGTGTGTGTGTCACGTGCGTAACAGGGTGTGTGTGTGTGGTAGGTGGGTAACAGGGTGTGTGTGGTAGGTAGGTAACAGGGTGTGTGTGTGTGTGCGTGGCACGTGGGTAACAGGGTGTGTGTATGTGTGTGTGCGTGGCACGTGGGTAACAGGGTGTGTGTATGTGTGTGGCAGGTGGGTAACGGTGTGTGTGTGTCAGGTGGGTAACAGGATGTGTGTGTGTGTGTCAGGTGGGTAACAGGGTTGGAGTGAAGCGCTGTCACGATGATACGATGCATCTCGTCATTGACGGCAAGGACATGGGGCCTGCAGCCACTGGGGTGCCAGCGGTGAGGCTGTGCGTGTGTCACTACACAACAATCAATACCTTCATAAAGGCATTTATTTCTGCTCTGGAAACCATATTCACAGATTGCAAATCAGTATGTGATCAGAGAATGTAATCATGAATTCATATTTAAGCACACCTCTCCAATGCATCTTTTGGTTGTACCGCATGTTGTTCAGTCTGTCTGGCCTTCCTAAGATCCATCCTGAGTTTAACCAGGCTGGATTGTTTGAGGAGCTCATAGATACTTGATAGAGCTGGACATTTCCATCAGTGAACTCCTCCAGCAGGTGAGGCTGCATTGGCTGGATCATGGAACCCGCATGCCCAACCACCACATGCCCTCGCAGTTTCTGTTTGGCCGTAAAGAGGGGCTAAATGGACAGAGCACAGGCTAGAGAAGAACCACTGAGGTATGGGACGATTTGGAGCTGAGCGGACTTGCCAATGACTGGAGCCAGTGGTGTAAGAATTAGCCTCTGTGGAGGACGTTATTTAAAAATGCTACTGGAGAGTTAGAGCCAATCGCCCTCCAACAACAATGAACGGTGGAGGAGCAACCTTCACAATCGCCCGCGTGCTGGGCTGCTAAAACGCAGCAAGTTGGCACAGTGGGGACCACAGGTGGTGCATCTTCCAATCATCTCAGGGGGGTCAACCCGTAACAATGGCGGTTGTTGTCCTGTTGTGTATGAGGAGCTGTGATACAGTGGTTAACGCACTCACATTGAACCCAACCAATAACAGTGGCAAATATTTGATCCTATCATGGGCCTCCCCTAGGTTAACTCAGCCTTAAATGAGTAGCTGGTGCATTGTGTAAAACATCAGTACAGGGGAGACAAAGGCGGCCGTGCGTGGTGTTAGCCACTCCCTCGTGTGCCGTGCCTGCATTCATCGGAGTTGCTTGCTAGCAGCACCTATCCCAACGGTCTGTTAAAGGCTCCATGAGTCTTTTTTTTTATCTGTGTGGGTGCTGTGACAGGGCGTGCACGCCGTGTTTGACCTGTACGGCACCGTGACATCGGTGACGGTCACTAGCACGGGCTGTGCCCTCGTGTGCGCCAGTCCGGAGAAGATCCCCGGCACTGTCTCCGCTCTCCAGCCCACCCTGCCGGTCAGCAGCAGCACCTCCTCCACAACACATCTCTCCTTTACAAGTGAAGAATAATGAATAAATTACTACATTTGGTATTTGCGGCATTCTTACAGTGCAAGGCTGTCGCGAAGAAGGCGTTATGTTTCACAGAAATGGTCTGCAGTAGTTTCGCTGTAGGGGCGATGTTTTCATCTGTAATCCCAATTCAACAATTTGCAGGTCATTTTTAAATTTGGCAAATCTAGACCGTGACGCTGGCACACATTGGCCTTCTCTTTTTGAACGACCTCGCTGGATCTGCAACGTCCTAACCTACAAAGCACTGCTTGGCTTGGCCCCTTTCTACCTGCAAAACCACATCTCTCCCCAAACCTCAGGCACACACACACTCCGTTTCACGAGAACGACAAGACTTACCCAGCCCAGGATTATTTCACCCGACGCTGGGGGGACGAAACCTTCTCGAGCACAGCATTCTGACCACAAGTATTGTGGTTAATGCAGACATGATTCCTTGTAAAAAGTTTCAGTTTGGTGTTTTAACATCTTAACACCTGCTTTGTTGTCAGAAAAAAGGGGAAAACCTATTCTCATGTTTATTTACTTTATTTTTATTAACTACTTGCTTTCCGTATGCTATTGGTTGCGCGTGGTTGTAATTTGCTCAGTCGGTGTTAGCCGCTGAGGGCGTCACGGGTTTATTTTATCATTCCTGTTGCTGTATGCCCCCTGTACCGTTCCTGATTTACCGTAATGTGCACTGATGGCTACTTTATTGACCGTGATATTGGCATGTGAAGCAGACGGCACCTAGTATTTTACGATTAAAACACCTGCAGTAATAACCAGGGCAGCCTGCACCATTCGGACTGTGAACCCCTGAAACAAGTGGCGACTGCGATGCCGTGTCAACGCCCCCAGGCCACGAGATTCCTGGCCGTGTGAAACGAAGTCACGGGCTGCAGGCTGCCCTCCCCTGCTCTCGATTATCTCTGCTCCCCTTCTCTGGGTCCACCTTCACTGCATCCACCCTAGGAATTGGCTTGCTCCGCGTGGGAGTCGCCCGTGTTTGTGGACGGGAGGAACCTGCTGCTGTCCAACCACAATCGCACGGCAACGCGCCGGGACGGCTGCTCGCAGGCGGTGGCCAGGACGGCGCACGTGCTGCCCCGCCAGTGCCTGCTACAGGTACGGCAGCCTCCGCATCTATCCCGCTCACTCGCGTGTGCCTCGCCTGCACGTGTCTCACCCGCGCGTGTTGTGTCTCTCGCCTCAACAAGATTATTTACAGAAATTATGCCGTGCGTGTTCGTTAATCCCCTCGTCCCATCGCTGTTGGCATGCGTACAGGTGTGTGTAGACCGCCTGTCCCACGAGTGGTCAGGCTCGCTGTGTTTGGGGATGGAAAGTGTCAGTGAAGGCCACTCTCCAACGGCGCACACCCCAACGGCGCGCACCCCCTTGGCGCGCAGCCCTGCGACGCCGCCCTCTTCAATCGTGCAGGGGGGCCGGCAGCAGAGCTGGCTGATCCGCGGCCGTGCTGTCTACCACAACTCCACCAAGGTGTGACCCGTGTGCCCCCACTCTCGCTCAGTTAGACCTGAATGTGGCATGTAAGGCGGCCGTTTTGTATGAATCTGTAGTTGGGGCGGCAGGTAGTGGTGCAGCAGTAACGCTCGTCCCTCACAGCAAGAAGGGCCTGTGCTCGATTCCCGACTCGGGTCCCTTTCTGTGTGGAATTTGAGTTTAACAACTGTATTTTTGCCAAAAAGGGTACAGGCTATTCTTTTTTTCACCATCTTGATACTGGCAAAAAGGGTCCCATAAGCATAAGTGATTACATCCAAAGGTAAATAAAGAATTAAAGTAAAATGTAACTAAATAAGAACCAGTGATTTAAAATTATCTTTGAGGCATTGCTCATCTCCCGTTTACAGCCCTGAGCCAGTGGTAAAATTCCACATTTGTATCTTCCTCCAAAGTGGTACTCATATCAACTCCAGAGGGTTGATGGGCTTAGTCAACCCCCAGCTAAGATTTGAACTTGCATTCCAAATGTGAGCCTCTCGCTCGGCTGCTGAGCGACAGGAAGTATAAATCGTAATGTGAGAAGCTGTCTGGTTTATTTAGAGTTTGTAACGTATACAGTTTTCGTTCGCTCGAGAGAGCGAGAGTGATACAGAGGTGCGCAGGTATCCACAGACAAGTGGGAAAGCAGCCAGAATTAGCGCCAACAATTGCCTAAGCTCTGTCGCCCAATAATTGGTATATTCGGTCAACTCCGAGTTTTTATACATTCTGGAGGAAACAGGGAATACCCGGAGAAAACCCACACGTGCAAGGGGAATACAAATGGAAAGGAACCCACTTCCTCTCCTACCTTCATACCATTGGAAGCCAGGAGATGGCGACCTCGATGTCCGCAGAGTTTCACGGACGTGTGCCACCCACGTGTGTGCTCACCGCCGCCTCCACAGCGCCACGTTACGGGCGCAGCACAATGGCAGCACAACGGCCGGGGGCCACCTGGCTAACGCGCCGCCGCTATCTCCGTCCGTCCCTCAGATCCGGGACGGCTACGGGCCGGGCCTCGACTCGCTGGCAGAGGGCACGCGCGTTGGCCTGCTCGTCGACGCGCTTGGAGCGTTGCACCTGTACGTGAACGGCGTCGACCAGGGAGCGTGCGCCGCCCACGTCCCCGTGAACACCCGCGTCGCCGTGCACCTCTACGGGTGCTGTCTGAAGGTGCTCGGATATCGCCAGGGGCGGGATCGTCGTCGTTGTTGTCGCTATCACGCTCGTTTGCCCAGGAAGGCCTCACCAACTATTTATCAGGAGGGTCGTATAAAGTTTTTGTCGCAGTAGTGGGAGATGTTGCGAGTAATTTGCAGGTCATTTTTCAGCATTGGGATGTTGGACCGATACCAGTTACATTGTATATATGTATCTATGGGTGGAAACTGGATAACCTGGAGGAAACACATACAGAACAGGGGGAGAACTTAAAAAACGGCACACAGAAAAGCGCCCAAGTCGGGAATCGAACCTAGGACCTTCTTGGTGTGAGGCATCAGTGTTACCACTGCGCCACCACCCTGCCACCGGATAGCTAATACCTCGTTCCTTCATATTTTGTTCATGAGCACTGTTGTTGTGTTCTCAGGTTACCCTGGTGACGGACGAGGGTGCGTGCGGGGAGGAAGGCTGTGAAGATAGAGAGAAAGCCGACATGGTGGACGGTAAGAAATCGCATGCAGCAAAATAACAGGCGATGGCTCCTATGGATCTCAGCGTTGTTAGCATGCGTATGCTGTCATGTGTAAAATGTGTGTATTTATAAACCATAAACAGCACAGCTACATTTATTGCATCCCATGAAATGGCTATGTAATGATAGCTGTACCAAAATCTATACATGCATTGGGCCCAGTGAGTTTAAGTGCAAGTAGTGCATCTGATACTCATCTCAGTTAACCTATAACACCTGGGTCGTGCCATGACATCCCGCAAGCGAGCCCTTCAATACTTTAGTTGGCCTCACAGTGCTCCCAGCCTGGCACGGGCGCCGTGTGGTTGTGCGTCTTGCTTGAGAAGTGACGCGATGGTCATGTGGCTGCTTTGTGGTGAGACAGGCTTGAAGGAAGGCGTTTTGAGACCTCCAGCGTGTGTTGACGGAAGCGTCCTCCGAGCCGTCTGCGATTACCAGGCGGTTTGCGTGCGGTTCAGGGACCTCCTGGCTCTCCCAGGTAATGGCCACTCACACGCACATCTGCCACGTATCGGGTAAAGGCACAGCCCTGAAATTGTTTTCTCACGCAACTGCTGACAGAAGGGCCTCCACCGGAACGGATACTAAGAGGGTATTTGGTCTACTCTTCCCCCTTGTTGACCAAACGTGTTGGAAAAGGTTGGCGTACCCACATTTTATCACACCGCACGTGACTTGCCGATGACAGACTAACTGCGGTGAACTGTTTTTTGCTGCTGGGTAGACAGAGGCGATGCGGAGGATTTGAGAAACTTTCACCGTTGTTTCAACTGCCGCGCCAGGCAATGGAATCGAACCTCCAAAGTAGTGCGCTCACCATTCCACCACAGCAGTGCAAAACCAGATTAAATACAACACCCTCTTTTGTGCAGTGGGTGGTTGACAGGGCTGAGACCGTGGGCTCGCTCCATTGGCAATCCGGTTTTAGTCACTGGCAGCCACCTGCGATTAAAACCGGATCACAGCGGCGTCAGCTCAGCTCTCTGACCTCTAAGCCCACTCGGCCTCCACTGGTTTCAGTGTTTGTTAACATCTTTAGTGCCTTGTTCAATAGAACCTTTAACATTCCAATTTTACATTTCATTTCTCCTTGCTCTTTAAACTTTTATGAAAGCATTATTTTATTATTTTATTTTTTCATTCATTACCTTACTCAAACCAAGTCTATGTTTATCACAAACCTTCTTTTTCTGCATTTAAAGCGTGTTGTGGATTGTATTTGTAATCTGATATGAGGACAGTGCCATCTGCACATCTCCCAACAGTCATGGCCAAACGTTGATGAAGCCTTATTCCTCTCTCACTGTTTGCTCGTGCCTCTCGAGTAATAAACACAGTGCCGAAGACAGCACGGAACCTCGTCTTTCACCTCTTCACTTTCATCCATTCAATCGCCTGTTTATCATGCTTCTGCAGGTCTGTCTCTACTTCAAAATGCAGCAAACTGTTCTTTCCATAATAGAGGTTTTTTTTGGGTTAGATCAGGTAAATATATAAATGTGTTGTTAAAACCCGACACCACCCAACACAGCCAACTAGTAAAGGGTTGTCACGTAAACAGAACGTGGCCAATTCGTCACTAGTACAGCACAGTAATTACAACTAGCCTCATCAGGCGGCAGCCAGATTTGTGGAGAAGTCCACCTGTTTAGTTCCTTATATAGAGGCGTAGATGTGGTAACCACACTTCTGCGCTCTTGCGCAAAGTGGGGGGGGGGGGTGGGATTAATATGTCAACATATACATTATTATGTGCATTATGCGAGCTGTACCAACGGTAATCCATATTGAAGTATGGTGTCCTTTATAGGAATGCATTTAAACAATGTATTATTTGATGATTCGCTTCTACGCAGCACTAAGGCTCTTCGAACGGTTAAAATAATTTTTATTTCTTTCAATTTAGATAGATTCTCTAATTAGTCTTGACCAGTAGTAGCTAGTTTTGCACAGAACTTCAACATTATCAAAATCAATTGAGTGTCCTTGTTGGCACGGGTGTTCTGCTACTGCTGGCAGTTGTATTTGGGAGTATTTAATATTTCTCTGATGTTATTTTAGTCTCACGCTGTTCTTTATAATCACGTCTTTTTCCTCATTTCAAGCATTGTCTTTAAAAAAAACTTTCACTGTGTAATGCGAACGTAAATGGGCTTGTTGCTGGGCTTGGGTCCAATCACACGGCCCGGGGTATTGGGGGGCGGAGCCTGGTCTGCGGGGCGTGTGGGAGGGGCCACCGTTCACCTCGGCTCCAATGGGAGGCGAGGTGAATGGGGGCGGAGCCAGCGGGGTAGTATGGGAAGGCCGGATCTGAGGATCCGGAAGGGGAGGAGTCAGGGTCACGTGGGGGGAATGTATATAAGTGGGAGCGCGGAAGAGATCAGGGCAGTCGGGGAAGTTAAGAGGCTGAGCCACGTTGGGTGGTGAGGAAAGATCCGCGCCATCGGCCACGTGGCCGAAGGACCTCAGCACGCCGTCGGCCAGCGGTGTGCGGGAATAGAGGAGCTAACGGAGGAGCGTGCCGAGCACGCGAGAGAGAGAGCGTGCGTGGCACGCGAGAGGGAGCGTGCGCGGGGCGCGCGCGAGACGACACTGGTCCGAGAGGAGGCCAGTGGGGGGTGCGGAGAAGAACCTAAATAAAAGACAAGTCTTTTATTACAACTGTATGACATTGCTGTGTGTGTGTGGCCGTGCTGTGTGTGGCCCTGCTGTGTGTGTGGCCCTGCTGTGTGTGTGGCCCTGCTGTGTGTGTGGCCCTGCTGTGTGTGTGGCCGTGCTGTGTGTGTGGCCCTGCTGTGTGTGGGGCCCTGCTGTGTGTGTGGCCGTGCTGTGTGTGTGGCCCTGCTGTGTGTGTGGCCCTGCTGTGTGTGTGGCCCTGCTGTGTGTGGCCCTGCTGTGTGGGGCCGTGCTGTGTGTGGGGCCCTGCTGTGTGTGTGGCCGTGCTGTGTGTGTGGCCGTGCTGTGTGTGTGGCCGTGCTGTGTGTGGGGCCCTGCTGTGTGTGTGGCCCTGCTGTGTGTGGCCCTGCTGTGTGGGGCCGTGCTGTGTGTGGGGCCGTGCTGTGTGTGTGGCCGTGCTGTGTGTGTGGCCCTGCTGTGTGTGGGGCCCTGCTGTGTGTGTGGCCCTGCTGTGTGTGGCCCTGCTGTGTGTGGCCCTGCTGTGTGGGGCCGTGCTGTGTGTGTGGCCGTGCTGTGTGTGTGGCCGTGCTGTGTGTGTGGCCGTGCTGTGTGTGTGGCCGTGCTGTGTGTGGGGCCGTGCTGTGTGGGGCCCTGCTGTGTGTGGCCCTGCTGTGTGTGTGGCCCTGCTGTGTGTGGCCCTGCTGTGTGTGGCCCTGCTGTGTGTGGCCGTGCTGTGTGTGTGTGTGGCCCTGCTGTGTGTGGCCGTGCTGTGTGTGTGGCCCTGCTGTGTGGGGCCGTGCTGTGTGTGTGTGTGGCCCTGCTGTGTGTGTGGCCCTGCTGTGTGTGTGGCCGTGCTGTGTGTGTGGCCCTGCTGTGTGTGTGGCCCTGCTGTGTGTGTGGCCCTGCTGTGTGTGGGGCCGTGCTGTGTGTGTGGCCCTGCTGTGTGTGTGGCCCTGCTGTGTGTGTGGCCGTGCTGTGTGTGTGGCCCTGCTGTGTGTGGGGCCGTGCTGTGTGTGTGGCCCTGCTGTGTGTGGCCCTGCTGTGTGTGTGGCCCTGCTGTGTGTGTGGCCCTGCTGTGTGGGGCCGTGCTGTGTGTGTGGCCGTGCTGTGTGTGTGTGTGGCCCTGCTGTGTGTGTGGCCCTGCTGTGTGTGGCCCTGCTGTGTGGGGCCGTGCTGTGTGTGTGGCCGTGCTGTGTGTGTGGCCGTGCTGTGTGTGTGGCCGTGCTGTGTGTGTGGCCGTGCTGTGTGTGGGGCCGTGCTGTGTGGGGCCCTGCTGTGTGTGGCCCTGCTGTGTGTGTGGCCGTGCTGTGTGTGTGGCCGTGCTGTGTGTGTGGACGTGCTGTGTGTGTGGCCGTGCTGTGTGTGTGGCCGTGCTGTGTGTGTGGCCGTGCTGTGTGTGTGGCCGTGCTGTGTGGGGCCCTGCTGTGTGTGTGGCCATGCTATGTGTGTGGCCCTGCTGTGTGGGGCCCTGCTGTGTGTGGCCATGCTGTGTGGGGCCCTGCTGTGTGTGTGGCCATGCTGTGTGTGTAGCCGTGCTGTGTGGGGCCCTGCTCTGTGTGGCCATGCTGTGTGCGTGGCCGCGCAGTGAGCCGACCCGTGCCGTGCTGTATGTGTGTGGCTGGCACACAGGAGGCTTCTTCACGCCGTGCGTGTCGTGCTTCTGCACGTCATGTTGCCACCTACGTGACGATGAAGCGTATCGCACGAGGGGAGAACCACCACGGGACTACAGCCTGCCTCTCGGATGGGTACACTTCACTCTCCGGTGAGTACTGCATGTGCCAGCCGAGCGTGTCCGTCAGCCCCTGCTTCGTGGAGGGGTCGCTGCTTTTCCTCAACTGCCCCTGCTGTGTGGAAATCCCTCTGTCCTGATATCCGTGATATTGAGTCGAAACATTTCCACTTTATTTTCTCCTCATGATCGAGTGCCATTAGCTCAGATGGTAGAGTGCTCGCGAAGCATGCGAGAGGCAGTGAGGTCTATGCCCGCATCCAGCACATGAACTACATTGGGGCAGTGAGTGGCGGCAATGCGTTCGCCACTTGTTGCAGAGGTTAGAGGTTAGAAACTGGCAGGCCACCTTGGTTAATCCTGCCGATATATTATCCGTAAATTACTCGCCTCCCGCTGCACAGTGGGCGAAAAATATCTCTTGACTTCATTGGAAACGAGAAAGGCCATTGTGTGTTGGCGCCATTGTCCACATTTGCTACATTTGAAACATTACCCACAAGTGATTCGATTGAGACAACACACAGCAACATCGCCCCCCGACTGTGACGCTACTGCAGACTATGTGAAACATGGTGCCTTTGTGATAACCTTGCGCTTTAAGAAATGCCGCGACTACCAAATTACAAGATTATTATTACGTGGACTGTTCACCCAGATAGGTGCTCGCTAACAGCACTTGACCTAAAAGTCTATTGGGGCTATAAGGGTAATCTTTGTCTTGTCAGGCTTTACACACTCTCTGTCGACCCGTATAGCGTCGCCTTTACAATAGATGTGCCGTGTTGTTCTCTATTAATATGAGACTCAGTCGTACTCAATCAGAGCATATGATATCTCTGTCATTTTATGCCAATGATTCTCTCAAACCTACAAGTCTCTACTCATACTCTTTGGTTCTTTCGGTAAAGTCACGTAGTTAGAAATAAAATATAACAAATCACGACATTTTGATTGCAACACAAGCAATCTTCATCAGGTGTGACAACCACAGCAAGAAAAAAATTGCTGAAGTGGTCTCTGTATATTAGAACTGAGTTTAAAGCTATAACGCTAAATTATTAATATTAATTGTAACTATTATGATGCAATTTTTATTTTTTGTTGCACTAGTCATGGTGATCCACATTTGAAAAATATTGAAGTTAACATCTCAACCATGAACACCTTTATTTTAACTTGTATACAGGCGTTACAAGTTTGGTATGATCATGCTTATAGTCTATGCTTGTGTCCTCATGGTAGTGTATGTGGGTACTTGGGTATGCGCATGTTAGAGTGATATTCTGCTCTTATGAGCGTTGACTGTTGACTTCTCCAAAAGTGACTGTTGACTTCTCCAAAAGTGGTACTTATTTGATCAACTCCAGAGGGATGATGGGCTGTATGTATGTTGAACTTCTTTCTGACACCTTCCATGTTTCCTGTTGAATGTGTCAGGACGAATCCCCGTAGCGACGCGACCTTCCTGAAGCGGTGGCACGTAGCCTATCATGGGGCCAGCATAGGTGATGTTCGGCGCTCACTCGACCACGGAGAGCTGTATGCAGGTTCGCTGCACTAATGTGCACACATACCACTCACAACACGTACCCTGCACCCACACACACCACTCACAACACATACCCTGCACGCACTTACGAAATGCACCATGCACTCACACACCTCACTCAGAACATGTACCCTGCACTCACACCCCACTCACAACACGTACCCTGCACTCACACACAACACTCACACACCCCACTCACAACACGTACCCTGCAGTGAACACACACCCCACTCACAACATGTACCCTGCACTCGCACACACCACTCACACCACTCACAACACGTACCCTGCAGTGAACACACACATCACTCACAACACGTACCTTGCACTCGCACACAACACTCACACCCCACTCATAACACGTACCCTGCACTCACACACACCACTCACAACACATACCCTGCATTCACACACAACACTCACACCACTCACAACACGTACCCTGCAGTGAACACACACCCCACTCACAACACGTACCCTGCACTTGCACACCGCACTCACACCACGTACCCTTCCACTCACACACCACACACACCACTCACAACACGTACCCTGCAGTGAACACACACATCACTCACAACACGTATGCTGCGGTCCACACACTCACCACTCACAACATATGCCCTTGAGTGCACACACACTACTCACAACACGTACCCTGTTGGGCAGACACTCTAACACATCACTCAACACTTATCCTGCTCACAAAACTAACCACACTCACTGTCACACTCAGTACTAAACCAGGACTGCAGGTCACGTGACGTGTATTATCAGCATTAAATTGCAGCCCGCAAGCCTGCATTGCTTCTCACAGTGTGAGTTAAATTTTTTCTCTTAAGTTGTTCAAATGTAGAGAGTTCCCGCAAAGAAACTCATTTTCTCCGTACGGTTTGTGTGTGTGTCATGCCTCTGTATCCAGCCTTACAGCCCTGCAATTGTGTCCCATCTTTGCCCCCCCCAGCTTCAAAATGCCCCCTCTTTGCACAGAAGATGAAGGCAGATGAAAGCGGTGCGCACACGGCCACTGAAGGCCAGGCTGCGGGCCAGGGTGACGTCGTAACGGGGCTGCTCACGGCGGCCGTGCGACTGTCTCCATCTCTCCCGCATGCGAGCCGCGACTGCAGCTACATCACGTGCGTTGCTCTGTGCGTTTAGACCAGGGTTGGGGGACCTTTTTTCTGCCAAGGGCCATTTGGATATTTATAACATCATTCGCGGGCCATCCAAAATTCAATTTATGTTGCTATGAAAAAAGCGCCTAGATTTATTGAATTTCGAGTCGTGTGGTTGCCTTGGCAGGGCCAGACCAAATGATTTCACGGGCCTTATATGGCCCGCGGGCCGGACGTTCCCCACCTCTGGTTTAGACGGTCGTACGTGCGTGTGTAGTGATGGGAGCGGTAGTGTAGTAGCTGTTTGCACTATGCTGCGCTACAAAGCTGCGACCCGAGTTAAATTCCCATTCATGACCCCTCGGTCGACTCAGCCTCAAATCACTTTTTATTCATATGGTAAGGTGAGGCTTAAGAGGGTGAGCCTTTGTTATGGAGAGGTACGGTTTGTGACTCAACCTGTGACAAGGAGAAAACAACTGAACATGGTAAACCTGTAATAGTTGTCTGTCAAATAAGATTGGCCAAATAAGTGTAGTTAAATCTTTTTTGCATGGTTAATCACATCTTTCCAATGATTACTCAGTTTGTAACCATCATCACGGTTGAAATTATGTCTGTGTTTGTATATTTGTATGGCTTCGTGTACAAACCTTTGATGGTAGCCAGGAGGTTTGCAGAGAACCTTGGTCTCGGAAAAGACAATTTCATGAGAGCCCACCGAGTTGTAGCAATGATCGGCAACGGCCGAAAATCAGTTCTGCCGTGTTTCAGATCTGACTTGTGCTCGCGGATACGATCAGAAACATGACGTTTCGTTTCTCCAATGTAGCAATCACCACAAATGCAACTCAATTTGTAGACTCCAGGATACTGTAAGTCAGGAACGACATCCTTCACAGATGGAATCAGATCACGGATTTTATGCACTGTACTGAATCGGACTTGGATCTTATGTTTGTTTAGAATTTTGGAGATCTTTTTGGTCACGCCTGCTATGTATGGTGTGCTGTACTTGGCCCTTCCCCCCCCCTCTCCAACCATTATATAAACGAAGTGGTAGCTCCTGCAATCTCTCATTTACTTGATACAGCTGTCGTGGCTGTGATGGTTCCACCTGAAGACGGAAGCTTGCGTTGCCTCCGAAACGTCGTGATTTTTATTTTATTTTACTTTTATTAATTTTAATGTTTTACCTACGTGACTTTACCGAAAAAACCTAAGAATATGAATCCTTGCAGTCACGAAAGCTTCAAATCTAGAATATTTGCCGCTTGTTGCAGGGCGACTGCCGGTTCGGGCCCGGCGGTCGCACTGGTTATTACCGTGGGTGTACTCGCTGTAGCAAAGCACACGCTGTCTGCTTCAAATTGGACTTTAAAATCCCGTTCTGTCACTCTAAAATAGTAGGCTATTGTGTGTCGGTGTCATGGTTCAGATTTTCTAAGTTTCTAAAGTTACCTTCAAATTACTCAATTGGGATTCTACCCGAGCCTCTAACTGGTGAAAGGCAATGTCACCTTGACTTAAAGCAGGGATAGCTAAAAAATAAAATGCTCAGCTCTGTTATTGTTTTCCTTCCAGGGTAGTTAAAATTGGTTGGTTTGCATTGCCGATAACTGGACATTTTTTTAAAAAATAATTTTCTTCTGCGCATATAGGAACGTCTCGAGCAATCAGCATAACAATACACCCTGCTACGTGAGAAACAATTGTAATTTAAGTTTCTCAAATCACCCCACCTCTCTCCACTCGCCACAGTCGAAACAGCAGGTCGGTTGTGGTGGGGTAAAGTGTGGTGGGGTAAAGTGTGGGTACACCCATCTCTTCCTAATAAAATCCACTGGAAACATTTACTTGTTTTTGACTTTAGGAACCAGTATTCGATTATCAAACAGGTTATCATTTAACGACCTTACTCCCTTTGCCAATTCTCTTTCCTTCGCTTCAGCCTCATCCGCACGGCATTGCCTTTCTCTCTCTAGGTTCCGCGACCCCAAGACTCAGAGCATGCACGGGGCTCAGGTGGCTTTCCAGGTGTGCGTGCGGCCCGGAGCTTACAAGTACAGCGCTCACCCGGCCGTGAACACGGGACACGCCGCACACCCCTTCCAGCCCGCACGCAGCGCGCACGCGTTGACGAACACGTACCCGCCGCACACACAGTCTGCCGCCACGCACTCGAACATACACGCGCCCGACACGCGCTTCCCCAGCTCGGAGATTGAGTGGTTCACCAAAGAGAGGGGCTCCACCATCATCACAGCCTTGCTCATTCGTGTGGAGTGACCGTTTTACAGACGCCACTTCCGAGATCCTTGGACGTATCGCTCCCGGCCGATTTTGTCCGACAGTTGTGCAGCGTGAATGATGCTACCACGACTGCGCGATTTCCGAGCAAACGCGTAAAAGACACAGCGGTGTTGCTCTTCTCGGAGCCATGCGATTGTCCTGAAGCAGCTGTGCTCAGTCGACTGTGACTGGCAATGATGGAATTAAGTGACGCTGAAAATAGCAGGAAGCAACTCGTTTACAGCATGGTGCAATAGCGAATATTTCACCAGTAGTTACCTTCCTAGAGGCACCAGCCTGTAGATTTGTGTACAGTTAATGACCTAGATATTTCTGCCATATGTGTAACACCACTGATGTCTACGGAATTTTGCTGTTTAATACTCGGAGTCAAAAGCTCGCCATGAAACTTGCTAGTATTTATTTAGCTTAATAGCAATATTTGTTTAATGGGGCAGTATAGCAGTTGCAACAAGTGGCGTTGGAAAGGATGCCCTTGACCTCGATAAGCACTCTGACTTTTCATTAAAGATGTTGATTAGTATTATGTCCTTGGCCGATACGAACAAGCACGCTCATCGTTATCAGTGCAGGACCATGGCCAGGTTGCATCCTTTTGATGCTCGGATGCAACAAAAATGAGCCCAGAACCTCGTGCTCTGACAGGTGGCCCGAGAACAACAAAACACGTTGAATTACAAACACACTTTAACATTCGTGAAAATCTGAATAAATTACCTCGTACACAGGCCCTGTGAGTTTACGCATTGTTTTCCGAAACCATCTGTATATGGGGATCATACACACAGGCTGGGTGACTGCACAAATGGCTCAATATACCACGTGTACTCCAGAAGGCTTGGGACATTTATCTGCATGTGCATTCATAATCATAGCCCACTCATAACGTTGTTCCGGTTTCTGAGCTTGTGCATTTTAGAAGCTGATTTTTGAAGCCGAATATTTTAGGCAGAGAGCAGATTCTCACGGTTGGCTGCATGCACCGGCTGGACAGGGAGCGGGGGGTCGTTCATCCTCCCGAGTGGATCACACGGACGGTCTTCCTTGTGCGTGGAGCTGCCGCTTCAGCGGTCCCCGCTGTCTCCACAGCTCAGTGCGAGCCTCAGCTGCAGCCCTTCCCACCTCCGCTGCTTTTTTCTATCCTGCCCACAATGGGAATCTTGCAGACATAAGTATCAATAACCACTCTTCACTTTGGGGTTTAGCGACCAAGGGGAATGTCCAACAGTAGATGGCGGGATACTACTCGAGCGCATCAATGGCACTGTGTGAGTCTACAGCCAGATTGTGGGATACTGTTAGGGCAGATCTTGGAGGTCATGTGTCTCCCTGTGCAGCTGCTACGGATATGTTGGCAAGCGAGGTGCGGTTGTGGCATCAATCGCTTTGTCCATGATGACATCTAGTTGGTGATGTATTGAGAGGTGGCAGTCAAGTCCTAGACATGACGATTGATGTGAATTCCGTTCACTCTCGAGGTTGTTACCCGTCGCAAGTGCCTCACATTGTCACAGCCACGTGTATTGTTCTGGTGCCTTATGCATTAAATTCTTGGAACGGAGCGTGGAGACGATATGAGACCGGTTTTAAATGGCATTGCACCACAATTTACACGGTTGAACCTTTTAAAATAAGCAGTCGTCTTTCATTGAACTATTGCCAACATGCAAATGTTGCAACAGATTTATACTCGTGCGCGTGATGGGACATGGCTGCTAGAGGTTGAGCGCAGATTTAACCGCATACAGCACGCGAGGTGACGCGAGCAAGCGCCACGTGGGTGCATGCGCAGCACACGTGTGTGTGCACCCGCTGCGCATGCACGTGTGTACCACATGCTTACCCCACGTGCATCGTCGTGTTTGCCGTGCGTGCACGTCAGTGGGCTGGCTAGTGACGTGCAATGATTCTCTTTGCTATTTATATAAAACGGTCGTATGTGTAACATAACCAAGTACAGAGGGAGCGACGTTATTAATACGTACATTTATTTACAATTGCTTATCCGAATGATTTATTGAACGCTGATTGTTAACGAAACTGGAATTGTTGGTGTCGTGTGCAATAAAGATTAATATTCACGTTTCTTCACGTGGAACTATTGTGCATTTGATCTGTTTAAAAGGTTGTGTAGTTAATGATTTTATACGTGCGTGCATCTAATGTAATACAACTTGGAGAATACTAATTGACATTCAATAAAGATTGTAAAATGTTGTCTTTTAAAAGATAAACTCCAACATTTTGCCCGATAAGTTATTTGACGTATTGTTTATATTGGCATATTCTGCACCGAACATGCTTTGTTGTCATTTCAAGTTGTACGTTGTATGATGTCAACAAAGCATCTAATCCTCAACAGCCATGCTCATTCCACTGCTAGATAAAGGCCTCCCCAAACCATCACATCTCACGATCCTGCGATGTAATCTGGCTAGCACCTGTAATTGAGCTGATTTCATTGCTCCATCTTCCCGGATAATGTTCCGTTCCGTTTCTGCTGCTCCATCACTGCTCTTGACTACCGGTCTCCATCCCTTCTGATGACGTGTCCTGCACAAATCCACCTACGATATCTCCACAGTTTGGATTAGGCCTCGGCAAGGTAAAAACGAGCCTACATTTACCCTACCTTTTACCCTTACCCCATAAAAATTACCTGATTACAGGGTAATTAATGGGGTACTACACATGAAAAAAGTTTATAACAGGTAAATGCTAGGAATAACGCTTTATTCATATAGAATACTGTCGATTCCAATTTTAAATGGAGGCCACGGACTGCGCCACGGAGCTTTTAGCGAGCGGTAAACGGTACTTACCAGGTATTACTTCGCGCTACCTTTACCCTACCCTTTACCTTACCCCTTGGCATGTCGACACTTTTACCCGGTAAAAAGGGTAAATTACCTTACCTTGCCGATGCCTAGTTTGGATTATGTCTTTGACCTCCGTATTGTCTCAAATATACGTGTAACTCAATAAACTAATATTAAAAGTAAACTCATAAAACGTTGCTGGTACATTGCGTTTTGGGAAGATTCTTGTGAGGAAAAGGCACTGTCCACTTAGCAATACATGGGGCAACGGAGTGGCGAGATGTTGGCTACCTCGCCTGGTATACAGGAGGTCTTGGGTTCGATCCCAACGCCTGTATATCGCACCTCCGATTAGCACGGTTCGCTACGTACAGTGTGAAAGAAGTTCAACATTTATACTTAAGAGTTTGCATGTTCTCCCCGTGGTCACATGGATTTTTCTCCCGAGTTCCCAAGTTTTTCCATCCACATTTAGAAACACGCGTTTAGAATATTTGGCTGCTATAAATAAAACATCGAAATGAGATTTGGCACGGTACATAAAATATAAAAGGTTATATTTGGTACTAAAGATGAATTACCGAAGCTACCAATAGGAGCTGTGTACCTTATTAATTGCTCCTGTGGCCAGGGCTATGTTGGTCAGACGGGACGAATGATTAACATAAGACGAAAAGAAAATATTAAATGCCTACAAACATAACTGTCGTCAGTTGCAGAACATGCGTGCCAACAAGAACATTCAATTGATTTTGAGAATGACGTTTTGTGTAAAACTCTTACTGGTCAAGTCTAATTCGAGAATCTTTTAAAATTGAGAGAATTACAAATTAATTTAACCATTCTGATAGCTACAGGCTCAGTGCCGCTTGGAAGCGTCGTATTAAGTATTACACTTTAATTGCATGCCTTTTCAGGGTATCATTTGCTAATTAACTGTGACTAACGCAACCGATAATTATCTTTTATGTACGTACTGCATATTTTCAGCTTAACACAGTCTATTGTAATTTTCATAATCACAATCCCTACGTGTTAAATTGGCTGCTATAAATTTCCACGTGCTAAACCAACTTCGTTGAGCTATCATTCTAAGAAGTGCATATGTTTGAACTTCTTTCGCACCGTACGTAGCCAACCGTGCTAATCGGAGGTGCTAATGTAAGTAGAATGTGGAGTACATTTTTATGAAACGTATGTAACAAAAGTTGCATTTCGTGTGGGTTTTTTTTAGTGATAGGAGGAAATCGGAGAACCAGGAGGAAACCCATGCAGAACAGGGGGAGTGAACTTACACACTCCACACAGAAAGGCACCCGAGTCAGACATCTAACCCAGGCCCTTCTCGCTGTGAGGCACGAGCGTTAACCACCGTCGCCCGTGACTGTCGGGCCGTCGGTGACTCTCAAAGAGCGACTCGCGTGTAAACCATACCGAGTGACACTGACACAGTACGAGTGTGCGCTACGCGGCCTCCCTCGCTCGGGTCGGCGCGGGTTCCAGCCGGGCCGCCCTCGCTCAGAGTGGCGATCCGAGCGGCGAGATCCCGCAGCCTCCTCCCCTCCGCGCCCTTCAAGGCGCGTTTCTTCTGCTGCTGCCCACGGCAGCGTGACCCCTCCTATCACTCACCCGCGCTGCTCCCCAGCCAGCCGGCCTCTACTCCCCGGCGCCTGCCTGCTCTGCCCACCCGGCCCCAGAAGTCGACTGTGGCTCTCAACGCAGCTCAAAGGCTCAAGGCGACAGAGCAGCGCGTATCATCATCATCGCACGCGTCTTGAGTAGTTTTTGTTGTTGTTAATTTCTCTGCTAACATGTACGTGCCCACCTTCGTGTTCTTACCACTGGGTGAGTGCGACTCTGCTCGGCGTCCGTGTTGTTGTTATTGTTGATGGAGCTGATGGCTCCGGGTCTGCTCTGCTGCCCGTGTTGAGGACTCGGTCTCTCGCAGACACCGACTGTTTCGTCTCACGCACCCACTCACACACCTACTTACTCTTACATGCACTCACCACACTGCAGGTCACAACAACACACTCACACCTACTTCATCTTACATTCACTCACTCACTCACCACACTGCAGATCACAACATCACACTCACCCACTCACACCTTACACTCACCCACACACACCTCCTTACTGTGTCTAGCACCCCACTCGCCACACCGCAGGCCACAGCGCTTCTCTTTCTGCTGCTTTCCTCCACTGTGGAATTCCCTCCCATCGTATTTCCCAAACTGTGATGATAATAATAATAATTAGTATAACCTTGCTCAATTAAAGAAACGCGTTTCACTCGTATCTATTTCAACTTTGATAATAGTTATGTATGTGGCTAGCCTCTTGATGTGTTTTAGACCTTTGACTTGTCCTCTCTGTGTTTGACAAATATTCAAATGGCATCAAGAGCGCTGTAAACTCAACACATTTAATAACATCGTGGCCTTACAACGAGCGTACAGAACGGGCGACGTTTTGGGCATTGGCCCTTCTTCACAGCACGTAGGCGTGCGCCTGTATGACGTTTCCGATTGAGGCCACATGTACGCAGTGTTCTTGGCACGGAACGCGTGGCGCTGTGCCGTTGGCTGTGCTTGGTGCATTCACTGCAAGCGCAGCAGCAGCAGCAGCACCACGTATTTTATTTTAGCGAGGGCTGTTTAAAAAAAATGTTTGTATAACGGGTAACCCTGGGGTGGGCGCCGCGGTGGCGAGATGTGAACTGCCTCGCCTGGTACACAGGAGGTCATGGGTTCGATACCGACCCCGACGAAGCCTGTATATTTGGAGTTTGCGTGTCTCTCTTCCCGTGGTCGCGTGCGTTTTTCTGCGGGTCCTCCGGTTTTCCCCTCCACATTTAGAATCGTGCCTTTTCGAGTATTTGGCTGCGATACATTTCCACGTGATAAGCCACTTCGTTGGGATATCATTTGTGATAGCCAGGTCGCTTCTGAAAAATAGCTATATAGCTCGGTGGGCCTTACCTGGTAAAATAAAACAATAGTTTCGTTTAAAATAACAGGAGACATTTTTTGTTTAATTCAGTAACGAAAAACATTTTTCAAGAGCCCCAATGAATGTGAATACGAGATGGTGGTCCTTTATAAACGTCACGAAGAGTCCTTAAAGAGCCGCACGTGGATCCAGAGCCTTGCGGTCATCGAATTGTAAACAACGACCACCGGTTTGCCGTACGGAGAGCATCATGACTTATAGACTTATAATGATTTATAGACTGTATCATGATTTATAGACTTATAATGATGTGTAGACTGTATCATAATTTACAGACTGTATAATGAGTTGTAGACTGTATGATTTATAGACTAAATCATGATTTATAGACAGTATCATGATTTATCGACTGTATAATGAGTTATAGATTGTATATGTCGGGCAGTGAAATTAGCATTTCACCTCTTTTAACTGAGAAACAAAAGCTGCTGCCACGGCGATTCGCGCTGGGTGAGCGGCGAGCGCGCTCCACTGAAGCAGTTCAGAGGGCGCCGGTTCGGTTCCCATCTCCCGGCGCGGCAGTTGGAACGAGGGGGCCAATTTCCTCAAATGCTCACCTTCAACGCCTCCGTCCACTCAGTGGCAGTACAATAATTGGTATTCCACAGTCGATCGGCAGGTCGCGTGTGGTGGGGTGAAGTGTGGGTACCGCCCACCTCTTTCAAGTCGTCAGGCCAACGTGGAAGAGTAGGCCGAACACCATCGGGAGGTCCCTTTCCGCCAGCAGTGTCGAGAGCAAGCTCTTTCAGGGTTGCGCCTTTTACCTGTCTGTACGTTCTCGCGCACCTGTCAATCAGTGCATTCGAATCTAAAATTCCACTGGAAATGAACGCCGCTTCCTGACTTTCGAAACCGGATTGTGTAAAACGATTACCGGTTCTACTGATTGTCGGTTAACAACCTTAATTTTAAACCATTGTGAGGGTAGGGCATGTCCGCTGGGACGCTCATTATTTTTAAACACAGTTGCTGAGCACAGGACCAGAGACACAAAACGCCAGGCGGCCAGAAACGAACAGCACTATAAGGTTTCGAATAGATAACAGTCAACAGTTAGAGCTTGGGGAAAAGAGACGATGGGAGGGAATTCCCAAGTGGAGGAGAGCGAGGCGAGAAGCAAAAAGAGAAGGAAGGTGACCGGCGGTGTGGTGAGTGGGTGGGCGCCAGTGTCGTTGTGTTTGTTTATAAATAGGTCGCCTCAGCCTCAAATGAGTACCTGGTAAGGTGTGTAAACATCGGCACAAGGGAGACAAAGGCGGCCGGGTGTGGTGCTGGCCACCCACCCCCTCTTGTGCCGTGCTGGCCTTCATAGGTGCTCGCTAACAGCACTTGCCCCAAAAGTCTGTTTAGGCTACGCGGGGGAATCTTTGTTTTTTTTTTAGACTGAGTAATGGGTGACTGAGTGAGTGGTTGACTGAGTGTTGTTGTGACCTGCAGTGTGTGCGGTGGTGGTGGTGGTTGAACACAGCGTGGAGTCTGGTGAACCGTCGAGTCGTCAACATGGGTGGAGGAAGCCTCGCGAGTGAAGCTCACGGGAACGGTAGCCCTGGGAACATTGATTAGTATTAATGTGTTCCTCGGTACATCGTCTGTGCTCGCTCCCGTGCTGTTCCACTGTGGGAGCTCCACAACTCATTCGCCTTGTGCCTCATGCCGGTGCGGCAGTCGGATATTGATCGCAATGGATGGGGTGGTAGTGTTGTTGTTGTGATTGTCTCAGATCGAATATCGTGTCCACGGTGTCTGTGGAAGGACGCACCGCCCGGTGACTTTGTAACTGGATCCTAGTCGTCGTAATCTGGCCAGGTCCAGGCACCGCTGCCTCACGGTGTTAGAGACCCGGGGGAGTTGAAGCAGGTTAAGAGCCCTGGGGGCGGTGAAGCAGGCTGAGAGCCCTGTGGGAGGTGAAGCAGGCTGAGAGCCCTGGGGGCGGTGAGGCAGGTTGAGAGCCCTGGGGGATGTGAAGCAGGCTGAGAGCCCTGGGGGCGGTGAGGCAGGTTGAGAGCCCTGGGGGCGGTGAAGCAGTTTGAGAACCCTGGGGGAGGTGAAGCAGGTTGAGATCCCTGGGGGGAGGTGAAGCAGGTTGAGAGCCTTGGGGGAGGTGAAGCAGGTTGAGATCCCTGGGGGAGGTGAAGCAGGTTGAGAGCCCTGGGGGAGGTGAAGCAGGCTGAGAGCCCTGGGGGCGGTGAGGCAGATTGAGAGCCCTGGGGGCGGTGAGGCAGGTTGAGAGCCCTGGGGGCGGTGAGGCAGATTGAGAGCCCTGGGGGAGGTGAAGCAGGTTGAGAGCCCTGGGGGAGGTGAAGCAGGTTGAGAGCCCTGGGGAAGGTGAAGCAGGCTGAGAGCCCTGGGGGCGGTGAGGCAGATTGAGAGCCCTGGGGGCGGTGAGGCAGGTTGAGAGCCCTGGGGGCGGTGAGGCAGGTTGAGAGCCCTGGGGGCGGTGAAGCAGGCTGAGAGCCCTGTGGGAGGTGAAGCAGGCTGAGAGCCCTGGGGGCGGTGAGGCAGGTTGAGAGCCCTGGGGGAGGTGAAGCAGGCTGAGAGCCCTGGGGGCGGTGAGGCAGGTTGAGAGCCCTGGGGGCGGTGAAGCAGTTTGAGAACCCTGGGGGAGGTGAAGCAGGTTGAGATCCCTGGGGGGAGGTGAAGCAGGTTGAGAGCCTTGGGGGAGGTGAAGCAGGTTGAGATCCCTGGGGGAGGTGAAGCAGATTGAGAGCCCTGGGGGAGGTGAAGCAGGCTGAGAGCCCTGGGGGCGGTGAGGCAGATTGAGAGCCCTGGGGGCGGTGAGGCAGGTTGAGAGCCCTGGGGGCGGTGAGGCAGATTGAGAGCCCTGGGGGAGGTGAAGCAGGTTGAGAGCCCTGGGGGAGGTGAAGCAGGTTGAGAGCCCTGGGGAAGGTGAAGCAGGCTGAGAGCCCTGGGGGCGGTGAGGCAGATTGAGAGCCCTGGGGGCGGTGAGGCAGGTTGAGAGCCCTGGGGGCCGAGAGGCAGATTGAGAGCCCTGGGGGCGGTGAGGCAGGTTGAGAGCCCTGGGGGCGGTGAGGCAGGCTGAGAGCCCTGGGGGTGGTGAGGCAGGTTGAGAGTCCTGGGGGAGGTGAGGCAGGTTGAGAGTCCTGGGGGAGGTGAGGCAGGTTGAGAGCCCTGGGGGAGGTGAGGCAGATTGAGAGCCCTGGGGGAGGTGAAGCAGGTTGAGAGCCCTGGGGGCGGTGAAGCAGGTTGAGAGCCCTGGGGGAGGTGAAGCAGGTTGAGAGCCCTGGGGGCGGTGAGGCAGATTGAGAGCCCTGGGGGAGGTGAGGTTGAGAGCCCTGGGGGAGGTGAAGCAGATTGAGAGCCCTGGGGGAGGTGAGGCAGTTTGAGAGCCCTGGGGGAGGTGAAGCAGGTTGAGAGCCCTGGGGGAGGTGAAGCAGATTGAGAGCCCTGGGGGAGGTGAGGCAGGTTGAGAGCCCTGGGGGAGGTGAAGCAGGTTGAGAGCCCTGGGGGAGGTGAAGCAGATTGAGAGCCCTGGGGGAGGTGAGGCAGGTTGAGAGCCCTGGGGGAGGTGAAGCAGGTTGAGAGCCCTGGGGGAGGTGAGGCAGGTTGAGAGCCATGGGGGCGGTGAGGCAGTTTGAGAGCCCTGGGGGAGGCTGAGACCAGGACACATACATAAATATACACAACAGCCACCACGTGTCACTTAGTGGCGGTGACATCATAATGGCGCTTGTACCAGGCGAGGTGCACATTGACATACGCACACTGCATGTCATCAGCAAGAAGGCTGAAGCAAGACTTGTGCTGGACACTGGAAAGTGGGAAAGCAAGAGAGGACTCCTGATGATCTGGAGCCAGATTACACAAAGGGAAAGAACGTCTATCAGAGTTACTTGGGAAGAGCGGCCTCAATTGGCACAGAGACCCATTAACTCACACAGAGACATATATCCACACAAAGACAAAGTTCCCCCGTATAGCCTTAACACACTGTAGGGGCAAGTGCTGTTAGCGAGCACCTATGAAGGCCGGAACAGTACACGAGGGGATGGGTGGCCAGATCCGCGCCCGACCGCCTTTGTCTCCCCAGTGGCGGTGTTTACACACTGCACCAGGTACTCATTTGAGGATGAGTCGACCTAAGGGAGGCCCGGGAACGGTTCAGATAATCGTCTACCGGTGTTGGTCGTGAGCGGGAATCGAACCCAGGTCGCCGGGTTCATAGTGCTGTGCGCCGCTGCACTACCGTTCCCCACATATATATATCCACACAGAGACACATAGACGCCACAAAGACACAGATTCACACAGAGACATATAGACTCACACAGACACACACAGACTCACTCAGGGACTTACAGAGACCCAACGATTCACATATAGGTCTATATGAGAGCCTGTGTGTCTCTTTGCATGTATATCTCTCTCGCTGATGGAACAGGAATGTGTGCGTGGAGGCGCTGGGTGTCAGTGACGGATAAGGCCACGGACTTGGGGCCATGGTGCCGTAGTTCAGAACCATTTGGTTGGTTGTGAAAATGTGCTTTTACATTCAATCCTACCTCGGATCATCGCTCATCCTATCCCAGTGTGGTGGAACATTCCTGTCACCCAGAGGCTTGAGGGTAGAGAGGTAGATCATGCCAAGAGACAGAAAATGATTGAGAGGTGCGGGAATCCACAGACAGGCGGGAAGGCAGCCGGAACCGGCGCCAACAATTTATCAAGCTCTGTGGCCCTCTATATCGGGATGTTTGGCCAACTCCACACGTAAGCTGCGTGTTGTGTGGTCCCTTCAGCAGCGTCAGATCGCGACTGCAGTGGCTTTTACACGGAGGCGGGTGAGTGGCACCTGGGCTTCGACTGCCCATGGCCCCAGCACTGCTGCGGAGACTGCCACGCTCGCTATTGCTGCACCACGGCCCTGGAGGAACTGCACGAGGATGAGCAGAGTTGGTGCAACTTCTTTGTGATCAGGTCAGGAACGCCGCACACCTCCACGCTCACAGATTAACGGTGCAAAAAACGATCAGATATATCGCGAGTACATTCTGTAAAGATGTGCACAGGAAACGTATTTATTATTAAGCTTATTTACCCACAAAGGTATCACTTGAGTTCCAAGACTGTTTCAAGTGATAATAATTGAAAAGGTTTTACTCTTTCCAGCAATGATACACGTGTTGAGATGTTCAAACACCAAATAGACACCCATTGCAATGCATCAAGTATGCATTAACCACACATGATTGTGGCAAAACATGCAAACACACGTTCTTTGATAATAATGTATGCATTGTGTTTGAAACGGATTAGCCTACACCAGAGACAGTCTCCTTTATGGCCTCGTCTCACCAGTGTTAGACCACATAACGCCAAAAGGCAAATAACACTAAGGCAATGCAAATATCAAAGCATTTTTATGTCGGGTTGAGCAGTTATATCTATGGGACCATTTTTTGCCGGTAAAAAAATGGCCACATACATAGTCCTGTCAAGTGTTCTCAGTCAGGGTCAATGTTTCACTGTGTAATCCCGATTAAGTAATTTTCAGGTAATTCAACATTGAACCTGGAGGAAAATCCATGTTCTCCCCTTGTTCCAAAGAAATGTGACTAGTATTGGCCAAGCATGCTGAACAGTTACAAAGTTACCTAAAAATAACTCAATTGGGATTGCACAGAGCAGCAACATCACCCCCTCCTGCGAAAACCTGGCAGGACCTTCATGAAAAAATATATTCTTGTGATTTCCTGAGTCAACAAGGACGATGTTTACGCCACTGTGCATGTGAATTGGCACGGTGTGCTGCCACCTCCCCAGCCCCAGCATTATCGCGGGCATCACGCTGGGGCTTTTCCTGCTGATGCTCATCCTCACCCTCATCTGCTGCTGCACCTGCTCGGGCTGCGTGCTCAGCCAGATGCGCCTCCGCCGCCGCTCGTCCTCCTGCTCCAGTGGGTAACACCACACTGGGCACAAGTGTAAAGATCCCCCGATGGCCTTTAACAGACTGTTGGGGCGAGTGCTGTGAGCGACCACCGATGAAAGCTGGCACGGCACGCAAGGAGATGAGTGGCCAACACCACGCCCGGCCGCCTTTGTATCTCAAGTAGCAATGTTCACACATCGCACCAGGCTGAGTCGACCTAGGAGAGCCCCAAGACCGTTTTAGGTAATCGCCACTGGTGTTTGCGGTGAGCGGGAATCGAACTCGGGTTCCCGGGTTCGTAGCACAGTGTGCTAACCGCTGCACTGTCAATCCCAATTGCTGTCAGCTTAATCATGCATGACCACACAGAAGCAGTGCAGTGCATTTTTATTTGGCATTGTCATGAAAATTCAGTAAAATTATGAGCAGCTCTTGTTATTAGACGGTTCTGTAAAGATAATCTAATCATTAATAGTCGGTTGTTGGTTATCGGTCATGGAATGATCTGACCAAATTTGTGTCGTCAATACCATACACCACCCAATAACCAAACAGATTAATTATTATGTGTAAAATCATCGAAAGCATCACTTATTAATGTTTAAGCTCACCTGTAAGATGAACAATTTTCACAACTAAAATATACCAATAAGATATGGCGTTTCCTTTGAAACTGCACCATACATCTTCAGGAAGAGATCCGGGAAGTCAAAATCACCTGACCTGGCTTCAAAATGACAAGGCCTAAACCCAAACATCGATAATGGATTGTAACACGAGATGCGACATCGCACGTGTTAAGCATCGATATGATTAAACTTTGTTGGTTTTTCAGGTCACTGCGATGCATCATTGTACGGTTCCCATGCCGGGTCCTTCAGCAGCCTCACCAGAACGCAAGCCCAGAGTCAGCCCTCCAGCCAGCACGCGGGCAGGCAGTTGCATGGAGGCTACACGGTGGTCCCGGCCAACTCTCAGCTTGTCTCACCCGCAGAGCTCACGCCCAGCCCGCAGTCTGAAACCCCCCCACTCGTCTCTGCCACGTTCGTAGGGGGCTTCTCCGGTGGGCTGGTTCCGGAGGGTGCCACCGTGGTACATGCGGTGCGTGCAGTCACCGAGTATCAGTTCATCGTGGGGCCGCCACCACCGTACGACGAGTCTGGTCGGCAGGGCACGCAGATTTAGAACGGCCGGCAATGCTGCGGTGGCGAAGTGGTGACACTCGCACCTCGATAGCAAGAAGGGTCTGGGTTTGGTACCCAACTCGGGCGCCTTTCCGCGTGGATTTGACCAATATTTTTCGTAATAAAGTTTTTTGGGTTACATCGCGTAAATATAAATGTCGTAAACCCACCTCCACCCGGCACAGCCAATTAATAAAGGTTGTCACGTGAACTTCAACACACCTGTGTGTTGGAGAGAAAATCCCACATTTCCAAATTTAGCTAACCACGTTTCGCTGGTGATTACAACCTTACTAAATGGCTGTGTTGATGTAAAAGCTTTTATTATGAATGTGGGGAGTTTATATGTTCTCTCCTGTGTTCTGCATGGGTTTGCTCTGAAAACTCACTTCTTTAGAACTGATTTTTGTGTTTAATTTTATGTCCATCCCCCGCACCTCCGATTAGCACGGATGGCTACATACGGCGCGAAAGAAGTTCAACATACATACAATGTAACGGGTATTGGACAAAACATCTCAATGCTAAAAAATTATCAGCAAATTGCTTCATTGGGATTACACACAGCAGCAACATCGCCCCGGACTGCAAACACTTTGCAGGACCGTCCAGAAAGAGCTGAGGCTCAGTGAAGGCTTTCCAGGGTAAACGAGTGGATTAACAATAACACAGTGTAAAGGTTGCTAAATTACCACAAATACTTTACACTCTCGGTATGCATTGCCGACGGCAATTCCACCGCAATGATTGGCGCGGATGAAGATTGAGAGAGCAAGGAGTTGTTTATTTACAGAGTAGGAGCACAAATCGAGAACAAGAATTCATCACCTACAACAAACGGAAATGCAACCGAGTGCGTGATTTCCAAAGGCGACCGAGAATGCATCTACCAAAGCATTACCCGCGACACCTTTAGCTTCCAGGTGTCCCGTGCCATCATCGTCATCATGTGCATGCCCCTCAGGGAGGAGCAGTCCCCACGAGGCGCCACCAGGCAATCCTATCCTGCTCTAGCCGCCACGCTGAATACAAGCCAATGCCGTGGTGTCGAGGATTTAGCTTGTTTGGCTACGTCTGGTGGTGGGGTGGAGGGTCTTACCACATACATTTTGCCACATTACGTGGCCTATTTTCAAACATCAATTGCAAAAGCTGGCAGTTTCTGTATATTAATTTACCACGTAAAGAAAACAAACAATATAAACATGGTATTTCTAGGTGACTTTCAACACGCGTGTGCAATAGCAAAACGAGTGCACAGCTCGGTGTGGTCGCGTTTCTCAGCACAGCTGTGGAAGGAGCTGAGCCGGGAGCAGCGCTGCGCGCGCGTCCACGTGGCCCACGCGTGGATTGGGCCTTCGTGTTTCCCACCACAAGGGCCGTCCATAGGAGGGTGTAGGATCCGGGGCAAATCCCACTGTGGGCCCCCCGACGCTTTCAAACTAAACCGGGAGTATTACACACGCCACGTAACATCGAAGCGCGCACCGCCACCCCAAAGCGCCCCCGCCAAAAGCGCGGGGCCCGGTGCGGTCGCCCAGATTCGCCGTGTACCCTGGGGACGGCTCTGCCCCGCCACTCATGCTGCACAGCTTCGACTGGAGTTGCGATATGACTTGAGGCTGTATACAAGAGCGCATATAATATGAACGTGTGTGCACCAATGATTCTACGTGTATCTGCAATATAAAAAACACTTTTGTTTGGACAGCGGGAACCTCACCCACGCGCCCCGCCCCTTCGCCCACGCGCCCCGCCCCCTCACCCACGCGCCCCGCCCCTTCGCCCACGCGCCCCGCCCCCTCGCAACGAGCCCCGCCCCCTCGCCCCGCACCCTCACCCACGCGCCCCGCCCCCTCACCCACGCGCCCCGCCCCCTCGCCCACGCGCCCCGCCCCCTCGCAACGAGCCCCGCCCCCTCACCCACGCGCCCCGCCCCCTCACCCACGCGCCCCGCCCCCTCGCAACGAGCCCCGCCCCCTCGCCCCGCACCCTCACCCACGCGCCCCGCCCCCTCACCCACGCGCCCCGCCCCCTCGCGCCCCGCCCCCTCGCCCCCTCACCCACGCGCCCCGCCCCCTCACCCACGCGCCCCGCCCCCTCGCCCACGCGCCCCGCCCCCTCGCAACGAGCCCCGCCCCCTCGCCCCGCACCCTCACCCACGCGCCCCGCCCCCTCGCCCCGCCCCCTCACCCACGCGCCCCGCCCCCTCACCCACGCGCCCCGCCCCCTCGCCCCCTCGCCCCGCCCCCTCGCAACGAGCCCTCGCCCCGCCTCCCATAGTCCCGCCCCCTCCCACACGCGCCCCGCTCCTGCCGCCGCCTCCGCATGCGCGCCCCACGCCTCCTGCTGTTGCCCGCGCTTTGCCGCCGCCTCGCCGCGTCTCGCCCCGCGCCTCCTCCGCGTCTCCCCGCGCCGCCGCCGCCGCCTCCTCCCAGCGCGCCTGCGCGCCGCCGCGAGCTGCACGCGGCGCCGCACCCCGCCATGGCGCTGAGCCGCTTCGCGTACACGCGCGGCTTCGAGCGCGAGGACGCGTGCCTGCCCGACACGTGGGTGGTGGTGCGGCTCGACGGGAGATCCTTCCGCAAGTAGGGCGCACTGTACCCCCGTCCACGCGTGGAGACAGCGGCAGTCGCCGTCTCTCGCGCACGCACACACGGGGCTCAGCCACCACCACAGCGCCACAGAGACAAAGAGCCCCCGCGTAGCCTTAACAGACTGTTGGGACAAGTGCTCTGCGAGCGAGTAGCACCTTCGAAGGGGTGGGTGGCCAGCACCACACCCGGCCACCTTTGACTCCCTAGTTGCGATGTCTACACGCCGCACCAGGTATTCATTTGAGGCCGAGTCAACCTAGGAGAGGCCCGTGACGGGTTCCGATAATAGTCACTGGTGTTGGCCGTGAGCGGGAATCGAACTCCCCACATCAACACCACAACACTCCAAAAACAACACCCCCATCCGCCACGAAGTAGCGGTGACATCACCACGGCGCTTGTGCCAGGCGAGGTCGTATGTCTTGAGGGCACGTAAAGTGCCGAAGGCTCGCTGCTGGCAGGAGGTCCCGGGACAGACCCCGTCACCCACCCACTCATTCACTTCCACTCTTAACCAGCCTCACTCAACCACCCACCTGCTCACCCATCCATCCACCCACTCGCTCACCCGTCCACCTACCCACTCACCACACTGCGGGTTATACTGTAGTCCTTTTCTGTTTTTCCCATCCCGTTGTCACTCATCCCAAGCTCATAATGCAGTCCTTGCTCGGGTTCAAGAAACGCATTCACCTTACCGATTGCAACTTTGGGAGTGCTGTTTGTTGCCGGCCCGTTTGACGTTCTGGGCCTGTGCTCAGCAGCTGTGTAAACTACAGAACGCGCCGAGCTGCAGACGACGGCTCCCCGGGACTCGCCCGCCTCGCCTGCTGCTCTCGAGCGCCTCCACCGCGAGCAGCAGCAGCAGCAGCCAGCGGGCGATGCTGCTGCGATCCCAATTAGTCCTTGGGCCAGACCACATATCGGCACCACCCAAAGTGGCAAAACTTAAATGGTGCCATTTTATTTGTTACACCAACAGAAGTTAAATAATACGTGATAACCTTTCCAAATGAGCAGCTGTTATTTTTTTCTCGCAGGAAACATGTTTCTGCACCTATCGCAATCACGCCTATTTGCCCGGACGTTACAAATAAAACATTCTAACGCATCCGCTGTTAATGAAGACAATAAATAATTGACAAAATGGATGTTTGGCCCCAAGGCATGTATTTAATACATATTCTTGCATTCACGCTTGTTCTTCAATTTCAGTGACGTAGTTAAGTCTGGAATAGATTGGCGCTCTCTGTTTTCCTTCTGTTTCTAGCAGCTTGTTTGCTCATGATCAATTTCTGGCAGGGGAGTCAAGTACTGGTGGTTCTGTATTATATCTGTTCAGTAAAGATATCTAAAGTGATAACTTTACCCTCAATGTATTGTTAATGTACCTGTTAAGATTATTAATTAAGGCCAGGGACTAGAGGGGAAAATATTTTTGTTCAGTTTGTCAATTTTGACATCTATAAATTGTAAACTTTCATAACATGCACACAATTATTAAATTCAGAATAACTATATTTGATAAATGTAGTTAGTTTTTATGATTTTATACGAACTTCGCCAAGTAAACAGCCTTAAATCAGCTTTTTTTTGCATCTTTCATCGCAATTACTACAGCAGTGCATACTGACTGTGATGGGATCTGCTATGATTACAGCAGTGCAGACTGTAGTGGTACCTATTCTGTTTACAGCAGTGCATGCTGACTGGTGGTACCTGCTATGATTCCAGCAGTGGCATACTGACTGTGGTGGTACCTGCTATGATAACATCAGTGCATACTGACTGGTGGTACTTGCTATTATTACAGCAGTGCATACTGACTGTGGTGGTACCTGCTATCACTACAGTCGTACATGCTCACTATAGCAGTATATATCGACTCTATAGCACAAAGTACTCACCTGACAGAGTGAACGTGGTGAGGCCTAGTCCCGCGCAGAGCCCCCGGCCTCGCCTAGATTTCCCAGCCGGCCGAGGTGGCACCTTGGCAGGCGGGGGGCTGGGCCGCTATCCCCCCCCCCACCATCCCCCCGCCTGCGCGACAATAATACTATCTAAGCGCTATAAGTATCTACCGACCCTAAAGTAGTAAGTGCACACATTGGGGGGGGGGGGGGGGGGGAGATGAGGACATGACACTTTGATGAATTTACCTTAGCGTTGTGTGTATTTTTTTTGCATTTTGAACGCAAATGAGAAATCCCCCCTCCACCAATGACGCGTGTCCGTTGCTAGGGGCAACCCTAGTACAGCTTTAGCGGCGCGAGGAAATACATAATGAAAAATAACACTAAATTGTTAATTTTATTACTTTAAAGTTGACGGATGGGAAAACGGAATAGCGCTGGCTCACCACGGGGCTTACGGTGTGGTACCTGGCTACTTTTAAAAATATAAACCCCACGGTTTGCGAGCCATATCCTTCGCAAGTTGCATCCACACAAAGACGGACAGACAGACTGACAGACAGCTTAAAAAAATGCCATTTATTGGTAAGATTACATGTGTCATTGACTAAGTATATGCGAATGTCAATGTTTATAATATTCAAGAAGTTCCTTACCTCACGATGGTATTCCTTATTATCCTGTGTTTTCATTGTGTTTTTGAACCAATAAAGACCAGCTTGTGATCTAACTGGCTTTGGTCTAGGTAGTTTTTCAGTAATAATGCCCATTTCATTGTTCCGGACGCCTGTGATAAGGTATGGGTATAAAACTCATGGTAACTACAGTTAAAATGCTACTCCGCAAAGGTTATCATAGAATATGTCCCACACACAGGGAGGATTACAAAAATCATTACGAGACTTTGCCACCTCAGGTCGTACCAATAAGTTATTTTTTTGGCCCGAGCCCATGGACTAAATTGAGTGATTTGCAGGTTACAGGTGTCCCATACCTGCTGTCAACCCCTTATCAGTGCTGCCTACCTTAGTGTAGTGTTGCTCCCCAATACGGAGGCACACACTCTGGACTGGGAGGCAACACTTTTATTTAACAACTTCCCTAGCGGGTAACACTGAACGCAACTTGGGTTCTATAGTAGGTGATCTGGTTAACTATGTGAATAGCTAATTAACTCTAGACGAAGACCCGGAGACGATGAGACGCGGGAGCCAGGCTTGTTTCTACAGACGAGCCCAGAACACTCACGGGACTGCCCCTTGATGCTCCTGGGCGTGGCCTCGCTCTGCCTTCGGCCATGCCCCCTTCGAGACCTTTCCCGAATGATCTCGACCGAGCATCACGTGCCCCACTCAGGCTACCACCCCTCCCTTGCCCTCTCTCAGACCATCGCCAGGACTCTGCCCCCTAGGGCTGGCTGACATGCCGTACTTTGGTGCTAGAGAGAGGCTCCAGACGCATTGTTGCACTCCTGTAACAGTAGCTGGCGCGAACACCCGAGTGACACCATTTACGTCACATTATTACAGACCAATTCAGATCTGATTGGTCACCCCGTGCCCCTTATAAATCTCAACGTTCATCCTATAAAGTCCAATGACTAGGGAGAAATACAAAAAAACAAATTTTTGTGCCCGTATTAAAACAGCAGTACACCATATGGACCTGAAAACTCAATTAGCCTGTCCAAGAATACGGGTAAACTGTATGGATTGGAAGGTATGGGTGACCCTCGATTTGAGATAGTGGGATGCGTTCTTCAAAAAAACACAGGTTCAACGAAAACGGTCTGTCCTCGTGTAACGCGGTAGGGGCGTTCCTGAAGAACACCGCGTTATGGAAAAATCACGTCTTAATATATAATGTAGGGTAAAGCACAGTCCGCAATAACACGATGCGTATGCAGGCGTGTGGGTGGCATCTAGAAGCATCCAGCAGCATCACACCTCGTGTGATGATGCTATGCTTAGGCAGCTGTACAACCGCTTATTCCTACTCATGCGTCAGTTCTGTTCATTCAATCGCGTTACAGGGACTCCTCTATTTTCTAACGAGTTAGGTTCCAGAGGTCTGTTCGTAAGTCGATTTGTTCGTAAATTCAACTTTACTCCTGTCAATTCCAAAAATGTTGTACGGCATGTACACTAAACACGGGGAATGGCTTTAAAAGTTGTATAATCTCCTGTGGCTGTAGATATCACTTGTTCTTCATGTTCTGTAGATGTCACTACCGCCATCTATTTTTGCGCGGTGGTTGAACTTTCGACTCTCAGTCCGAACAGGCAACTGGACATACGGACAGGTTTGTTCGTATCTCTCGAAGTTTGTATGTCGAATGTTTGTAAGTAGAGGAGTCACCGTATATCCCATTCGCATTAGTTGAAAAACGTGTTCCCTAATTCATCAATTGCGTTATATCCAATTAGCGTTATGAAAACACGTCATATAAGAACGGACTATCGTAAATCGGAATGGCTTTTCCCATTAATTGAAAAAAAAAATGAGGGATGTGTTTCGGACAGTAATTCCCACTCAACTCCTAACATAAAAATATACACCGATATCACTTTTCCCAAAACAAAAATAATGTAAATATTAAAACGATTTAATAATAACTTAAAACTAATATAATTAACGTTTTCAATGAACTGATCAAAAGATACCATAACGCTATCACGAATGGATGAAGCAGCCTCCTGGGCGCTTCTTGTTTGGTGATGTCACGGCGCGTGCCGTAGTGAAATTTCATTAACACGGATATTCGATTTTATTCATTAAAAAGTGTCTGTAATTTGTCCATTGCGTTCACGCAAAATTTTGTAAACTGCAATTCGTTGGTAAATCGAGGTGTAGCTGTCATTTTTCAGCATTGGGATATTTGTTATTTTTTTTTAGATATCGGAAGAAACCCAGGAATTCAGAGGAGCAACCCATGCAGAACAAACAAAGAAGGGCCTGGGTTCGATTCTTAAACTCGGGTGCCTTTCTGCGTGGCTTTTGTTCTCCCGATGTTTAACTGTGGGAGGAAACCAGAGAACCCGGAAGAGAGACACACACGGAACGGCGACGCTGACGTGGCTTGTGTCGGCGGTGTCTGCTCCGCGACGCAGGTTCGCCGAGGACCACGGGTTCGTGAAGCCCAACGACGCCCGTGGGCTGTGCCTCATGGCGCACTGCGCGGCGCACGTGGTCACGGAGCTGGACGACCTCGTCTTGGCCTACGGGCAGAGCGACGAGTTCAGCTTCGTGTTCCACCGCAAAACCAACTGGTTTAAGCGCAGGGCCAGGTAACCACCATCACCACTGCCGTCACTCTTGCCTCAGTCAGGGCTATCCATAGGGGGGTGCGGGGCCTGGGAAAATCACACTGTGCGCCCCTCCCCTGACGCCTTCAAAATAAACCGGAAGTATTACATCTAACACTGTGACGTCGAAGCACGGGCCCCCCAAAACGCGGGGCCCGGGGCATCCACCCTGATTTGCCGTACCTTAGGGATGGCTCTGCTCACAGCAGAAAGGCCTGAGTTTGATTCCTGAATCGGCTGCCTTCCTGTGTGCAGTTTGTATGTTCTTTCTCTCTTGTTCTGCATGGGTTTTCTCTGAGTTTTCTGGTTAAGTGACAGTACAGTAAATCTCCATTTAAAACGAGTGGCGTTCACACTACACATTTTAGCTTGAACGCGATTTTTTTTATTGGAACGTTTTCCACTTAACGCGTACCATGCCTGCTATAACACAACTTTTCTGAACGGCTTGGGTAATGGCAGCATTGTTCGGTGATGCTGGGAGCTGGTTCTGTAGGTCTGATGTGCGCTGTGATACATGGCACGCCTTCCTGTTCCTCAGTCTTTGTTCTGGCATCTTTGTGTGCGAAGTGTCATCTCACTCTCTTATCTTTTCACTCGCCATATCTTTTACACACTTAATATTTAAATGACTGTTACACATAGCATATGTATAGCAAATATATATAGTGGGTTATCAGCGAGACAGAGACGACGTAGTCGAGGCACACTTGTTTATTAAAGCAAAGGCCAGTAACATAACACTTGAAGGGGTAATGGCCTCTTCACCCGTATTCAACAGGAATACACCCCTAGCACTATCCACGACTGATCTACTCCCAGTCATCTAAGAGTGCTAGGGGAGGCTATCTGATCCGGCCCTGGTTAAGCACGGATCCCGGCACCCAGCCAACCAGACCGTGCTGTTACAAAAGCATCGGTCCTGAGGCTCTAAGGGCCGCGCCACTGGCTTGCCCTGCCCGGCCCTGAGAAGGACAGCGAGCCAGGGAAGTTCCAGGGCCTATCTGCCGGTCTTCAGTCTTCGCTGGTTAAGCTTCACACTGGACCCCGAGCCCTCTGGCTCCCCGCCTTTTATACCAACCGCCACCGAGGGGTGGGGCTATGGGGGATCACAGCACCACCCATAGCCCCCCAGGCTTAACCGTTGCGGACGTAGATGTAGACACCCCTGTGTGTTTGTCCGCTTCCCTTTCCGTAACCACCTCTACATATATAAACACAACACATTAAAAAATAAACATGTGAAACAGTCGGCTGTCAAATAAAAACAATAAAATTATGGGCTGGAACAGCACCCCTACCTTTGCCATTATTCGTTATGGTAAAATAACTCCTGCTTAAAGCGAATTCGTTTTACGTGGCAATTTCAGGAATGCAACCCCCGCGCCTAACAAGGACTTCGTAGTCTAAAAGAGTGTTGAGTCTTTTTTGGGTAAACAAGAATTGTAATAATATAAATAACGTAACGAAATATCATGGGACCTTTTTTGCTAGTATCAAAGTATGAAAAATAAGAATAGGTTTTACCTTTTCTGGCACAGGAGGTGTTAAGATGCACAAACACCAAATAGATACCTTTTGTAGGCCAATCAATTTAAAAGACAATGCATTTTTATCAGAGCATGTTTTGTTTGCATGTTCACCACAAGTATGTGTGGTTAATGCAGACTTGATTTATTGCAAAATGTATCTATTTGGTGTTTGAACATCATAACACCTGTTTTATTGCCAGAAAGAGTAAAATCTATTATTTTTCATAACTTATCGGGAATATGCGTCTCTGTGTCATCCCACGGCAGTAAGTTCATGACGCAGGTGGCTTCGCTCTTCTCCTCGGCGTTCGTCTTCTACTGGGACAAGTTCTTCGCGCCGGAGCGGCTCCTCTACCCCCCGGCGTTTGACGGCCGCGTTGTGCTCTACCCCACAGAGCGGCATCTGCGGGACTACCTGAGCTGGCGCCAGGCCGACTGTGAGCACAAACTCCTCCATGGGAATCTGCCTCCTGATATAACCTTTGCTCTTGAATGAAACCTCAAAAGTAATTTTAGTAGTTCAATTGACAACTTGAGACTCTGGGTATCCTTTGTTAAATGTTGTATCATAGGAAATAAGCTTCAAGGGTTGTGTAAAGGGAGAGAGGGTACGATTGCATCCTCCTTATGGAAACGTATTTAAGATAATTTGGCTGCTAGAAATGTGAACATGATAAGCCACTTTGTTGAACTATCATTTATGGCTAGGTTGCTTCTGAAAAAGAGCTATATAGCTCAGCGGGCCTTACCTGGTGAAATAAAAAAGTTTATATTCTAGTTTATGGTTTTATGTGCGGCTCCAAGTAGAACCACGGAGAGATTCTCGAGTCGGTGATTCTAAATCTCCACCCCCCCTCCCCCTTCAATGGGGCAGGCCACATTAACAACCTCTACAACACCGTGTTCTGGGCGCTGGTGCAGAACGGGGGCCTCACCACTACCCAAGCTCAGGAACGGCTCAAGGTGATGTCCTGGGCTTGTCACCCACGTGTGTGCAATTGACAAATATGTCCATGTCTTGCATCTGCACGTGCTGGCAGCGTGAATGCGTCGGTGAAACTCCTTTTCGAACTCCCCTTACTCTCCTGTTTCCCACCGTCATAATCCCCTCATGTGGTTGTTTGGTGCATTCACAGCTCACGGTGGCGGCGGACAAGAATGAAATCTTGTTTTCAGAGTTTGGTATCAACTACAACAAGGAGCCGTTGCAGTTCCGCAAGGGAACTACCATCATCTGGGAGAAGGTGCTCGCACGCAGGCCAATCCCATACGCGCGCCGAGAACGTGCAGAACGCTGGCCGCTCATCGAGTTATTTAATGTTTTCGCGGCTATCACAGAGTGTTATCTCAGTTGGCTATTTACAGTGCGAAAGAAGTTGAACATACATACTAATATTGGAAGAAAGACCGTTCCAGACAGTCGCAGAAGCGTATCTGAAAGCACGCGATGCACTGACCGTCTTTGTTCGATGGTTCCCCAAAAACCGCTGCAAGGATGACCAGAGTTTACGTGATGGTTTATGCTCTTTGACGAGATCAGCAATTTGTATATACAGAATGTGAACCTCACCCAGGCTATTTCCAATCAAAATCTACACTTTTTAAATAAATATATAAACTAGTGGGAAGTACCCAGCATTGCCTGGGCAAAAAAAACACACACACATCGACCTACACGCACACACATATGGACTTACACACGCACACATATAGACTAATAACAACAACCACCATTCGCCACTAAGTGGCGGTGACGTCACCACGACGCTTGTGCCAGGCCATGTGCACCTTGAGGCCACAGTGAAGTGTCGAACGCCCGCTGGCAGGAGGTCACGAGGCAGAACCAGGTGTCACGGGTCGACTGAATGAGATGACCGAGATGACTAGCTGATGCACCACCTGTGCCCCCTACTGTGCCAACTTGCTGTGCTTTAGCCACCCGGCGCTCCGCTCATTGTTGTGAGCGTCGTTCGTCAGCTCTCCGTTGTTGTTGGAGAGCGACTGCCTCCAACTGCCCAGTAGCGTCCTTCACGATCCTCCTCCACAGAGGCCGATCTTGACACCGCTGGTACCAGTCATCGGCAAGTCCACTCAGCTCCACGTCCTCCTGTATCACATCATTCCATCTCTTCTCTAGCCCATGCCGCGCCCATTTAGCCCCCTCGATCCGGCCGAACAAAAGCTGTTTAGGCATGCGGTGGCTGGGCATGCTGGCTACATGACCCAGCCAACGCAGCCTTGCCTGCCGGAGGAGCTCACCGATGGGACTTTGCCCAGATCTTTCAAGGATTTGTGAGCTCCTCACACAATCCTGCCTGGTTAAACCCAGGATGGATCGTAGGCAGGCCAGCCTAAATGTTTCTAACTGGCGAAGATGCTCCATTAGGGGGGTCCACGTTTCGCAAGCGTATGGAAGGGAGGGAATAACTGTGGCCGAGAAGACCTGAAGCTTCGTGCGGAGCGACAGACCAGGTAACGTCCACACAGCGTTATGCAACCAATGAAAAGATATTGCCGCTCGACTGATTCGGAGTGAGACCTCTGCTGTTAAACTGTAGCCGGTCATAAGCACACTGCCCAGGTATGGGAAACTCTCCACTCTCTCCACAACTGCCCCATCACCGATTGGGAGTTGTGTGGGTGGAGTGTCCGATGGTACAAAATACCCAGGTAGGTGCTTAGTTTTGGTGGGGCTGATAGTAAGGCCCCACCTCTTTGTGGCACGCTCCAGTCTCAGCAGCAGCATCTCCAACTCCTCCTCTGAATGAACAGCTATTACCAAATCATCGGCATGCATAAACGTGGTTGGCCAATAGGGAGCCATCCCTTGATCGCACCCGGGCATCGATCAGCCTCCCATTATATCTGTACCAAATGGAAATTCCCCCGGTACAGCTATTGAAGGCTTCACGAATTGCGTGGTCAAAATAGATGTTAAATAATGTGGGAGCCAGAGGACATCCCTGTCGCACCCCAAGGTGTACAGGGAATGGCTCTGACTTCCGGCCACGTAGTTTTACCCGGGCCCGCTCACCATCATGAAGGTCCTTAATGATCGTGAGCAGAGGGTCAGGGACTCCAAAAGCACGAAGAACAACCCAGAGCCCAGGCCTACTGATGGTATCATAGGCCTTGACCAGATCAATAAGGCAGAGATGTAGGTCTTGTTGGAATTCCCTACACCTCTGCTGTAGCAGACGGACAGAAAATATGGCATCTGTGCAGGACCGCCCTTTCCTGAAACCGCATTGGGGCTCCGCAAGCCTCTCCTCAGCGTGCCTAGCAAGGCGATGTTGAATAATCCTTGCCAGGACCTTTCCCGGCACACCGAGTGAGATGCCCCTGTAGTTGTTACAGTCTGTGCTTCTTAAAGAGGGGGACCACCAGGGCATCCTTCCAATCCTGTGGAACCCGTCCAGTGGTCCAGACTGTTATGATGTCATATAGGGCAATCTGTGCACAAACGCCACCCTCCCTCAGCATTTTGCTTGGGAGATCATCTCTGCCCAGTGCCCTTCCTGGTCTCAGACTCCGGATCGCCTTAAGTACTTCTTCAACAGATGGCACCTCAGCCAGCCACTCACAAAGGGGGTGACTTCTTTCAATAATTGAGGCACCGCAGCCTCAGCAGGGTCATCCCCACTTTGTGCCATGATGTTTTCCTGGCTAAGGGATTTCCCCTCCCCCAGGATCTCACAGAAATGCTCAGCAAATCTGCAAACCTGTCCCTGGGGATCAGAGATTGGATCACCGTTTTTTCCCCCTAATGATGGTAATAGATGTGCCGCTGCAGGTTACTTTTTTGATGGAGTTAAATAGTGATTTGTGATCGCGGGCCACTGAGGCAGACTCCATCTCTTCAGCAACCCACGACCACCACCCATCCTTGCAGCGCCTTACGGCTCTCCGAACCTCCGAGCGAAGGCTGCAGTAAGCCTCCTCATTCTCTGATGTGGGATGCTGTAGCTGATGAGTGGGCCTGTCGCTTTTTCTCAACTATCCTGAACACCTCCTCTGTCAGCCAGGGTCTCTGGAGAGGTCTGGACCGCGTACCCAAAGCAGCCATTGCAGCTGCATGAGTCATTCCTAAACCTCGCCCATTTACCCTCGACATCAGGAAGAGTGGGGGGGAAGGATGCCAACCCCAGCCACAAGCGATGATCAAATTCTCGCTTGCAACTTTCATCAGCTAACTGAGACCAGGCCTCTTTAGGTTGGAATGGGATCCTGGGTGTACACTCACCACCGGACTGGAAGAATGGTAGGCGCATCTTACAGATGACTAGTTCATGGTCAGAGGGCAGATCAGTGCCACGGTAGGTCCTGGTGTCAAGGACATGGGCTCGCATCACTATCTAGTCCAGAAGATGTTCTTGCTTGGACCCGGCATGCATCCATGATGTTGTGTGGATGCGCCGATGCCGGAAGAGCATGTTGGTAATTACAAGCCCATGGGCTGCACAAAAATCTAGCAGCCTCCTACCGTTGTGCCAGCATCATGACCAACTCGGGCATTGAAGTCACCCAACAAGATGACTATCCCGAGTGGCCACTTTAGCCAGCACCTGTGACAGGAGGTCATAGAAGACATCTGACTCATCGGCTTTGCCTGCTTCCCTCCACGGATGTTCGTCTTCGGTGGGGGCATAAGTAACCACGACCCCCACTCCTCGCCTCCGGTTGATGGGAAGGCGAGGCCAAAGTAGCCTGGGGCTTACAGCTTCCCACACCTCACCGCCACGCTCCCACGCTCCCATGCTCCCTTCATTTTGTTCAGAAGAAGAGCCCACACCCTGTTGTTTGGCAGTCTCCTGCCCCGAGTAGAGGACTGTCCACCCCGGTCCCGCTCCTGACAGAGGAGTGGCAGCCTCTCCTCCGCAGTGAGCGTTCGGACATTCCACGTGGCCACACGAAGTGGCTTTTCGTTGTTTCTGGAGGAGCCCTGAGGGTAAAGATTCAATCTCCTGCCTCCGCCAATTGGGATTTGGCCAGGAGACGTCATAGACGCCTGTCCCCCCGGGGCATCCGGCACAAGCTTATTAGTTACATGTTTTAAGTCGTGGTTTAGTGGTAATTAATTGGAAGGTGGAGGGGTTACCAGCCCCTCGCACCCCTCCAGAGCCCCTGATTAGCCACTGTGGTGGTCACAGACGCCATTAGGGGAGAGGCCAATCGGCATTGGCCCTCCCCCCACAGCACTGTCCACGACAGAGTTGCCCGTCCAGCAACCGCGAGGAGGTAGGGGGTTGTTTTGCCAGACTTGCACACATACATCGACTCGCACACATTGAATAGCACGCACACACAAATATTTTTTTATTTTCACTTACACACACACACATTGACTTGTACAAACACATGGACCTACACACACACACAGAGAAATGGACTTGCACACTCACATGGAGCCAAGCACACACATCGACTCACGCACACACACACAGACTTACACACACACATCGACTTGTATACACACACACATGAACGTACACACACACACATCGACTCACACACGGGCATCGACTAACACACATTGACTTAGACACACACATCGACGCAGACACACACATCGACTCACACGCACACATGGACTTGGACACACACATTATTATTGTAAAAAATACTAACTTAATTGTTAAATATTAGTTGTCCACACACACCACACACACACACATTGACTAACACACACACACATCGACTGACACACACACACATCGACTGACACACAGACATTGACCCACACACACAAACACATCGACTTACACACTCACATACATCGACCCACACGCACACATATCGACTTGCACACACACAGTGACTGACACACACACACATCCACTTACACACACAGATGTGGCCTTGCACACAGCGACTCACACACACATCCATCTCCACACACAAACATTGACTTAAACACACACACATGGATTTACACACATCGACGCACACACACACGGACTCACACACATGGACTAACATACACACATCGACTTACACACGGACGTATCGACGTACAGACACACAGTGACTCACACGCACATATCGACTTACACACATACACACACATGGACTTAAACACACACATACATAGTGACACACACATGGACCTACACACACATATTTACGAACACACACATATCGACGTACACACACATGGACTAACACATACAGTGAGGGAAAAAAGTATTTGATCCCCTGCTGATTTTGTACGTTTGCCCACTGACAAAGAAATGATCGGTCTATAATTTTAATGGTAGGATTATTTGAACAGTGAGAGACAGAATAACAACAACAAAATCCAGAAAAATGCATGTCAAAAATGTTATAAATTGATTTGCATTTTAATGAGGGAAATGAGTATTTGACCCCCTCTCAATCAGAAAGATTTCTGGCTCCTAGGTGTTTTTTTAATACGGGTAACGAGCTGAGATTAGGAGCACACTCTTAAAGGGAGTGCTCCTAATCTCAGCTTGTTACCTGTATAAAAGACACTTGTTCACAATCAATCAATCAGATTCCAAACTCTCCACAATGGCCAAGACCAAAGAGCTCTCCAAGGATGTCAGGGACAAGATTGTAGACCTATACAAGGCTGGAATGGGCTTACAAGCCCATTGCCAAGCAGCTTGGTGAGAAGGTGACAACAGTTGGTGTGATTATTCGCAAATGGAAGAAACACAAAAGAACTGTCAATCTCCCTCGACCTGGGGCTCCATGCAAGATCTCACCTCGTGGAGTTGCAATGATCATGAGAACGGTGAGGAATCGGCCCAGAACTACACGGGAGGATCTTGTCAATGATCTCAAGGTAGCTGGGACCATAGTCACCAAGAAAACAGTTGGTAACACACTACGCCGTGAAGGACTGAAATCCTGCAGCGCCCGCAAGGTCCCCCTGCTCAAGAAAGCACATATACATGCCCGTCTGAAGTTTGCCAATGAACATCTGAATGATTCAGAGGACAACTGGGTGAAAGTCTTGTGGTCAGATGAGACCAAAATGGAGCTCTTTGGCATCAACTCAGCTCGCCGTGTTTGGAGGAGGAATGCTGCCTATGACCTCAAGAACACCATCCCCATCGTCAAACATGGAGGTGGAAACATGCTTTGGGGGTGTTTTCTGCTAAGTGGACAGGACAACTTCACCACATCAAAGGGACGATGGACGGGGGCCATGTACCGTCAAATCTTGGGTGAGAACCTCCTTCCCTCAGCCAGGGCATTGAAAATGGGTCGTGGATGGGTATTCCAGCATGACAATGGCCCAAAACACACGGCCAATGCAACAAAGGAGTGGTTCAAGAATAAGCACATTAAGGTCCTGGAGTGGCCTAGCCAGTCTTCAGACCTTAATCCCATAGACAATCTGTGGAGGGAGCTGAAGGTTCGAGTTGCCAAACGTCAACCTCGAAACCTTAATGACTTGAAGATCTGCAAAGAGTGGGACAAAATCCCTCCTTAGATGTGTGCAAACCTGGTGGCCAACTACAAGAAACGTCTGACCTCTGCCAACAAGGGTTTTGCCACCAAGTACTAAGTCATGTTTTGCAGAGGGGTCAAGTACTTATTTCCCACATTAAAATGCAAATCAATTTATAACATTTTTGACATGCGTTTTTCTGGATTTTGTTGTTGTTATTCTGTCTCTCACTGTTCAAATAAACCTACCATTAAAATTATAGACTGATCATTTCTTTGTCAGTGGGCAAACGTACAAAATCAGCAGGGGATCAAATACTTTTTTCACTCACTGTACAGCCAGTCACACACACACATGGACGATAGCACACACTTAGACTTACACAAGTGTAAATTAAATGTAAACAAAGTAAAAATAGTTCTTGACAAAGTCCTGCTCACAACAGGAAAGTTTGTGGGGAAAAAGACACAATGGCTGTGCTTTGTTGTCTTAAGGAAATGAAATAGAATAGTTGGTATGCAGGGGAAACAAGCCTGTTACATAGTGTATATCTGCTGTCATCAAACATTTTGTTAAGAAAATTAGCGGCGAGGGAAAGTGTACAAACTCAATAGTTTGTGACGTAAAGTCCTGCTCACAAGAGGAAAGTTTGTGAGACAAAAGACATAATGGTTGTACTTTGTTGTCTTAAGGAAATGAAATGTAACAGTTAGTACCCAGGGGGAAAAGCATGTTACATAGTGTATATTACCGACAGAACCAAAGAGTATAGTGTATATTTACTGGTTAATGTCTACGATGTATTATGAAAAATCAGTAATAGAAATGAGAGAAATAAGATAGATGTATGGTTGACGGGAGCTGTAATTTCGTGTGTGTTACCTTGCGCAGTGTCCACAAGATAGAGAAATGCCCCCTCACCCCCACCGAACGCGTGTGAGTTGGTATGGTCGAGCACGTGCTATGTAATAAGTAATGGAAAACAGCACTGAATCGCTAATTTAACAACTTTAAAGGTGACAGACACGAAATCGGAATAGCGCTGGCTCAGCACAGGGCTTATGGCGTGCTACCTGTCTACTTTAAAAAAAATATAAACCCCACGGTTTGTGAGCCAAATCCTTAGCAAGTTTCAGCCACACACACATGGACAGACAGACAAAAAATTATTCATAGGTTAAGATGAGCTGACCAAAATGTCCTCCTCTCAGCAGGTGGTCTCTGGACACCAACTAAAGGAGACTGAAGCCACTCCCCATAGGGAAGCCGACCCAGGGAAAGGAGATGTCATTGAGAAGGAATGCAGTGGCAGTCGAGACCTTGTGGACAGGTCTGCGGATGAGCCCACGGCAGAGGGCAGCCCTGAACAGCGGCGGGAGCGCCCTGTGGGAAGCGGTGATCGTGTCAGCAAGGGGCAGGAGTCCGTGTCTGCGACGCGAATGAGCGATGGTGAGCCAGCGGCGAGTTACAGCGTGGGCGTTGAACCAAATGCTGCATCCGGTTCTGCGAGCCGGTGTGTGGCTCCAGACACCCCGACAGAGGGAAGGCGTGCCTCGCGGAAGGCCAAGGGAACGGACAAAAGGCAGGAACAGCAGCGCAAGGTGGTGATGCTACACGAAGACATCATTGGGGATTCTTTCTGGGAAAGGCACCCAGATATCCTCGCAGACTTTTCAATAAAAAATAGTAAAAGCCTCACGCTTACAAAAGTAACCAACTGATGAAAAGTTAGACCGTAAAGATCAACAACAATACATTATGAAACAGCTTCATGATTCGGTCAGGAAAATTTATTTTTTAATAAAATAAAAAAAGCTTATATTGTCAGCTTTATTCTTATCTTTGGGCATTGTGGATCTGCTCTTCACGCAGCAGGATGATGCAAAATATTTCCAGTGTTTTATTTCACAAAATGTATCTTGATGGCTCATATACCAACAACCCAGCAGACCTATCGAGGAGCATGGTTCAGTTTATTTTATTATCCACAGGTTTCCCATCTCCAGCAGGAATAGATACCCATATGGACGGCAGAGTGCCAGCGCAGTGGTTACACTCGTGCCTCACAGCAAAAAGTTCCTGGGTTCAATTCTTGGCTCACGTACCTTGCCGTGTGAAGTTTGTTGTTCTCCCCCTCCCTATGCAGTATGGGTTTCCTCCAGGTTCTCCTGTTAGTTCCCAAAGCTAAAAACAAATGTAGAATGCAACTGGGTTCGACCAAACATCCCAATGCTGAAAAATTACCTCAATTGGGATAACACGCTGCAGAAAACATCGCTCACTACTGTAAAAACCTGGCATGACCCTCGTGAAAAAGTCTTGACTCAGGCCTTCCTGCGTATACGAGTGTCAAGCAAGATGCACGGTACGTGGCTGATGTTGTTCAGTGACCAGGACACAGGGTTTCAAACCAAACTGCGGTTTATTAGGACATTTATTTGAGGTGGCTGGCAAAGCAAAACATGTTTTACAGTGTACCACCATTGACAAGAACAACTCCCATTAAGAAAAATAGGCCCCTCAGGAGAACACAGCCCCCTCTTAGAACACAACAATCTGAGCACTCGCACACGTTACACAAGCATCGCGCCGCAGCCACGCACCACGTGTCGTTTTGCTCCAGCCCTGATCATGCTGGTTGCTCTGGATCGGCACAGTCTCATCTTGGTCACCGTGCATCTCCTCAGCTCGACTGCCTCTTGCTGCCTGACCCAGGCCCCATGACTGAAGTATTCCCCAACCTTCAGCACCAAATGCTCTAAGCTACTTGGCACAATACTTGTCTAATCGTCTTCTGATCCAGTCAATTCCACTTCTATATTTATAGCAGATGGCCCCATATCTTAAATCAAAGGTGTTGTAAAATAAAAGTTGACCCACTGCTCCTTGGAACAGCAGCAGCACCACCTGCATTGATTTGACCGCAGCGACCTCTGCACTGCAGAGGCAAACCTCCATGTGTGTGGGATTTCCCCCAGACAAAGCTGTTATTTTTATTCTTCATATCATATGGCTGGAGGTGTTAACGGTGAAAAGTTGGCGCAGTCGTGCCTCATAGCAAGGGGGTCCTCTGGGTTAAATTACCAACTTGGGCACATTTATGTATGGAGTCATTTTTTTATTAACAAACGTGTTTGTACTTGCATTGCACTAAGTAGTACAAGTCTCAGCACTTAATGGTTTTTATTTAGATTTTAAATTTGTTTTACCTTTTGCATCTTACCGTTTATCTAAAATTTCATTGATAAATCAGACTTGTCTTGGTTTTTGATCGCCACGTTTATCAAAAACTAATATAAATTGCGCATGCCTTACCTTATCTGGGTATCAAAATGTTATTTTGGGCCATATTTGAGAGGCTCGACTCTTTCAAAACGGAAATGAAAGCCAGTGTTTGAGCGTAGAACTATTTGAGGGATAGGCTGAGGCAGGGGCCAGGCTGGCGGGGAGGCCGAATGGATGCGGAATCGTGATAGGATCATCGCCACGGTGACGCGCAACTCGTTGAGGGCAAAGTTCTGGCCAATGCAGTTTCTGCAGACAAAGGAGTCAGGAGCAATGATCACTCAATATACAGTACAACATAAACAATGCGGCCTTTAGTGCAATTGTGAACGATAAGGCATGTACCGACAGTGAAAGGCCATTACACTGACAAACGTGTGTTGAGTACATCTCTCTTAAAGTGGTGCATTGCTTAGTTGCCTGTGCTGTAAACGGCATGTCAGAAAACAGATGTGTTATGATTAAAACAAATCAGAATAGCAAATAAACCAACAGTGCAATACTTGTGAAGTGACAAGTCTTGTGACTAACATTTGGCACTTTTCAACCCTTCCCAGCTCAGGTTGACTGAATGCACGAGCTCTCTCCGTCTGTGTGTAGCATTGGGTCATGATAATCTAATTTAAGTGAATTATTTGTTTCAAGTTGTTTAGCTTGTCGGGACTTGGCATATAGAAACTACAGATTGTATTTCCCCTTGCATGTCTTAACCATGCTGCGATAATTCCACAAATTTGGTGGAACGATGATCATGTGCTCACTGATTCTCACTCATTGTTCAGTCACCTCTTTGTTGCTATTTAACGATGACAATCACTGTCATATCTGAACGTCACACTTTGATGCCTCTGCCCATATCAAGCACTCATTCTGGCTGATTAACTCTTCCCTCTCAGCTGTATTGTGTTCATCCACTCCATTGTAGGACAACTCTTCTTTTCCTGCTTCTTTCCTGGCATCGCTCGACTTTGGAACCGTCTCCCATCTCTTTTTTTCCAAGTTGCTATCATCACCTATCCTTTGCTTCGGCTGATTTGCATCAACGGGATCAAACTCACTTTTGCCATGGTTCCTGTAACCTTGCTCCCAGAATCAAGTTGTTTATTTGGGTTTCATAAATCAAGTTGTATAATACAGATCGCCCAGGGGTGCAACTATGGGGGGGTATGCAGCGTTATGCGACGCATTGGGGCCCAGTCAGCCACAAGGGGGACCCGAATAAAGAGATAAACAAGTACAAACATGTTAAGTAAAATTATAAAGATAATAAAAAAATACCTGTGGTCTACCATGGACCCAAGCCCAATTAACGCATCTGGCTATCATATCGATGGAGAAGCATCAAGTTGCACGATCCACCCCCTTTGAGGAAATCATACACCGACGAGGCCGGCATGAAAGCAAGACGCATAACAACTTCAATATTTTTTCATAAATACTGTCACTGTGAGACCGTCTTTCTCAAAACCCAATACACGGTGCAACTAAAATTATTTATATAGTTATAGCCTACATATTGTATACGGAGTTAAAAAAAATTCGTAGCTATTCCAGTAAAAGTGAGTCGGGAGACAGGAGGGGGGCCCACAGTGGTTATCTTGCCATAGCCACCCCGTTGAAATAGGCGTTTGCTCCCCCTGGTGGTGCGGCAGTGTGGTGACACTCGTGCCTCAGCAAGAGGGCCTGGTTTCGATTCCTGACGTGGGCGCCTCTGAGGCGTTTGTTCTCCCCTTGTTCTGCGTGGGTTTCCTTCGAGTTCTCAAATCCCCCCCCTCCCTCCACAATAGCAGAAAAAACATACAATCTAATATGTATTGGTCAAACGTCCCAAGCCTAAAAATTGCCTGCAAATTACTTTCTTCAGATTACACAGCAACATTGCCTCATCATGCAGAAAACCTGGCAGGACTGTCCAGAAAAAGTATCTTGAGACTCAGGAATTCCTGGGTAAACGAGCGGAATAATAATCTGGGAGCCTAGCATAAATATTCCTTGTGGGCCACTTTGTATAAGAGGCATTTAGGCCCGTGCCCAGCATCTGTGTAATAGAGATGCATGTTCGTGTAAACCTGTGAAGCCCGCGTGTCTACGCGTGACTAACCGTGGTCCAGCAGAGAATGGAATAAAGGCGTACGGATGTCTGTGTGCGGAATTCTCCTGAGAAAACCGCAGCGGATCAAAAACCTACAGAAGCATCCACGCACATTACACACACTTGCATGTGAGCACAAACACAACTCATCTGCTGATAGGTAAGTTCGATGTGATATAAGTGAGTACTGCTGCTGAGCCCCATCTTTTCGTGTGTCAACATTGTGCAAAGATAAGCGTGTTGACTTTACGGCCTCGAATTACGAATTGCACCAAACATGAGGGTTTTCCAATATGAGAAGAGATTTAAAATATTTCAAAACTGTCGGCATGATCTTAGCACAACCTGAATCGTGATTGGAAACTACATATGGTATTTCAATAGGCACATACAAATGTTTGTATATAATTCACAACACAGAGGGGCACTGCCATACATACCTCAGGATCCTTCCAGAATTCCTCATTTCTATGGATGCAGAAGATGCTGACGCCGACCCGCATCCCTGCGTCGCGCACACACACATCACCTCGCTATGCATCGCCACGACGAGACACGGCATCGCTCATCGCAAGACATCGGCTGCGGACTTCGCGAACCGGGACCGAATCCTGCTCACGGTCAGCACCAGTGACGATTATTTGACTCGGCATTAAATGAGTACCTTGTGCGGTTGTCAACATCGCCACTGGAGAGATAGAGGCGACCGGGCGTGGTGCTGGCTAGCCACCCCCTGGTGTGCCAGTGCCGGCTTTCATTCGGTGCTCGCTAACAGCACTTGCTCCTATAGTCGGTGCAGGCTACATGGGGATTCTTTGTCTAGGGAGATGGCAGTGCAACGATAAGGTGATATATAGAATTATATGGCTGCTTAATCCAAGGCACTTTACAAGATGATAGTGGTTCAAATAAAGAGTGGGGTTCTTAAAAGTGGTGGTGTAGTTATGGTGACAGGACAGCTGAGAGTGGTTAAGGAAGTTAGTGGTAGTCGTAGGGGTTCACCTGGTCGTAGCTGGGAGGCAGGGAGTAGCAATCGGATAGGCTAGGGAGGGTTTTAAAGGAAGAACGGAAGCAGGTTAGAGTGAAGATGATTGCTGTGTGCTGCAGTGGGAGTTTTTTTTTCTTTTCCCAGTGAAGGTGAGCAAGAAGGGAAAAGGGACAAGAGAGTGAGACTGGGAGCAGGGCAGGCGTGAACAGAGAGGGACAGTAGACACTGGGAGTGTAGAAGACGCGATGGGTCACGGTCAGACATAAGAGAAGCAAGGTGCGAAAGAAGTTCAACGTACACACAAGAACATGTGGGGCAAGACCACGGAGGGATTTAGAGACTAGACCAGGGGTCGGCAACCTGCGGCTCCGGAGCCGCATGCGGCTCTTTTGAACCTTGACCGCGGCTCCGGGGCGGATGCTAGCGAGGGGAGGAGGCGCACTGTGACACCTGCTCTGGCGTTGCCGCTGCTGACAGGTAGCCGCTCCGCTCCACACTGCCCGCCCGGTGACAGGCAATAACGTTGCCGTTGCTAGGTAACGCAAAACATGGCTGCCTCCATCAGCTCCGCTCCTCATGGACAGAATCATTCGCATTCTCTACTGACGAGACTGGTTTACCAGTATGCTTAATATGTGGTGAGAAATTTGCAAACAACAAAAAGTCGAATATTGCAAGACATTTCCAGAATAAACACACAGCCTTTGCTGAAAAATATCCAGATGGAGATGAGAGACGAAAAGCCATTGCAGAACTTATGAGGAAGGTTAATATGAGCAAAAATAATTTCAAGAAGTGGGTGAAGACTGAAAATTCCACAACATATGCTAGTTTTGTGGCCGCTCAGGAAATAGTCAAGCACGGGAAGCCTTCACAGATGGAGAGTATATAAAAGAAGCATTCATTAATATTTCGGAACATCTATACATGGACTTCAAAAACAAGAATGAAATTGTGCAGAAAATCAAAGACATGCCTCTCTCTGCGAAGACTGTCAAAGACAGAACCCTAAAAATGGCAGAAAACATTAGCAAACAGCAAATTCAAGACATTAATTCAGCTGTGGCGTACTCCATCGCCTGTGATGAGTCCAAAGATAAAGGTGATATTGAACAAATAGCGCTGTTCTGCCGATATGTGAACTCTTTTGGGCCACAGGAAGAACTGATTGAGCTGATACCACTAAAAGACCAAACAAGGGGTGAGGATATCTGTAAGGCTGTCCTGGACTTTTTAAGTGCTAAAAAAATAAACACCAACCACCTGGTCTCAGTGGCTACTGATGGGGCACCGAGCATGAGAGGAGCACAGAAGGGCTTTGTGGCTCTACTGCAGAAGGCGCTGGGTAGAACGCTGCTGTCATTTCATTGCATCCTGCACCAAGAGGCATTGTGTGCTCAAACATTTCCCCCGGAATGCACAAAAGTGATGGATGTGGTCATTCAGATTGTTAATAAGATAATGGCAAAGGGTTTAAACCACCGCCAGTTCCGTTTGCTATTGGATGAGGTGGAAAGCATATATTCTGACCTCCTGCTCCACAACAAGGTCCGGTGGCTGTCCAGAGGCGAGGTGCTAAAACGCTTTGTCACATGTTTGGAAGAAGTAAAAACCTTCCTGGGCAGCAAAGAGCTCACCTTTGCTCAGCTGGAACAGCCAGAGTGGCTGGAAAAATTAGATTTTATGGTAGACATGACAGCACATCTAAACACGCTAAATACAACCCTTCAGGGGAAAGGAGGCACAGCCCTGCACATGCTGGAGGAGGTTTTGGCATTCGAGCGCAAGTTGACAGTGTTTGTCAAAGATTTACAGAGAGGTACACTGTCTCACTTTCCCTCTTTGAGAGAGTTCAAACAAAGTCATGATACGATAAATTTGGAATATTTCAAGTCTGCAATCACCACAATGCAAAGTTTGTTTGGGAAACGATTCTGTGAGTTCAGAAAGGAAAAAACGACATTATCCTTCCCTGTCACTCCCCTGGCGATCGATCCATCCCTATTGAATATGACTGCATTTGCAGGTGTAAGTCAACCTGATCTTGAGATGGAACTGGCCGATATAGCCGACAAAGATATATGGGTGTCCAAGTTCAAATGCTTGACCGCTACTCTTGAGGATGTTGCCCGTCAGAAGGCCATTCTGGCTCAGAATCATAAATGGAGTGATATTGAAAACCTTCCCAAACAGGACAAACTTGTATTCGAAACATGGAATGCCATCCCCAACACTTATATAAACATGAAAAAGTATGCATTTGGAGTCCTGTCGATCTTTGGCTCCACATATGTATGTGAGCAGGTCTTCTCCAACATGAACTATATTAAAAACAAACATCGATCACGCCTCACAGATGACAGCTTGCAAGCCTGTGTGAAAATGAAGGTGACGTCTTACAGCCCTGATGAGCAGACACTGTGCACTGAGGTTCAGGAGCAAAAATCCCATTAACCAGGTAATTTAGCTATTAATTTGCAAAAATATATTTTACATTGTTAAGTGAAAAAGTACTTTTTTTTATTCAGATTGACAGCTGACTGCACGATCCTGTATATAGCAATAAGGTAAGAAACAATATATGCATTTTTGTTTTAAATGTCACAATGGTTTTGCGGCTCCCAGTTTATTTTTTCCTTCGGAAACGGGTCCAAGTGGCTCTTTATGTCTTAAAGGTTGCAGACCCCTGGACTAGACCAAGGATTGGCAACAAAAATAACAAGAGCCATTTATTTTTCCAATTCGGTAAAAACTCACAATTTGAAAAGTAGCGATGCAATGTGAATACGAGACGGTGGTCCTTAATAAATCACGTCACATGGTTTATTAAATCACGTCACTTGGTTTATTACACCGACCGCATGCATGACCGCATGCTCCGGTCGGCTCCGGTCGGCTCCGGAGCACGCGGCTCCGGAGCTGACCCCTGGACTCGACTCCCAAAAGTATTCGATAAAAAGTAATAGGCCTCAGCCACAAAATTCATCAACCTAAAAAATGCACTGAATGAACAAATCCTTCTGTTGGAGTGCAGTCTGTGAGTACAGATGCTCACAGCGGTGCAATGTCACTGCAAGTCGGAGATCTATATCAATTCACGAAATGTCCAAAGGTACGTATGGAATGCAGTGGAAACGCAGTTTCAAGTATATTTTGTTGAATCAGGCGCGAAGGCAAGCGACAAGGACAGAGACCGATATGCAAGGGTGACCTGGGTCATCACAATGACAAGAGCAATAGCAATCAGAGCTAAAACAACCAAACATATCTAAACGACACCTAATTGCATAATAAGGCAAGGATAACTCTCTGGGTCTTTCGGTAAAGTCACATAGATAGCAAAATTATGATACAAATCACGACGTTTTGATCGCAACACAAGCAATCGTCCTCAGGTGAAAAATATAGCAAGAGATTGCTTGTGTTGTGATCGAAACGTCGTGATTTTTTATTATAATTTTTCTATCTATGTGACTTTACCGAAAGACCCACAGAGTATGAATTCCTGCAGTCATGAAAGCTTTAAGGCAAGGATACACATGCCAATACAACACATGTAACACAGCATGTACAACATCCGAGTGTTCCGCTTGTTTACCCAGGCAAGCCGTACAGAATATATTTTTTTCACGAGTGTCGTACCAATATTTTCGCTGCTGTATGTAATCCCAACTAAGTGATTTGCAGGTACATTTTCAGCATTGGGGATATTTGCCCAATACCAGCTACATTGTGTACGTTTTATTAGCTATGGGAGAAAACCGGAGAACTTACGGTAGAATCCTGTGCAGAACAGGGGGCGAACGTACAAAAACTCCAAACAGAAAGGCACCCAAGTCAGGAATCGGACCCAGGCACCCTCTTACTGTGAGGCACGAGTGGTAACTTCTGCGCCGCCGCCCTGCCACCCACGAAGGCGCGCGACCTACCGGCTGGGAGAACGTGTCCGTGTGGCAGCTTGAGCGGCTGCGTGAGCTTGCGGCCGATGCCCGGCACCGGCGGGTAGAGACGGAGAGACTCCTTAATGACCATGGTGGTGTAGGGCAGGTTCGACATGTCGTCCCTGTGTGGATGCGCGAGAATCGACAGACACACCAAAGAAAACGTTGCTGGAAAACAGGTATGCAGGCTGACGAACAAAGCATGCACGTTGTATTTAATGCGCAAGGTTTTCGAAAGACTCTTCCCCTTCGCCCTCCCCATCCTCCTCTCCCTCCTCTTCCCCATCCTCTTGCCCATCCCCATTCTTCTCCTCCCCATCCTCTTTACCATCCCCATTCTTCCCCCTCTCCATTCCCCCCCCCCCCCCCCCCACTTCGCCTCACCACTCTGGCTGCGAGCGCCCGGCCAGCACGCGGGCTGCCTCGTTGCGGCACACCTCCTGGTGGTGCGGGTTGCTCGCTAGCGCGTGCAGGACCCAGGAGAGGCCGCTCGCCGTCGTGTCGTGGCCTTCAAACATGAAGGTGTCGACCTCCGCGCGAATCTCTTCGTCCGATAGGCTCTGCCCATCTGCGTCCTGGTAAGGGTTGGGACAAAGGCAGGGCAGCACAAATATTGGTACAGATGACGTCGTCTTCAACGAATTGGGGCACACTCACCTTGTCGTCACACTTCATTGCCTATTGATCCCTGTGCACAGTTTACTTTCACCCGCCATGAACACCTGGTGGACACGTTTAAAGATTCCTGCGCTAAATTCTTTAAGGAAAAAAAAACACATCACAATGCTAAAATGACCTTCAAATTACTCAAATCGGAATACGCATTGCAACATTGACCCCCTACTGGCAGGGAAAACTTGGCGGGACCTTCCTGAAAACGAGTCTTGAGACTCGCTGGGTGAACATGTATCAAAGGAATAAAACAGAACATGGGCAGAATGAGGGCAAATGCATGGGCAGGGTGTGTCTTGTGCGATCCCAACGTTGTGCTCACACGGGCACTCAGCAAAATGTCGAGGAAATCCAGGTTCCGTTTCTGCTGCGTCTTGTGCTGCTGAGCTTCCAACTTCAGCGTCTCTCTCCTCCGTCTGATCACCTCCTCTGAATATGCGTGGCACGTGACACGTGTGATACAACACACACTTGTGACACAACAAAGACAAAAATCCCCCGTATAGCCTCAGACTGTTGGGGCAAGTGTTATTCGTGAACACCCATAAAGACCGGCACTGGGGCACATGAGCGGTGGGTAGCCAGCACCACGCCCGGCCGCCGTTGTCTCCCTAGTGGCTCCCCATGTGACACAAAATACACACACATACAAGTCCTGTACACGCGATGCAGGCTGTAGGTCAGTTTAGAGGCATCACGGCTACCTTTTAGTTATCCTGAGATGTTCCAGAAATTATTCTCGGAGTCACTTCAAACGTGCTGAATGGAAATGACCATGGCAATCATGCGATTGATAACGCCCCAAAACACACGCCCCACGTGTGTCCTTGTGCTTGTCATTATGTGATATTTACGATGTGTACGACGTGTGTGTGCCCACGAGGGGATATTGACGCGTTTACCTGTGTGCTTATGTGCATGTGCTTTGGCTTTTTGAAAGCGCCATCCATCTGGGGTGAGGTAATATACCCACTTGTTATGCAACGCAAAATTTCGGAAGCGACGGTCAACCAAATCCGTCAATTCGTACACAGCTCGCACGTACGAATTGCCCCTGCAACGACAAACAACGACAGCATTTCGTGAGAAGAGGAATGATCATTAAACGCGGTCTGCATTATGTAGCCACTGCATTAAAGAGCAGAAACAGACATTAATGCATGCCTTACGTCACTCATGGATTCTGACCGATTCAGCATTAAACCGTGTTTAACTTTCAGCTGGGGATGGGGACTACAATCTAGGACAGTGGTTCTTAACCTTTACTGCAGCCTTGGTTCTCAATCGTTAAAACATGTATTCTGTTAATACACACATAGGTTTGATGAAACAAACTAGTTGTACACAGTGCCCTGCTTAATTTCTGTTTCGATTATATGCCTGAGGAAACCCATGAAAAACAGGGGAAGAACTTACAAACTCCACACAGAAAGGTGCTCCAGTCGGGAATACAACCCAGGTAACCTTCTTACTGTGAGGCCTGCACCACCACCCTGCTGCCCAGAATACTGCTGCAGAAAATTCCTTTACCATGCACCTCCAACTCAAAAGAGTCGGCGCTAGGTCCGTAGAACAGGGTGGGCTACTCGAGAAGCGCGAGGCTTGTGTAGGCCCGTGAAGGGGGTTGGGGCTATTTGGAGACAAATACGTAAATCCGATTGGGCTGGGGATTGCTAAATATGGACGATGATGACCAGTGCCGGATTAAGCTAGTGCGGGGCCTGTAGCATATGTTAGAAAGAGCCCCTAAATAAAAAAAAAACATAAATATTAAAACACATACACTTTTACCTTGCATAATAAAGTAATTGTATTTTTTCATTTGCTATACAGCCGGATAATACGATAAATCGCTAACCTTAAACACCCAGTCGTTTATAAAAGTTGAAGGCGGTATAGTATTATAGTAATAGAGCAAGTACAGAATCACTGAACCGGAATTGATATCTTGAAAGCATTTAGCGCAGGGCCCTTGAAAGTGCCGGGCCCGTAGCGTATATAGCTACTTTTGCTACTGTGATAATCTGGCACTAATGCTGACTGGCGGCAGGACACGCATCACCCAGGGGGTGTTGCTGGGTGATTATCTCAGCTGCTGCTGTGCACAGCGACATGAGAAGCCAAGCAGGGGGGAGGAAGGCAATCAAGCTGTGGACGTGTTGTCGTTCTTCTTCCTATCGCTGCTTCTACCGCTGCTAGTGGTGGTGGTGATAATGATGATGCTCAGGAGCAGGATGGAGATGCTGTCGTGAGCCTGAGTTATTGGTAAAATGTGCACAACGAACCGTCGTCCAAATTTACATTCAGAGTGACGTCGTATTTGTACTACCGTGCAAGACTCACGTTTCTGTTTGGCAATTGCCTTCATAGCTGAACGCACATTTGAGGATGCTGTCAAGCATGAGCAGGGAAATGTCACCATAAACCTCTAAAGTCGGTTGCTTCTCTGAAAGTCTCTCCCATTTATCCTGAAAACGAGAATAATGTTTTAATCGTATGCATGGTGAGTGCATGCCGGACATATCGAGTGGTTTTACACAACATCGATTGAATTTGAGTAAATACAATAAGTTTAATAGCACGATGTTCTCCTGAAAGTAGAAATTCAGCGTGGTTAGAATAGTATATCATTGCCTCACTGTAGTTTATTCGAGAACTGCTCTTTCACATTTCTACTGGACCATTATTGCCGATATTTCTGCTCTAACACTGGTGGTGAGACAAGGCCATAAAGGAGGCCTTCTCTAGTGTAGGCCAATCTGTTTCAAAGACATGACAACATTATTATCAAAGCACGTTTGTTTGCATGTTTTACCACGAGCATGTGTGGTTAATAGAAACTTGACTCCTTGCAATAGGTGTCTATTTGGTGTTTGAACACTTGTAGGGATGGGTAAAGCCTTTTAATTTACATTATTAAGTAGCCTCAGCTGGTACTTGGGCTTCAGTTGTTGGAAATGTAAAATACCCGAAACTTTGTATAACACGATCTACTCATCCAGGAGCACAACTTCGTAACTTCGATTGTTTTCAACAACAATCCCTAAACCGACCTGTTGCCTCTCATCTTTGTGTCCACTACAAATGTGTGTTCACCTCTAACGCACCCCTCTTGTTCCACACAGTCACGTTAAACATGTCAACGCAACATCCAGCATGCTCACCTGCTTGGCAGGTTCCCTTGCCCTATCCCCTTTTTAAATCCTTTATATTAAGTTCACTTGCTTGCTTGCTTGCGTGCTTGCGTGCTTGCTTGCTTGCTTAGGACCGTGCAAATCTTTCGATCGTTTTTTAACCCACTTCCCGTGATCCAATCGAGCTGACATTTTACATACAGACTCCTTGTGCGTGACAATTAATTTTCGTGAAAAATTTTTTTCCAAAATTTTACACTTTTTTGGAATTTTTTTTTTATATTTAATTACCAATTGCTTAATGGTGGCAGGCAATCATCTGACCCATAGGTTGCAGCCATCTCTAGCCAGAGGACGAGAGGACTCTAGCCGCCCCGATGCCACGCATATAAAGGATTTATAGTGAAAAACTTTGTTTTTACGGGTTAATTTTTTGGACCCTACTTCCAAGCATATCCCGTTTGAGTACCAATGGTATGATATGGTTTGCTCAGCTGGGGAGACTGGGTGTGACAGCCCACTTTTGACAGCCACTGATGCGCCTGAGTGGGCTGCTGCACGGACTTCGTTAATCTGGACAATGTCTGAGCTGGCATGGTTTGCGGCTGATGACAAGACGCGATCACTCTCCACCGTCTACTTGGACCTCCTCTGCCTTTGCTCGCTGTACCATGGTCCACCCTAAATCGCATCCGCACAAACCATAGCAGATGCGGATACCTGATGCAAAAATGTAAAATAAAAAACTCTCCAGTAGTCTGCGACTGTGGTAATCTAGAACAGACCATACAAAGTGTAACGACGCAATGCCCGATCCACAAATATGAAGGAGACATCACGGCGATGCACTCCGCTGTTCCTGACGCGATTATCTAGTTTGACCATCTTAATGTAAAATTGTAGTTGTTGCTTCTGCATCTACATCAGCCGTACGAAAGAAGATAAGTTCTACCAGATGTGGGCCCCCACAATTTCAGACCATGGCCCCTTGAGAAATCACTTCTGGCCAACTCCCGCTTGTAACGATTCATAGTTGTGTTTTTGGGTTAGGGCACTACGTAATTATCTGACCCAGTTTGTGCCGTTAAGAATCCTCCACCACCCGACACAGCCAAACAATTTGTCACGTGTACAATTACTATTCCTTAAACTGACTGGTAAGTCAAAGAACAATTATCACAGGCATATTTAGCGGTTTTAGTTGACGTTTCATTTGAAACGGCACCAAGCATGAGGACGGGTTAGTGGAGACATTGTTAACTTCATTATGAAAATTGGAAAGTTAACTTTACTCACCAGCATTGATGCAGTGCTTTGACCAATGATGGCAATGTATGGTTTGAGGATTTCATAGTGAAACCCAGGAGTCAGAAGTCGCCGGTTTCTAAACCACTTGGGTCCAGATAGCACAAGCAAGCCATTCCCTGAAAGAGAAACATTGCACATCGCCTTGAGTAATTCTTAAAGAAATATCCTCCCTGCATGAAGCCGTTGAGCAGACCAATGTCATCTACATAGCTCAGAGCAATAGGACAGCAGTCACAGCACTGATTTCCAGTGATAGCATGGAGATGATCATCAGGCATGATAAATCCATGACTGGATGAAAGGTCTCAACAAGCCATTGCCATATCTCACTAAATCAATCCATGTGGCACCTTCAGATCAGCGCATATGAATGCTCCATCTACTTGGAGGATGAACTCTGGACAAGTTGCATTCCTTCGATGCCACTCCCATCATTATTCCTGTCAGCCATCATCCTTCTGGCCGTGACGTGTCCTGCACAAGCCTAGATATTTTCCTTCGCATGCGTATTCTTCAATCTGTGCGTTCTTTGTGTCAATACAATTCCACGCATGCATCTCTCCACACGTCTTTGAAAACGTATCAGTTTTTTTTATTATTTGTTAAATACCATGTTTCTGATCCGTATGCCATAGCAAAATAAAAATTGATTGATATAGTGGAGATTGATATTTTTAAACCCTACTACACAGGAAAGCCACTCTTCACTGCCCATAACACATTTTATTGACCACGAAGGGTTGGAATTAACCTTGAATCAGAATCTGAACTTGCAAACCTCGAAATGTAGATCAGGCACTCTAACCGAAGCACCACAACAAAACAGCCCGGCAGACTGGACTATCAGTCACGCAACTTTCGAAGCTATCCCACAGCTCACAAACTTCAACCTGGACGTATAATTTACACGTACCTGCCATACGCTAGAAGAATGAGATCAACAAAAAGTCCATCCATTTAGACATTAGTATTCGTGCTGCGACATGTGTTTACACAGGAAAGCCTCAATGAGCATCAAGACTCTTATTTCACGAGGGTCCTGCCAGATTATTTATTTTTGCAGTAGGATGCGATGTTGCTACCGGCAAACCCAATTGAATAATTTGCAGGTACAATTTTTAGCACTGGAATGTTTGGCTAATGCAAGTTACGTTGCGTGGTTTTTTTATAACATGGAGGAAACTCATGCAGAACAGGGGGAGAACATACAAAATTTACACAGAAAAGAACCCGGGTCCGGAATCGAACCCGGGATCCTCCTTGAGGTGAGGCACAAGCATTACTTTGTGTCAACCTGCCCCTCTGCTCCGTGGCCATCTAGCCGATCCGGCGCGTGACGAGACGAGAAACTCGCTTTGCTGTGTGGGTCGTGGTTCCCCTCAGGGTATGAAACAACAATCTCACGTTTGTGCACATTTTGCAAATTCTCCACTTACCAATCCATGGGATAAGGAATTCATATGCCACATCGTCTTTTGGTTCTGCAATTGACACCATGGGTAATATGAACAAAGCAAGAGTTTTTTTTTACAAGTTTAACAATTAATGACAAAAAACGAGTAACTATTTGTTAAATTAAATCTTAAGAAAGTAATAAAGAGTGGTTTCAGGTAAATGCATTTCAATGTTAACACCAATACGGCGTCTCAAGTTGTCTTGCCTGGGCCACGTGTTCCTTCCTCGGGCTCGTGGCTGTGTAATTCCAAGTATTACATAAAACACGCACGAGCAGTGGGGAATGCGCAGCACTAGAATGTGTTCCGTAGTATGTAATACATGCAAACGGAATGTTAAATACTGTATCATGTATATTAAATGCACTGGAATACAATCTGTAGTATATGGTTATTACATGCATCAAAATTAATTACATAGTAGACCAGTGGTAGAGCGAGCAATCAACATCACCCCTCTAGCTGGGGTCGCTAAAATTAGAGTACCACTTTGTGGGGAAATCAACAGTGGGTTATGCTACGTCTAGACTAGCCCCCGTCATAGGATTGTGAATGTCATCCACTGGCTCATGTCTGTAAACGTTGCTCGTTTGAGAAGGAAATAACTTTGACTCTGAATGTGCGTTGAACGCGATACGGTTCATGTCTGTCCATATGAGCATCTTTTTCAAATCGCTAACACCGTGAACAGTACACGGGGGGGGAGGCCAGTCTGGCTTGACGCGTGGTACATGACTGGAGCAGTGCACCTACTTTGTTCTCGTGTGTACTTCTAGATCTGCTTCAAGCATATCAGAGATGCGCGTTTGGTCTCAATTGTCTGTTGGTGCAGTGTTGTAATTACCGCTGGATGTGAGCACTGCTCGAGCGTAGTCCGGATGCGTCATGGACAGGAAGCCTAATGTCGGCCCGAACCACAGCGGTGTGGCAAATGAATACTCCTTGGAGAACTTAAGCTCAATCTGCAGCGCCCTTTCATCGTTGGGGAACTACAAACATTACCCGAACATAAACACTCATCAGCATGTATAGCACGGTGTCAATCATGAAGACGTCTCGCCGCGCCAGAACATACGACATGAAGCTCCAGACATTTCATGCCTGAACAAATCACAAAACGCACAATCAGAACAGCTTCAAGCACATTTATAAATACGCAACAGACAGTTATCACGAGCACCCAAGGTTGCAGACTTGATTTCTTGCAAAAGGTTTATATTTGGTGTTTGAACATCTTAACACCTTCTGGTTTATTGCCAGAAAGGGTAAAACCTATTCTTATTTTTCATACTTTGACATTGACAAAAAGGTACCACGATATAGCTCATCATATGTAAGAAACTTGAGGTTAATGTATAAATTAAGCATTGAGCTAATTTTGGTTACTCTCTGAGTTACTATTAACTGCAACAATGAGTGGTTGGTACACACAATGCTGAGCAGATAATAACATGCATCTGTTATAATGTGTCTGTTACGGTTGTGGTTACAATGTGCCTGTTATGATTGTGGTAATAATTGGTCTGTTATGGTTGTGGTTATGTGGTTGAGATTGTCGTCACCCTGGTTGTGGTCATATTGTGGCTACAGTTGTGGTCGTAAAATAGTTGTGAAGCTGTTGCTCATTTATAGAAGTGGTGTTAATGATATTAACATTATTGTGATGCCATGTTGTCATTGATGTTGTTGATGTCATTATTGTTGATGATAATTTAATATTTTAAAAAAACCTAATTAGTTTAGTACAGCGTCGTTCATGCAAATTGTATCTTACAACCGCTGGGGATCAACAGATGAGCTGAAGGCTGGCAGGCGATGAACCGGCACCAACAATTGCTCGGCAGTTCGTTATGTACAGGGACTCTACTTACGAACACTCGACTTACGAACTTTCAGGGATACGAACAATCGTGTACGTACGTTCAGTTGCCTGTTCGGACCGAGAGTCGCGTAATAGATGGCGGTGGTGGCATCTACGTCTGCAGAACGTGAATGTAGATGCCACTAAAGAATCAGTGGCATCTACAGGAGATTATGTAACTTTTAAAGCCATTCTCCGTGTTTGGAATCGACAGCAGTAAAGTTGGATTTACGAACAAATCGACTGACGAACAGACATCTGGAACCTAACTCATTCGTAAGTAGAGGAGTCCATGTATGCAGCATCTGGACAATGCCCCCACATGCAAGGAAGCAACAACCTGTCCCATACAGAAGGGACATAATATATTCCTCCACTTTACTATACTGCATTCTGCTGGCAAGCTAAGGTATAGCAATTTTGATGCACATGGGCAAGAGAGTTTTATAGCGTTCGTCATTTGTCTGATCTACCAACTCTCGCCCCTGCAGTTCTGGATCGCAGGCGTGCGGGACCACCGCCAGGCTGTTGTTATTGATATGTAAATCGGTGTTGGTGTTGATCTGCTACTTTATTGTTTACGGTGTTGCTATGTCAATATATTGTTGCTGTTGATGGTGAGATTGCAGGTAGGCGAACGGGTGTCATTGGGAAACGAATGGCAAGGAAGCCAGATCGCTTGCAACTCACTGAAGGTATATCCCGCGCAAATGCACGTGCAAAGCTAGTTTGCTGTTATAAAAATACGTCGTTACACAAAGTAGGATTTTTCCTGGAGCTCCGTTTATTGAAACTTCGTATAATTAATAACTTATGACATTAGTACTATTGTAATAAAGGACTCGGACACTTCTCTCTGACTCCGTGTCCTTTATTTGGGTTCTTCGTAATTACCCGCACGGCACTCTCTTAGAGATACTCTGCTTGCAGCCCCCGGCTGCTATCACTATTGTAGCCTCCTTCCTCTCCTTGCAGACTCGCTGCTAACTCCGTGTGCAGACTCCCGCTGCCAACTCCGTATGCAGACCCCCGCTGCCAACTCCGTGTGCAGACTCCCGCTGCCAACTCCGTATGCAGACCCCCGCTGCCAACACCGTGTGCAGACTCCCGCTGCCAACTCCGTGTGCAGACCCCCGCTGCCGCCTGCAGCCTCCTCGCCGCTCCGGGTCGGTCACCGTTGGCCGACGGTGCCGAACCTCGTTCCCCGCATACGTGGCGATCTCGCCACTCTCCCGCTCTCGCCCTACGTGGCCTACCTCGTTCTTAGTCTCCTCTCACTCCCCCTCCTCTTCCGGTTTCTCTCCCTATAGACCTGACCCCTCTCCCCCACGTGACCTAACTCCTCCCCTCATGATGTCACCTACGGGAGGTCGTTCACGCCCGCATTACATCACCCTCCCCCGTAGAGAAAATCCAGCCGACCTCGGCTGAACAACAACCTAACAAGTAATGCGAGCGTAAAAGACCAATGCGTTAAAGGACACGAAGCATACAACAACAATATAACAAGAACACAACACAAGTTAACGAAATGTGAGGGATTTCGAGCGAGTACGGGTAGCCGGACCGTCCCGGACGGTCGGCGGCCCTCCCGCCGAGCGGGAGCGTGGCAGGGTTTAAAGGGCGACAGGAGCAAGTTCGTCCGTCGCCATTGGAGGCCTGCCACCGTCCCGGTCCCGTTCAGAGGCGTCCCGTAATCTCGTCCGTGGCGGGGCAGGAAAGGCTGCCGGTCCCGGAGATTCCGCGGCCCCGGTCGGCACCCCGCGAGCGGAGCGTCCTCCCTCCTGCGGCGTCACGGCCGGCTTGTCTGTAAGGGGTACGACAGGCGCTTTTGCAAGGTCAGCAGGCCCAGGCAGGGGCGAGTCGGCAGCAACAGACCCCGGCAAGGCAACCTCAGGAGATGACGCATCAGGTCGCGGGGCAATGTACGGCTTCAACCGAGATGTATGTACGAACCAGCGCCGCGAACCAACCCGAACACGCGCCGACTGTGGGTTGGGAACCGCGATGAGGCGGACCGGTCCTTGCCATGGTTTATGTAATTTAGGAGAGGTACCTGGCCGCACCTGTGGGCAATGAAGCCAGGCCAGGTCCCCCGTTTTCCAGGGGCACTCCCCCTTTGAACGTCGAGCACACCGCTCGTTCCGGGCCTGCGCTTTGGCCGTAGCCATGCGGGCTCCTTCCCTCGCCTCAGTGACCCGGCGAACGTTGTCCTGAATATAATCAGGAAGAGGTTTAACAGGTCCCCTCGCTCCGGTTCCCAACTGCTCATTGATTGGCGGCACGTTTTCACGGCCGTACATAAGAAAGAACGGCGAATATCCAGTAGCCGCGTGCGGCGTCATGCGATACGCCGAAAGCACCCCAGGGATATGCAAATCCCAATCGGATTGTTTTTCACTGACCGTATGACACAGCATGGCGGACAGGGTCCGATTTAACTGTTCCACCATACCATCCGTTTGTGGGTGATAGGGGGATGTCCGTATCTTTTTAGTTCCAAGAGCCGCACACACCTCCCCCAACAATTTAGACGAAAAATTCCGGCCTTGGTCTGTAAGGAGCCTCTCCGGCGCCCCCTTGTCCATAACATACCCAAATAGAAATGCGTCTGTGATAGACGCCGCTGACTGGTCCGGCAAAGGCCAGGCCATCGGCCAGCGGGAGAGGTATTCCACCCCCACTAGCAAATACTTATTTCCCCTAGCGGATGGCGGAAAGGGTCCCAAAATATCTAACGCCACCAATTCATTAACCCGAGATACCTGAATAGATTGTATCGGCGGCACATATGGATGTTTAGGTGGCTTCCGGCGGGCACAATCGGGACACGCGCGAACGTGACCGACGACATCTGTCGACATGCCGTGCCAATAATAGTCTCGCTGCAGCGTCAATAGGGTCTTCTGCACCCCCAGATGTAAAAGTGTGTCACAATGCAGAGTCCTAATCAATTCGTACCGCAATGATGCCGGTACAACCAGACGCCAGCGTTCCTGTATCCCTTCCCTCCACATCAGCAACCCATCTCGGAGAGCGGATTCCGGCGCACCACCCGCGCCGAGTCCCCTACTCGCCTTTTCCGATCGCTTTCGTAACGTTACCAAGGAATCATCCAACATTTGCTCCCGAATCCACACAGACCTCGGGAGACGCAAAATCCCATCAGCCGGTCCCCCATCAACCGGTCCCGGCTTAAGCGGAGCTTCAGGCACATCAACCGCCAGCGCGACAGGCTGAGGGGGGTGCTGAATCGGTCCACACCTATGCGTCCCTGACGCACACGCGCAAGGGGATCGCTGCGGCAACCTGGAAAGCGCGTCCGCATTAGCGTGACGCACACCCTTCCGATGTTGAATTTGGAAGGAAAATTCTTGCAGCGTGTCCAGCCACCTTGCCAATTGGCCGGACGGCTGGTCCATCTTAAGAGCATACTGCAAGGCCGCATGGTCCGTGCGGACAATAAACGACCGACCGTACAGATACGGTCGAAATTGGCGGAGAAAAAAAACAATAGCCAAAAGTTCCCTGCGAGTGACGCAATAGCGGGTTTCCGCAGGAGACAAAACCCGACTACCATACGCCACTACGCGTTCAACTCCACCCTTTGACTGAGACAACACCGCCCCAATGCCAGTGTCACTCGCATCCGTATCCAGAATGAAGGGATGTTCAAAATCCGGATAATCCAACGTCGGTGCCGTAGCCAATAGATCACGCAGGCTTCGAAACGCCGCCTCCTCCGGCGGTCCCCAAACAAATTTGTGTCCTTTCCCCGTAAGGAGATGCAAAGGCCTCGCAATCGTAGCAAAATTTGGAACAAACCTCCGATAATAAGAGGCGAACCCCAAAAACCGGCGCACATCACCCACCGTGGCCGGGGTTGGCCAATCACGGACACACGCAGTTTTCTCCGGATCTGTGGCCACCCCGTCCGCACTAACAATATGCCCCAAGTATCGAACGGAGTGTTGCAGTAGGTGACATTTTTTTGGCTTGAATTTCAAATTAGCAGAACGCATCCTGGTGAATACAGCCTCCAACCGCAGTAAATGCTCATCAAATGTGCGGCTGAAGACGATAATATCGTCTAAATATATCAAACATGTCTCCCACTGCAACCCCGTTAATATCAACTCCATCAACCTCTGAAAAGTGGCAGGGGCCGCATTCAACCCCATCGGAAGACAGTTAAATTGGAATAACCCCTGCGGCGTACGGAAAGCAGTCTTTTCTCTCGAGGGCTCGTCAAGGGGGAGCTGCCAGAAGCCCGAAGAGAGATCTAGCGTTGAAAAGAACTTGGCCCCCGACAAGGCGTCGAGAGAATCGTCCATACGCGGCAGGGGGTACGCATCTGCTACCGACACTTTATTCAACTTACGAAAATCGACACAAAATCGCAATTTGCCATCCTTCTTTTTAACCAACACAACAGGCGCGCCCCATGGGCTGTTAGACGGAGATATTATGTCCGCGTTCAACATGTCATCCACTGCCCCTCGAACATGCTCTCGCTCAGCCGGACTCATCCGACGCGAGTTTAAGCGAATAGGGGCAGCGTCCCCTGTGTCGATATGATGATAAAGCAGCGAGGTGCGTCCCAAGTCCAAATCATCGGAGCTAAACACATCCGAATAACTCGATAATAATTTACGAATCGCACAACGTTGTTCGCCGGAAAGGGCTGAATTCTCCCCACACAACTCAGCAATCCAACGATCATCCACCGCTCCATCGTGTGAAACACCCCCAACCAGCCCCCCGCTGGACAGATCACTGTGAGCCGTAAACGCCGTAGTGGCATGTGCCACAACGGTACCAGCCGGAACACACACGCTTTCGGTACTCGCGTTAAGCACCTGCAAAAACGGCCGCTGATCTGGCCGGACAATAGTTTGCGCCCCCACCAGCGCCGATCTGCCCGTAATAGCGGCGGACGGCGACAGCAAAACCCCAAAAGCTCCCTGCTGACCAGGCACCGGCTTCCGATATCGTAAGGGAATGAGCATCTGTGAGCCAGGTGGAATATCAACAGAAACTTCCGATAACGCCTGCACCTAAGCGACAGGAGCAGGTCGCCCCCAGGCGGACGGTAAAAATGCCATTTTACGGCCCCCCGGCAATTCAATGCAGTTTTCATTGATTCGAATTAGAATGGGCATTTTAGCGAGAAAATCAGTACCAAACAGGCAAGGAACCGCAAGGGACCTCGAAATTAACACAATTCCCGAGGCCGACACACCCCTGATAGATATGTTAGCGTCCACCTGCCCCACGATGCCCATGCTACCCCCGTTCACAGCGACGCAAGAAGCGTAAGCTGGACTCACGGCCCCTGGTGGGATGTTCAAAAGGTGGAATATCACGTCCGAAATGATGGTCGCGGACGCACCAGAATCCACCAAAATACGTACGTCCACCCCCTGGATCGACCCGGGTACAGTGGACGAACCGGTAGCGGCCGCGACAACCCGCCGAGCCAACTTGCGCCACTGCGTTACCGAGCGACAAGGCGCAAATAATGGCCTCCCGTATTTAACAACATCCGCCTCGCACGACAACGGCGATGAGTGAGGTGTCAAGCCTTGCCGGGTGTCTGGTGCGCACCGACTTGCCTGTGCTGTAGAATCTTTCTTGGGAGCGTCCGCTGTCGAGGCCTCCTGCTGGGGCGGACCCGGAACGCGGGCCCAGCAGTCCCTGGCATAATGGCCCCGACGGCCGCAGCGGAAGCACTCGATGTCGCTGCGGCGCGCAGCGGGCACCCCGTCCCGACGCGGCCGTATCGGCGGCGCAGCCCGCGGCCCCGGCCCACCCCGGGCCGGCCACGGAGCGGAGGCGGCTGACAGCTCCTGCTGGCTGCTCCCATCCGGCACGTACACGGCCTTTTTAGGGTCCCACCCTAAGGCACCCCCCTCGACGACAGGACCACCTGTCCACGCCGTAACTTGTTTCCAGCGGCGGAGGTTAAACTGGGCGTCCAGACACTTCGCCGCAGCCCGGGACGTGAGTTTTTCATGACCGCACACCGGCATAGGAATGCCGAGATCCCGGGACAACTCCAACATCTTCCCCAGGATGAGAGGTTCCAGCAGGTCAGGCTCCGTCTCCGGGTAAGCGGCCATAGCTAGCTCCAACACCGCGCCCCTATACGCAACCGGTGACTCCTCGGGTGCGCGTTGTCGTTGCACAAACCGGCGATGGGCATCATTCGGCGGCTCGTACGCGTCCGCCATTTCGTCGAACACCCCTCGCAGAGTCTTCTTCTTCGCGGCATTTATAGAGCGAAAAAAACGAACGGACTCATCATCGAGAAGGGTCGGAAGAACCTCCAGTGCCTCGGCGTCCGTCCACCTCGCTGAGCGTACTGCTGCCAGAAATCTACAGGCGAACGCACTCCAATCGCCCCCGATGGAGAATTCCCTGACAGTTGTTAAGTGGCGACTGCGACTCCTTGGCTTGCTCCCTCCGGCCGCTGGCTCCTCCGGTGGCAAATTTAACATGGCGTCGCAGCGCGGTGTCGACAAGATGGCGGCTGGCAATCGTGGAGGTCCCAAAATGGCGGCTTCCCACTTTTCGTCGTGCGCCACGCCCAAGATGGCGTCGTCGTGCCGCGTGGCCGATGGCGGCGACATCGAAGACAACCCGGACTCCTGCGGACCACCAACATCTCCATCCGACGCCGCCCTCGGCGTGACAAGCTCACACAACTGCGTAATGACATTCTTGAGAGTTACAAGTTGCTCCGCCATCTGGCTCCATCTCGAATCCGCGTCCTTCGGAGCAGACGGGTCCGCCGACACGACGACATCTTGGACCCCCGGACCCGCACTCATCCCAGCACGGATCTCTTCTTCTGCCAGAGTCAGGCCGACTTCAGGAGGAAGATCTTCGTCGTCGGAAGATGAAGCCGATGCCGGAGACGGAATATTCTTTTTTCTGAGTTGTTTCGCCATGCCGTTTCACTTCTGACTCCAGTGTAATAAAGGACTCGGACACTTCTCTCTGACTCCGTGTCCTCTATTTGGGTTCTTCGTAATTACCCGCACGGCACTCTCTTAGAGATACTCTGCTTGCAGCCCCCGGCTGCTATCACTATTGTAGCCTCCTTCCTCTCCTTGCAGACTCGCTGCTAACTCCGTGTGCAGACTCCCGCTGCCAACTCCGTATGCAGACCCCCGCTGCCAACTCCGTGTGCAGACTCCCGCTGCCAACTCCGTATGCAGACCCCCGCTGCCAACACCGTGTGCAGACTCCCGCTGCCAACTCCGTGTGCAGACCCCCGCTGCCGCCTGCAGCCTCCTCGCCGCTCCGGGTCGGTCACCGTTGGCCGACGGTGCCGAACCTCGTTCCCCGCATACGTGGCGATCTCGCCACTCTCCCGCTCTCGCCCTACGTGGCCTACCTCGTTCTTAGTCTCCTCTCACTCCCCCTCCTCTTCCGGTTTCTCTCCCTATAGACCTGACCCCTCTCCCCCACGTGACCTAACTCCTCCCCTCATGACGTCACCTACGGGAGGTCGTTCACGCCCGCATTACACTATGATGATGCGCTCCCTGCCTTCGTAACTTACTATTTCATCAGATAAAGCCTTCATAAGTTACCTTTCATATTGTAAATACCATTTCTATTCAAAATAATAATACATTTTATACTGTCCAGTTTTATAATTAAAACTGACGTAAATGAAATAAACATCGCGATGCGCAACCTTCAATAATCAATATATTATAATTGTGTTATTTATATAGCAGTGTAGACGGACACATTTATTATTTATTTCTCTGTACATATTTGCTTTGTTACTTTATTTTGTTGTAGCGTTCTGATTAAAGCAATGGTTATAAATCCAAAGTTCGTTATACCGAAGCTTCGTTTATCGAATATACGCATATCGAGGTGTTGCTGTATATTGCTGCGCTCAGCGACAGTAGCAGCAGCGTATCGCTAAGTCGATCAGTCGCTTATTAAGCTTCGTAAGCTCAGGAAGCGTCACCGAGTCTCAAGGCTCTGGTTCAGGAGGGTCCTGACAAGTGTTCACAGTCGGGGGTTGCTGCTGCTGCTGGGTGTGTAATCCTGATCGAGCGATTTTCAAGTACATTTTTCACCATTTAAATGTTTGGCATATATAACAGGACCCTGCGGGGTGGGCTGGTAGGAATAATACTTAGTACCGGTACAGAGATATCGACCAGGTATAGAGGAGTTAAAGAAAAAATTACTGTATTCTAGTGCAACGTTAATTAAAAGTGTTTGTTTTGACAAGAAACGCTGTGAGATTTAAAGACTCGTAGTCTTTCATTTCCAACACCACCCTCAACACCACCCCTCCCACGGATGGACGGACGGACGGACACATTAATCTATTGGTGGTCTGGTCCACTTCGTTCCTACCAGTATCAGTTACAACCTCGAGGAACCACATGCAGAACAGCGGGAGAACATTGCAAACTTCACAGAGAAAAGCACCCGAGTCAGGCATCGAGACCCAGGCACCCTTTGCTTGTAAAGCACGCGTCTCACCACACCGTGCCACGCCCGATACACATTCCCACGTTACGTAAAGGGAACGTGGCGAAACGAGTTTCCTTCACTCGCGTGGCGGGCGGGACGCGCCAACTCACGCAGTGCGCGTTCCCGTAGAGCCAGTGGCGGCCGGGTCCCGGGAACGCGGCGAGCGCCCTCGCGTGCGCGCGCGCCTCGCGGAGCGCGCGCCACGCGCGCAGGGCGCAGACGCAGCAGAAGAGCGCCGCGGCGCCCAGCAGCAGAGTCCACGCGTCCATGTCCCGTCTGCACGCGGACACAGGCCGCACGGTCCCGTGTACACACACCGCCCCCTGCACCGCGCTTTAAACAACTCCCCCTGCACTGTATATTAAACAGCGTTCCCTGCACAGCGCATTCACAGCGCCCCCTGCACACGACGCTTTAAACAGCGCCCCTGCAACTGCACAATAAACAGCCCCCCTACACTGCACATTAAACAGCTCACAACCACACCAAAACACCAACATGCCGATGCACACATCTCCGTCACGAATGGACAATTAAAGACAAGTCACAGGATTGTGGCTATGCCACCCAAACTATGGACCATAAAGTAAACCAATGTAGCCTGTGCTCCTTCAGCGGACATGGATGAGCAAAGCTAGACGAACTCGATCCTCAAATCATCTTGCCGTGACGAGCAGACTCCGACATTCGCATCCAACTCCTAAACTTACTGCCGCCTTCTACAAGTGTTGTGTGGTAGAAAGGACGCTGAAGCTGGTCGTGTAGGGGCTGACGCCAAACGTTAACTAATCTCCCCAGGGGAAGGGTACTGGGAGTTCTCTACACCCTACCAGGCTATCAGGCTCTTCCCACAGCACTGACCGAGGGTTCAGCCAACTCGGCCAGCCGGGTAAAGCAGCCCCCTTTAGCCTGGCTCTCAACCCTCTATCCCGGAGCCCCCTACTTCCTAACGCTCACTCCTCTGACTCCCGGCGAAGACCCCGTCTACGTCACGGGTCTTCCCTCAAATACCCCGGGGGGCATGACGTCACTTTACCTTGACGGCATTCCCCCCGAGGCGAGTGTGCCCTGACGTCGGTACTCCACTCCTCAACACAAGCATGCGATGGCGGTGAGCATACGAGCTCGCTCACCCGCTGCCTCTCAGCCTTGGTCTCTTCCCCCGCGTCTCAGCCGCTGCGGTGCCCGCTCCCTCTGAGCCCGGACTCTGCACCGAAGCACGTCACTGCGACGGCGCACAAGCACCGTGCAATTTATATCACGCCACCACCCTGTGCCCATAAAGACCTCTGCACAATCACACCGAGCGCGCCATCATCATGAACACTCACTTGGCGCACACTCTGTATATAAACCAGTCCCTCCAGAAAAACGCGATTATGCGATCGCAAGATTCCACGCAAAATCAGCCAAAGTCCGCATATTTATGCGGGGGGCGCGTTTTTTCAAATACGCCGCACTTTCGCCGCATAAATTGCAGATTTCCGCGCGCAAAATATGCGGGCTTGCATGATTTCATAATCCCCACATTTTCGTTGCAAAAAGTCACATATATCTTAGCAGAAAGTTGAAAAATGTTGCGTTTACTTCACACAAGCGCAGCCATTTCCCCTGTTGCCATGGGAACGTTATGAAGTGTTAGAGGCTACGTAGGTAGTTTTATTCAGGAGTTTATGCAACTTTACAGTTGTAAGATTGCACTTTTTTGTTAGTAGTATGTAAATTTACATTACTGTAAGACTGTACTGTTACTGTATTGCTTACGTTACTGTGCACTGAAAACACTTATTTTAACAGAAGATGTCTGTTTTGTATAGCTACCTCTGTAAAACAGGAAGCACACATTTTATTTTTTAATATTTTATTTATTCATTTTTACAGAAGTTGTAGCATATTCATTTTGTAAAGCTACAGAACTTGTTCGACTCAATGTTTTGTAAGTTTGAGCCATCTGTTTGTTAAGGTCTGAAATAAAACAAGATGAGAACTTAAATATTCCCAGCACTTTCTGTGATGTAGTATGCTTGCTTATCATAGGAAGTAATAAGAAATGACTCTTTACATTAAAGTAGTAGCCTAGTGAATATGGTGTTGGGGGAATCACTTTTTTTTCTCTTTTTCATCAAACCGCAGTTTTTGCAAGTTCCCGCAATTTTTGCAAGTTCCCGCAATTTAATCGCATAAAATTGCATAAATATCCCGCATATTCCATCGCATTTTTTAAGAAAACGTGCCGCATAATCAACGATTTTTGCCCGCAACAATTACCAAAAAACTCCGCGTTTTTTTGGAGGGACTGATAAACACTCAGTGGTCAGTACAGATGAGTGAAGGGTTAACGGTGGTGATGCTCCTACGACACTGCTCGGACAACTGTAGCACAGGTAGGTTGCCCCAGCTGTCCGTTGATGTGAATTGAGAGGTCAAGGATCTGCAGAGCCCGGGATGGGCGCGCCCACGAAAGCGCTCTCCATGCAGCACAGGCGCTGCACCCTCGTGCAGCAACAGCAGCAGATACGCGGGCTGGCTCGTTGAGGGCCATTACCAACTCGCACACCACACACAACTGTCCTCGGGGTACTCGTGAACTTCACACACAGAGCCCAGTGACAGCACGTTTGCCGCTCGTTGCAGAGGTCCGTGTGGCGTGAATGTCGCAGGCCGCCCTGATTAATCCTTCGGGGTGTACTGGTCCTAAACGCATGCTCAGTCTGCCTTGACGGTGAGCGTTCAAGATGCCCCCAACGTCATTCGAAATGAGTAGGACATTGCGTGTTCACTTCACGGTCTAAATCAGAAAACACATTCCTGCGGAGGGAGCTGGTAGGAACGTTGGGTTGCTCGGTCAAAGGCCAGGGTGAATGGCGGCGTGGTGTATTCCGCAAATATGTCCGACTGTGAGGGCAGGCACAAGCCGGCGTAAGTAGGTTAAACGTTGAGTTTTATAAGGGCACCACGGGGTGACCAGCCCCACCCAGCCCCTCCCCACCCAGCCCCTCCACACCCTCCCCACCCAGCCCCTCCCTATCCTCCCCTCCCAGCCCCTCCCTGCACGACGGACGGACACAATAATCCCCTGTGGGCTGGTGGAACCAGGAGGTTCCTACCAGTAAAACCCAATCTCAATAGGGATTACACAGCACTAACATGGCCACCCTCCTGGTAGACTCTACCCGTCCGTGAAACACAGCGCTGCCAGTACCACGTTGTCCTCAGTCATCGTCATTTACGTTCCACTTGACTTTGCCCCAAGTTAAAGACAAAAGTTACTAATTTATAGAGAGTCAAAGGTGGCTGACAGATTAGAGGGAAAATAAAAAAGGTCTGATAGATCAATAGTGGGATTGGAAAACAAGTTCCACAGAACATTAAAAGCTTGCGCTTCCACGTGTAATATTCCATGAGCACGCATCACCATCATCTCCTTCCCGCATTAGACGAGGACAATTTACTCATAAATGTTGCTGCATAAGCTTTTGGAGGAATTTTTTAGGAAAAGTAAGCAAGTTACAGCTTCCAAAGGATTTTGGAGGCTGAAACCGATTATAATTTTTGCCACATTCGATGTTTGATGTTTTACTGAAATTGCCTGAAAATGTGGCTGACAATAAGCAAACGTGGTACGCAACGCAAAATTACTGATGCACTTCGCACATATTTTATTACATATTATACAACTTTGCAACATTTTTCTGCACCTTGAAAAGAAGAGTGCATGTATAATGTTCAGCGAAAAGATAGCTTTAGAAGCACACATTATGGTGCAATTTTAAACGAATTATCACCGCAAGTACATTTCTTTGGAATTAGCGCAAGAAATTTGCAGAGTGCAACACCTGGCGGCAGGCTCAAACGAGCGTGGCGTGGCTCCCCGTGGCTCTGCGTGGCGTGGCTCGGGAAGCCGAGTGGAGCCCTATGCTAATGAGCTGCCGTGTCGTCACGAGGTCACGACTCTCCCTGCAGCGTCCCGAGGAGTGCAGAAGTAGAATCTTTTTTTTTTAGCGAAGCCGGAGACGCGGCAGGGACGTTTTTCCCTTTTTTGAGTGAGCTCAAACAAGAAGTCTAAAACGGCCTCTTGTCCATATCTGTTCCTCCACACCACAAATAGAAGGGCATATTCACCCTTCCCGTCAGCCACAAGCTCTTTTGGGAGTGCATCACCATCGTTATTGCGTCAGCACTGGATCGATATTAACGACCTCGTCGGAGGTTAACGGTCACATCATTATTATAACGGGTCAACTTCACACAAACGTGAACAACACCCACGACGCATCTCACAGTGCTGCATGTGCTACCCCCACCGCCCCCCGCAGTCCCGTCTGCCTGCACCCGCCATCCTCTCTTCTACCTGGACACAACCGCCACCCGCTGAGTGCCCTCAGCCCTAGCGCTCTTCCTCTTCTTTCTCCTCCTCGTCCTCCTGGCCTCTGCTTCAGTTTCTGTCCCGCCTTCACTCTCTGCACGCTCTGCGCGGCTCGCTTTCCAACGGAGCCTTCTCCGCGCTTGCCGTGCACCGCTCTCCCTCGCACCCTGCTGATGTCAGCCAGGGCTCTCACTGCGTCATTAAATGTGGTGCCAGTCAAAGGGTCTCACTGCTTATGCAACTCGGGCTGTAAAAGCTCCGCCCGTGACTTGGCATTATGCAGTTATCGCTGTGCTGTACACATCTCCTGTTAAAAATTTACTTTTACCCCCCCCCCTCCTAAATCTAATCTTACCTAGGATTTTATATAGCGATTTGATATACGCACTTTTACCAAAGCGCTTTCATCAAAGCACTTTACAAGAATGGTATATTGGACATTAGTACTAGCTGATGGGGAAAAGGAATGGGATTTGAGTGTTGGGGAGGATAAGAGATGGCAAGGAAGGGTGATGATAGGGGAAGGGAGGGAGGCCAGGTTAGGAGAGGGAAGGGGGGAGGATGGTTAAGGTTTTAAGGATGAGGACAGGAAGTAGTAGAGGGATACACTGTTAAAAAAAGATGAGTCTTAAGGGAGGATGAAAAATGGCGAGTGAAATTGCCCTGTTTGACGTGGAGTGGGAGTGTATTCCCATGGAGGGGATCCAGGAGGGAAAAGGAACGGCAACGCGACTGATCACAGGGGTGGGGGGGGGGGGCTTAGTGAGGGACAAAAGAGATCGGTCGCTCCAAATACAAGTGCAATGACCGAAAAATGACCCCAAGCCAATGTGCAGCCTAATGGCTTTTCAAAGATAAACCGGCAGGTCTCCGATTAGCGGGAAGAGGCCTCCACGGGGTTTGGTCGGGAGGCAGGGCTTCTGAAGTGATTGGAGAACAAGAGATTGAATGAGAAACGGTGGGAAACAAAAGTGGAACCCAGAGGCGACGGTTGGGATCCATGAGAGGGAAAGGACAGCGATTGTCTAAGAGAAACACAGCCAGGGAACATTCGAGAAAGGGGACTGGAACGGTGCAAAAGGGCAGAGCACAAGGGGAGGGGACGTTCGAGGGAAAGTATAGCTTCAAGATCATGCATGAAGCTCGGGCCTAGTTGTTGCGTTAATAAAAGTGGCTTCTAGTACTTTGTCGTCCGAGTCTTTACACAATCAATTGGAACCGTATCTTAATGTGGATCCTTGCCTGATACTGTATCTGGTAGTTCACCAGCTGGGTTCAAGCGAGCGTGACTCCGCTGATGAGACAATGAATGTCCAAACCGGTCCAGATGTATTCTTGTCTTGAACCAATGCTGCTGACTAGATGCACTCACAGAAGGCCATGTAGCTGATGGGATGAGTAAAACTTACTTTCACTTATTATGTGAAGCGACAGGTATGGAAAAGAGATTAATTGTCTTTATGTTATAACTTATACTCTCCATGACGACACTCGTGAGTAATCTGTCCTGTGAAGTAAAGGACAGTCATCGACTTACAAACACCTGCACTTACAAATCAGTTTCCATGAAATATATATTTTGTTCAGCGTCGTGATCCT